ACTCTCAAAGTAGGGATAGCGCCATATGTGCACAACTGGCATAACAATCAGGTCTGCCCCTTTGCATGCCCCAAGTTATTGGCCTTCTGCACCACCTTCTGCAGGAAACAGCTCTAGGGATGAGCCAAATATTTTGAGCTCACCAGCCAAAAGTTGCGCGCCAGACCTGTTTTTGGATGATGACAACAAAAGTTACTCACTCAAAAGCTTAGCAAATTTCAGCATCCCTGGCATCTGGGGGCTTTCACCACCTGCCCAAGTGGCAGTTTCCATCCCTGGTGGGCACCGCCTTGTAACCCTAACCCTGGGAAGTTCTGTTGAGAACAAGGGCACACTGATCACCGTAGCTTGCAGAGGGCGCCATGCAGAGCACCGCAGCTTGTGGCTGGGTGTTACACCAACGCTTGCTGCGCACGCTCACTTTGTCACTAACCAGATGATCTCCCCGCTGCTGCATTGCATCAAGGCATCAAGGAAGAGTTCCTGTGAACCAGCGTCTCCTGGAACAGGCAGGCAGCCTGGACCTTGAAAGACCTCTCCCCGCTGGTCAGCAAGGTTGCATGCAGCTGACTGTGGCATATCCGTGCTGGACCAGAGCCAGTCCCTGCCGAACGTTCTGGTGTGCCACACCCGGGCGCGCGCTCGAGGCTGTGCAGCTTTTGGCCCTCGAGCCGCGAGCTTCGCGCTTCCTTCTCGCCCACCACCCCCGCGCCGTGCCGCGCTCCACCCCTCATGTCCCACTCGCGGGTCGGCTCCGCGCTCGCCGGCTCGTCGCGCGGGCGCTCCGCGCAGTCGGCAACGCCCGCGTCGTCCGTGGCGCAGCGCTCGCGGCCGCGCTGCCCGCAGTGCGGCTCGCGCCGCTTCCGCCGCGATGCCGGCACGTCGCTCGTCGTGTGCCAGGAGGGCCACGTGCTGCAGGGCTTCCGCGACGAGGAGGCGCAGGACGGCGACGAGTGGGCGGTGACGACGGGCAAGCGTGCGATCCGCAAGCTGCGCGCGGGGCGCCGGCGCGGCACAGAGAGCACGGCGGTGCGCGGACGTGAGTGAGGCGACGAGAGCGCCAGGAGCGCGGTCCTGATGCGTGTGCGACAGTGTGGCACGGCGCTCGCGGCGACTTTCTCCTCTTCCAGTGTCTGCAGCTCGTGCTGCGCATGCAGCTCGCGGCGCTGCGCCACGAGTGGCCGCACCTGCCCGACGAGATCGAGGTGCGCATGCGCTGACTGTGCTGCGGCGGAGGGCATGGCTGATGCGCATGCCACAGCCCGTTGCGCGCGACCTGTGGGCGCTGTACGTCTCGCTGAACGCCAAGCTGCGCCCGGCGCCGTACACGGAGCAGCTCGCGCACGCACAGGAGGAGGCCGGCCTGGCCGCCTCGCTGCACGCAGACTCAGACGGCGGGCGCAGCCGGTCGCGCTCTCGCTCGCGTGCCGCAGAGGCCGCTCGGGCACGCGCTGAAGCCGAGGCCGCAGCGGAGCGCGATGAACAGCGGCGTGCGGAGCGCGAGGAGCGCCGTGCGACGAAGCGCCGCCTGCGCGAGGCCGAGGGCCGCTCGCCGTCGCCCTCCGACTTTGACTCGGACGCCACGACCGAGTCGGGCTCGCAGCACTCCAGCCTCGGCACGCCGGCGCGCAGCAGCCGCTCGCGGGCCGGCTCGTCGGCGTCGGGCATGTGGACAGACACAGACCCTGGCCTGGACAGCGATGTCGAGGGCGACAACCTCGGCAGTGCACCCGACCGCGAGCACCTACGCAGCCGCGCGTATCCCAGCCAGCAGCCGTCGCGCAAGGGCACCGATGCAGACGGCACGCCGCTGGTCAGCGTGACGGCCGTGCTGTACTTGGCGCTCATCATGCTGCGCGTGCCCGTCGTGTGGGAGGATCTGAGGGTGTGAGTCTCTGCGATCAGGTACAGCCGTGCGCGGGCTCACCAGACCTCACAGCCTCATCGCCTCGCATCGGCTGCCGTTCCTCAACGCGGGCCAGCTGCTGCCCGCAGAGCTCGTCTACCATCTGCCCGGCGCGCATATGCGCAAGCTGGAGCCCGGAGTGAGTTTCCCCGGCGCTCCCCTTCCCTCACTCCGCTCACCTTCTGATCCCTGGTTCACCTTCTGATTCGTCGCTCACCCCCTGACCCCTCACTCTGCTCACCTGCCCAGACCACCCCGACCGTCGCCCAGCTACACGCACGCACCGTCAAGCTTGCGCAGCTCATGTCGCGCGACTTTGGCGTACAGCTGCCCGAGTTCAATGCCGCGCCCGTGCTCTACCGCTGCGTGGACGCGCTGCTCCTGCCGCCGACCTTCTATGTCGCGGCCAAGGCGCTGGCGAGCTACGTGAAGCTCTCGCTGTACGCCGTCGATGCATACGCGACGGCAGAGCCCTGGAGCGCACCGGACGAGAGCGCGAGCGCGACGAAGCGCGAGACCGGCCTAGTCGCGACCGGCACGCTGGCCGCACCGCGCTGCATGGCGCTGATGGCGGCGGTGTGCGTCGTGGCGAAGCTGCGCTGGGGCTGCGACGGCTGGCACCGGTGAGTACGAAGTCACCTGGTTCGCCATAGCTCGGCTGACATCCGCAGCGTCGAGCACGCCGACACGCCGCCGGCCGGCACGAAGCGCTTCGAGCCGTGGCTGGATGCGCTGGAACAGGCACACCAGGCCTTTCTAGCCGACCCACGCAGCGCACACCTCAGCGAAGTGTGCGTGTCTAGATGCCTCACGCCGCTCGTTGCTCACGCAGCTCTGCAGCGACATTCTCGACCTCGACGACGCGCAGCTCGATGCGTTCCTCGACTTTGCCGAGCAGAACGCCGTCCTGCCAAACCACGCCAAGGCGCTGAGCTGGAGACGCGCAGAAGGTGCGTAAAGCCGCCGGACGCGTCTGCCGCACCTGCTGACGTCGTCCCACAGGCAACGACGATCTGCTCGCCTTTGCGACGCCGGCTGGTCCATTGGCGGAAGAGGGCGATTCGCTCCACGACACCTCATCGCCGCTCCACGCACTGAACGAGGCTCGTGCTGCGGCGCGCGAGGCCCTCTATACAGCCGTGCACGCCCGCGTCGACGGCGACGAGCCGGGCACAACGTACAACCCCACAAATCGCACGGCGCTCGAGGTGCAGCCGGACGGTGCGCAGCGCCTCGTCCGCGCCGCTGCGCGCGTCATCGGCTGCACAGAGTTCGAGCTCGCACGCTCAGTCGGCGAAGTCGAGCGCATGCTCGTGCGCGCTCTCCTCGACGACGCCAGGCTCAAACGCGACTCGACTGGAGCGCCGCCAGCCAAGCGCTCAGATCGTGGCGCCGACGCGGAGCGAGCCACAAGCGCGTCTTCTGACGAGGCGGCGCCCGTCCGACGTGGGCCTGGCCGGCCACGCAAGAACGCGGCGGCATCGTACGCCAAACATGCCACGCTGAGTCGCAACACTGTGCTTCCCGAAACCGAGACAACTCCGCCGAAGCGCCCTCGCGGCCGGCCGCGTAAAGACTCACAGCACCCCGGCGCGTCGACGAGCGCGACCGAGCCGCGCAGCGCCGTTGAAGCTCTACCCAGGCGTCCGCGGGGCCGGCCGCGCAAGGACGACCTCGCTCGCCGCCGGTCCGGTGCACTGGATGGCGAAGAGGCCGTGCACCCTCCGCCGCGACCGCGCCAGCCGGCCAGAGCAGCAGTTCGCCCGCCTGTGCGCGAGTTTGCCGTCTCCTCGTCCGACGACGATTCCGACAGCTAGCAGCATGAATGCATAGATCACAACCTCGCACGCGTCTCCTTCTGCGCGTCCCGCTGGGCCTTTGCTTCGCGCGCAAGCAGCGCGCGGCCCGCACTGCTGCCGTTTGGCCGCCCGATCTCCTCAGAGATCCAGCCGCCGATGCGTGCCAGCGCAGCCAGGTCGAAGCCGGTGCTGTAGCCCGACTCGTGCAGCGCATACACGACCGACTCGGTGTCGATGTTGCCCGTCGCACCTGCGCGGGCGTCAGAGAGCGTGTGGTGCGCCACGGCAGAGAGCACTCACCCGGCGAGTACGGGCAGCCGCCCAGCCCGGCGACGGCGGCATCGACGGTGCGCACGCCAGCGTCGACGCAGGCCAGCACGTTGGCGAGGCCCGTGCCAAACGTGTCGTGGCAGTGCGCGGCGAAGCGCTCGACGGGCGCGTGCCGCGTGCACTCGTTGAGCACGGCGAGCATGGCCGCGGGCGTCGCGACGCCGACGGTGTCGCCCAGGCTCACCTCGTAGCAGCCCATGTCGAGCAGCGCCTTGGCGACGGCGCCGACGTGGGCCGGGTCCACGTCGCCCTGGTACGGGCAGCCGCCGACGACGCTGACGTAGCCGCGCACGCGCAGCCCGGCGTCGAGCGCGCGCTGCGTCACGGGCGCGAGGCGCTCGAGCGACTCGGCGACGGAGCAGTTGGTGTTGGCGCGTGCAAAGGCGTCGGTGGCGGCGGTGAAGATGGCAATCTCGTCGGTCTGGCCGGGCGCCGAGCCGCGCGGGCCGGCAATGTCGAGCAGCGCCGCGAGGCCCTTGTCGTTGGGCACGAGGAAGGGATAGCTGACGCCGCGCTGCTGCGCGATCTGCTGCAGGATCTGCGGCGAGTCTGCCATCTGCGTGCGAGGGTCAGCACAGGCAGCCAAGCAGCGCAGACAGCGCACGTCATCGCTGCTGCACAGGCATCGCAGCCACACCATCGCCGTTGCGGCACTGGGCGCGCCACGCACCTGCGGCACCCACTTGGGGCTGACAAACGCGCCGGCCTCGACGCACGTGGCGCCGGCGGCGACGAGGCGGCGCACGAGCTCGAGCTTGGTGGCCGTGGGCACGACGCGCGCCTCGTTCTGCAGGCCGTCGCGCGGCGAGACCTCGACGATCTTGACGTGGCCGCGCGCGGCGGGTGCGGCGGCCGACGAGGCGCAGCGCTGCAGCAGCGACGCCGCGCGCGCGGGACGGGCGAGCAGGCCGAGCATGGTTGGTGGGTGATGAGGGTGCAGAGGCACGCTGCGCCGTGCGTCGGATGCCACGCCTGCCTCGGAGAGCTCGGTGGCCGGGGCGCGCGCGGCGAATGCGGGGAAGTCGCCGGCGGCTCGGACATGTCGGGCGCAAGTCCGGCGCGCGGCCGTGGGAAGAAAGGCGCAGGCGGCTCGAGTCGGCCTCTTCCTGCCGCGCCTCCTCCACTCCTGCCGCATCTCCATCACTCCAAGCCTCAGCCTGTCATGCACGCGCTCCGTCGCACTGTCGCCAGCGGCGCAGCTCTGGCGCGCGCCGAGCGCCGGGCCCTCGCCGCCTGCGCTGTGCCACGTCGGGCCGCCAGCAGCAGCAGCGGCAGCAGTGGTAGCGGTAGCGTCAGCAGCAGCAGCAGCCCGAGCAGCAGCACGTCGCGCAGCACGTCGCCGATGCAGCAGCCGCACAGCTCGGCCAGCGCACCGTCGACGGCACCGTCCGCTGCGGCGGGTGCAGCGCCGAGCCTGCAGACGCTCATCCACCGCAGCATCGCCGCGTCGGGCCCGCTGCCGGTCGCGACGTACATGCGCACGGCGCTCCTCGACCCCACGCTCGGCTACTACGCCTCGGCACTCGCTGGCGCCGACAGCGAGAGTGCCGCAGGCGCGGCGCCGCGCGACGTGCTCGGCACGCACGGCGACTTTATCACCAGCCCCGAGATCAGCCAGGTGTTCGGCGAGGTGAGTGCCGGCGCAGCGCTGTCGTCTCGACAAGCGACGGCTGACCCGGTGCGCCACAGCTGCTGGCCGTGTACCTCGTCTCGCGCTGGCAGGCAGCCGGCTGTCCGTCGCGCACGCGTCTCGTCGAGCTCGGCCCGGGCAAGGGCACGCTGCTCGCCGACGTCGTCCGTGTGAGTCCCTGCAGCGCGACCCTTGGCGTCTTCAGCGGCTGAGCCTGTCGCACAGACGCTGGCGCGCTTCCCGCTGCTGCTCGGCACGCTGGAGTCTGTCCACCTCGTCGAGGCGTCGCCGGGCCTGATGGCGCTGCAGGCGAGCGCGCTGGGTGGTGCGCTCGATGCGGCTGGCGTGCCGATGCGCGCCGCGGGCGAGGAGGTGCCGGCCGGTGCGCCGCGCGGCGTCGAGACGGAGTGGTTCGCGCGCGTGGAGCAGGTGCCGCTGCAGCCCGACGTGTGGACGATGGGTGTGGCGCACGAATTCTTCGACGCGCTGCCGATCCACATCTTCGAAAAGACGGCCAAGGGCTTCCGCGAGGTGCTCGTCGACATCGAGCGCGCGCCGCAGGGCCAGTCTGGCGTGTGAGTCGGCTGTGTGCCCGTACATCTGCAGCGTACATCTGCAGGGTGACGCTGAGCAGCGACCACGCAGCACGATCCTGCGCCCGTCTGACCTGAAGCCGGCGAGCTCGAAACCCGCCGCGCCGCCGTCGACGAAGCTGCGCTATGTACTGGCACCCCAGCCCACACCCTGGTCGCAGCTGCTCGCCGAGCGCTCGCCGCGCTTTGCCGGCCTGCAGCCCGGACAGCGGCTCGAGGTCTCGCCTGAGGCCTGGGGCGCGGCACGGCGCTTCGCCGAACTCATCGCCGGGCGAGAGGCACCAGTCGTCGCCGAGGACGGCGCGCGGGATGCGGCGGCCGAAGAGGCGCGCCTGCGCTCCGAGTCCCTCGGCGGTGCTGCGCTCATCATCGACTACGGCGACGACAAGGCGTTCGGCAACAGCTTCCGCGCGTTCAAGCAGCACAAGATCGTCGACCCGCTGGAGGACGCCGGTGCGGCAGACCTGACGGCGAACGTCGACTTCCACCACTTGAAGAGCGCTGTCGCGACGACGGACGGTGCGTGATCGCGTGGCCGCACCCTGCGCGCTGACAGCTGACACCCTGCACTGCAGCGCGTGCTCTGGGACCCATGTTCCAGGCGCACTTCCTGCAAGCACTCGGCCTGGAGCAGCGTGTCGGCGCGCTCGCCAAGGCTGCACCGCCGGAGCGGCGCGTCGACATCGAGCGCGCCGCAAAGCGCCTCGTCGATGCCACCGGCATGGGCGCGCAGTACAAGTTCCTGGCGCTCGAGGCCGGGCATACAGGCGCCGCACAAGAGCAGGAGGCAGCCTCGGTCTATCCATTCGAAATGTAGGGGTGAAAGAGTGTGCGGTCATCACTAGTGGGCAGACTTGTGTAGCGGCGCAGAGTAGCAGGCGACGACCTGCGCCGTAGAGAGCGGGTAAGAGGCACGGCGGGGGCACGAGAGCAGCGCGACGTGGAGCGGCGGGCATGGGCCCTAGCGCACGGCCGCGTCGTCAGACGGTGCGCTGCACGGTCCGGCCGACACCGACGCCGCGCAGGATCTTCCACAGCGCGCCTCGCGCGGGAGCGGGTGTGACAGGCGTGGCACTGCCGGCCACGGATGACTGCTGCACCCGGTCGTCGAGAGGCCTGTCGATGCGTGCGAGCGAAGAGATGCGCGCAAACGAGCTCCGCTTGTCGACCTTGCTCGCCGACGCAGGCGCTGCGTTCTGAAAGCCCTTGCCGCGGCGCTCGACTTGGTTCTCCGACAGGTATGCGCTATACACGCTCTCCACCGTCTCGGTTTCGACGGCGCTTGGTGCGGGCACGCGCTCGGATCTGGTGGTGTGCGTCTGCGAGCGGGTGAGGTGCGTGCCCGTGCTGTGCCCGTACGCAGCCAGCTGCGCATCAACGTCGCTGCGGTTGTCCGCGGCGCCGGCCATGTGCAGCAGCTGACCATCGCTACGATTCGCGCGGTGTCCGAGGTGCTTGGCCCGGTCTACGTTGTCCTGCGTGCGGGAGATGTACTGATCCGCCGCGAGGTCGGGCACCGTGGCGTGCTGCAGGCCGCCGAGTGAGACGTGGCGCATGTGCTCGCGAGCCGCCATGGGTGCGCCGTTACGCGGCGTGTGGCGCGACGGAAAGGGGACAGAGCTCGAAGAGGCGACCGACTCGTCAGCGGGAGGCGACGCCACGTCGTCGTCCGAGGGGCCGTGCTCAAGCTCGTGCGACTCGGCACGGCTGCTGCGAAAAGCGAGAGGCGAGGCGGCACTGGCGTAGTGGTCGAGGGTGTTGCTTGAGGCCCGCGAGTGCGCCACCGACGGAGACTGGACGATTTCTGAGCACCGGCTGCCCGTCAGCTCGGCGGCGTCGAGCGTCGATTCGTGGGCGGTCTCGACGGTTGTGGACGATGGCGCAGCGATCATGCCGCGCAGCTCCTCGACCAGAGCAGCGAAGCGGGTTGCTAGGCGGCCCATCTCGTCCAGCGTCTTGCCGACGTGGCCCAGCGCGCCCTGATGCCCAGCATCGAGAGGGCGCTGGGGGCTTGCGCCGATGGTGTCGAGGCGCGGAATCGTTCCACCACGTGTGCCGCTGAGAGTTGGTGCGGCGCTGGTGAGCCCGAAGCTGGCCGAGATGGGACGGCGTTGGCTCGACTGGGGCGGCTGCTGCACGGTGTGTCGGGCGTCGAACTCATACTGCCCCGTCGAGTCCGAGCGGGCAGAGAGAAGATCGCTGTGGTCCTCGCTGTCGTTGCCGAGGCGGTCGTCGTGCGTGCTTGTCAGACCCACGTCGGAGAGTCGACGTGGGTCGAGGGCGAGCGCAGAGATGTCGGCTCCCGACCGAGCGGACGTGGTGCTGGTGGTCGAAGCTCGCACTGCGACGTTTCGCTGCAGCACCTCGGCGGACACGCGGGGAGGCGTCTCGAGATCCGCAGGGTGGCGCGCAGGCAGTGCCGGCTGTGTCGCTGCTTGCTGCTGCCCGTTCACTTTGGCGTCCATCGAGGCGCCAGTCAGCTCGCGCGGGCTTTGCGAGGCGAGAAGCCCAGTCGAACGACGATGATCGCTGCCCTTGCGCTGCGCAGCGCCGACAGACTCGAGCGGCTCGGGCTTCGCCCTCGCTTGCTGTCCGCGCTTCATCGCTGCGTCAAAACGACTTGCACCCGCCCGCTCATCCGAGCCGACGGGCGTGAGGACTTCCAGGGATGGGTCGTCGAGGGGCTCGGGTGACGTCGGCGTCGGCTCGTCGGCTGACTGGGTAGCGGGCACGGTGCGCAGGTCCGGCAGCACAAACCACGGCGCATCCTTGCTGCTCTTGTCGACGGGCACGAGGCTGCCGGAGCCCGAACTTGAGTCGGGCTGCGGCTTGGCGAGCGCCGGGCCTTCGTCGTGGTGCGGCGCTTCGTCGTTGTGCGCCGCGTCGGTCTTGCTGGCCGCAGCTCCCTTGTTGCCGTGGCGGCCCTGCGCCGCGACAACCGTGTGCTGGCTAGGAGTGTCGACGGGAGCGCCGGCACGAAGCAGATTGACGAGACTAGCATTGAGGCCGCCGCGCTCGTAGAGCTGCTCGGTCAGCGGCGCCGGCTCGTCAAAGAAAGGGTGCACGAGGCACGCGCTGGACGTCATGCGAGCGCCGGGCTCGGGCGCCAGCATGCGGCGGCACAGGTCGAGCATCAGCGGCGAAAGCTTAGTGCACGTGTCGGCCCAGGTGTCGGTGAGGGTGCGCTGGTAGTAGGCGTGGATCTGCTCCTGCGAGAGGTCGAAGGGCTCGTCGTCGTCGTCCTCGAACGGCGTACGTCCGACGACCATCTCGAAGAAGCTGCGGCGCGGAAGCCAGTCAGCGGTGCATCGCATCACTGCCCACGCTGCAGACTCACGTCACGCCGAGCGCCCAGACATCGGCCAGGCGCTCGTCGTGCTCGTCGCCGCGCGCACGCTCGGGCGACAGGTACTCGGGCGTGCCCCACAGCTCGCTCGAGAGGAAGCGCGACTCGGGCGTGTGCAGGCGGGCGAAGCCAAAGTCGACGAGGATGGCCTCGCTGCGGGCATCGCTGCGCTTGACGAGCACGTTGGCGACCTTGATGTCGCAGTGCACGACGCTGCGCTCGTGCAGCCACGCCACGGCCGACGCCAGCTGCGCGCAGTAGCCGTGGGCGCCGGCGTACTCGCTCGGCGGCAGGCCGACCTTCATCTCTTGCTCGTACCACTCCATCGCCAGGCAGGCAAAGCTGGGCGTGAGCAGGAACTGCGGCAAGTGTCAGCGACTGTCCATGGCGGCGGCGCGCACGTCTGCGCACCTCGTGGAAGCGCACGATGTTGCGGTGCACATGGTCGCGCGGGCCCGTGCTGCGCAGGATCTTGAACTCGTTCCACAGCGCCTTGGTGCGTGCGTGCGAGGCAGCGTCGGCCGTGCGCTCGACGAACTTGACAGCTGGTGGTGGCGCATCTCAGCTGGCAAGTCTGCTCGGCGGGAGAAGCAGCACTCACCGACACGCGGGCGCACGTAGCCGCGCTTCGCCGGCGTCTCGCGGTACACCTGCAGCGTCGACTCGGGGATGGCGCGCCAGCAGCTGCCCCAGTTGCCGTGGCCGAGCTCGTGCTCGAACTCGTAGCGGAACGTCAGCTGCTCGTCGGTGATGGACAGGCTGTGCAGGGGCCGTCAGTCGCGGCGCATACATGCGCCAGGCGCAGCGGCGACGCACATGCGGTCTTCGACGTCGCTCGGCGCAGCGGCACGGCGCAGCTTGCGCGGCGACGGCTGCACCGCCTCGTCCTCTGCCACGGCGGGCCGACGCCGTGCGTTGCGACCCGGACTGGCAAAGACGTCGACGGGCGGCGCCGGCGTCGTTGGCTGTGTGAGGTGCGCGATGGCCATGACACGCTTGGCGGCGGCGCTGCTGCTCGGCGGCGTGGCGAGGTGTGCACGGCCGTCGGCGGCATCGGCGGCAGCGTGGCGCGCCGGCGTGCGCGACGTGGCGTCCTTGAGACGCAGCTTGAGGCTGCCGAAGCTGCGGCTCAGCGAGCGGGCGGCGGCCTCGCGGATGAGCTCGGGCCGCGAGAGGCTGTCGCGCGGCGTGACCTCGCGCAGCGGCGGCGTGGCCTGCGCCGGCGCCGTGCGGCCGGCGACGGGCTCGGCAGCGCTGCGCTCGGGCGTCTGCAGTGCGGTGGCCGAGGCGCGGCTGGTGCCGCGAGGACCGGCGCCGTCGTGCCGGGCGTCGTCGCGTGCGGGGCTGGAGCCGAGGAGCGAGGCGGCGATGACGGGCATCATCTCTTGACGGGTCGGCGCGCCCATCGTCGACGAGTGCTCTGGCACAGCCGGCGGTGTGTGGGCGGGAGGAGGTAGTCGTGGCACGTAGAGCGACGTGGACAGGACTTGGTGGGGCCAGGCAGCAGCATGTGCGGCGCAGGCTGCTCAAAAGCAGCACAGCTCGCCATTTGGGCGCCCTCGCTCGCACGCTCAGCATGCGCAGGCCCTGGCGTGTTGTTCGCGGTGTTGATCTGCGCCCGAGCGAAGAGCACGGCCAAGGCAGGCACGCCGCGGGTGCGCTCTGTGGAACAGAGTGCTGCGCGAGGAGGCGGTGCGATGCTCTGCAGCTGTGCGTGCACGTCGCACGCCGCCCGAGCACGGCCGGCGCCAGCTTGTGTGCCTGAATGACGGCGGTGCCTCATTGGGCGCATTCACGCCCAACGCGAGCTAGAGAGCGTCACGAAGAGCAGCGCAGAAGGCGCGCTGATCTGCGCCTCCAGAGAGATCAAACCGCACCCCGGCGAGCACAAGACAGCGCGGCGAGCGCTCGGTCGCCCGATGCGGGTCGCAGCCTCCGGAGGGGCCATAGAGACACTCGCTCGCTGCTTGAAAGCTCCTCTTCAGCTCTTATAGGTGTCGATGCGGCTGACCGCAGCTGCCGGGGAACTGCGGCAGTGCTGCAGAGCGGCAGAGGCGCAGAATGCGGGCCCACGGCGGCGGCGCCCCTGAGCGCGACGGAGCGGCGCTCAGCCTCGGGCCGTCTCGCAGCCGCAACCTCGCACGACCGTGCGCGACGCCGCAGCGCGTATGATGCGGCGGCGAGCTGTGTGCTGTACCATGTGCACTGAGGCACGCCGATGCCGGCCTGGACGAAGCATGCTTGCGGCGATGGTGATGTAGTGAGGCAAGACGCCGCCGCACGCTGCTGCGCGATGCAGCCGCCGGCGTCGGCGTTGGTCGGACGAGGAAGCGCGCGCCATGCCGCGTGTGGAGGCAGCGGCAGCCGCGCGCCGCTGGAAGAACACGCCGACACCCTGCACCTGCCTCACCCTCCCATCACCTCGCCCAGCCCGGCGCTCTGCAAGCGTCCCTCTTCATCACAGACATGGCCGCGCCCGAAGCCGGCCCCGCGCTGCTGCGCGCCGTGCCCGAGCGCGGCGTGCTGCTCGATGCGCTCGCCCTCTCGCCCGGCCAGGCGCCCTTCACGCCCGCCGAGGTGCGCGCCGCCCTCAGCGCCCGCTTCCTCGAGCCCGCCACGCCGGCGCTGCCGCCAGCACACTTTGCACGCACGCCCGACCTCGCGGCACCGCTCGCGCCTGCGCCGCTGCCGGCTCGCACCGCGCTGCGCTTCGTGCGCGCCGGCCTGCGCGGCGACATCGTCGGCGCCCAGGAGGTGCGCGTGCGGCGCGCCGCTGCCACCCGCCGCGGCCGCGAGTTCGTGCGCGGGCGCGTCGGCAGCAGCATGTTTGCGCCCGGCGGCCTCGACGAGGTGCTCAAGGGCGACGGCGCCGGCGACGACGACGCCGAGGAGGAGGAGGAGCGTGGTGAGTGCAGTGGCCCGGCGGCTGTCTGGCATGCACCTGGAAGCGGAGCTGTGCCCGCCGCCTGGTCCCTGCGTTGGCGCTTTGCTGACGCCGTGCCATCATCAGGCCTACGTATCTGCGCTTCTGGCCTGTCGCGTGGATTCCGCTCGCGGGCACAGCGCGAGGCCGAGTCGAGTGAGGCCGCGCTGGAGCTCGACGACGACGACGAGGTGCCCGAGCTGGACTGTGCGTATCATTCGCTGCGCGCTGCTAGAGAAGCTGCTCACACCAGCACAGTCACACCGGACGCACATCTTAAGATCCTCTCGCGCGAGGTAAAGCCGCGGGCGCCCTTCTATCGTGCAGCAGTCCAGCCTAGCGTGCGTTGTCGCAGCATGCGTGCCCTTCTCACATGCTGACTCGCCGCATCAGGACGCTGCCAAGGAGTCAACCTCCTCAGCCGTGCATGATGCCGAGCTGGACGAGCTGCTGCCGGCGGCGCCGCCGGGAGCCAACCTCGGGCTGGGTGCGTCGCGGGCCGCGCGCCGGCGCCTCGAGAGCAAGCGCGACTGGGCGCACGTTGTCGACGTCAACGCGACGATGGGCGACTTCCACAAGCTGGTGCCTGACATGGCGCACAAGGTGCGTGGTCCGCTAGCGAGACTGGACACCGTCTGCTGATGCGCCTCGCCCTGCAGTTCCCCTTTGAGCTCGATCCGTTCCAGAAAGAGGCCGTCTACCACCTGGAGCAGCGCGACTCGGTCTTTGTTGCGGCGCACACGTCGGCCGGCAAGACGGTTGTGGCCGAGTACGCCATCGCCCTCGCACAGAAGCACATGACCCGGTGCGTTGCCGCAGCAGCTTCTGTATCGGCCCCAGGGCCCGAGCACTGACGCTGCGCGCCTGTGCAGCTGCATCTACACATCGCCCATCAAGGCGCTGTCCAACCAGAAGTTCCGCGACTTCAAGCAGACGTTTGGCGCGCAGAACGTCGGCATCCTGACTGGCGACGTGCAGATCAACCCCGAGGCGCCGTGCCTGATCATGACGACGGAGATTCTGCGCAGCATGCGTGAGTGGCGCAATGCGCGGCGCACAGCCTTGGTCCTGACGGCTGCGGCACAGTGTACCGCGGCGCCGATCTCATTCGCGACGTCGAGTTTGTCATTTTCGACGAGGTGCACTACGTCAACGACCAGGAGGTGCGTGCCAGCTGCCGTCCCCTTGCCGCTCCGCTGAACAGCCCCGCGCAGCGCGGAGTGGTCTGGGAGGAGGTCATCATCCTCTGCCCGCAGCACATCAACCTCATCCTGCTCTCCGCGACCGTGCCGAACACAAAAGGTAGGGCCAGCAGTGCGGCATGTAGCTCACGGTACTGACCGCGCATGGCCCGAAGAATTCGCCGACTGGGTCGGCCGCACGAAGAAGAAGGACATCTACGTGATCAGCACGCCGAAGCGTCCCGTGCCGCTCGAGCACTTCCTCTACGCCGGCAAGGAGCTGCACAAGATCGTCGATACGCGTGGCCAGTTCCTCGGCAGCGGCGTCCGCGCTGCCACCGAGGCGCTGCGCCGCAAGCAGGACAAGGAGCGCGAGGCGGCCGGCCTGGCGCCGATCGGGCGAGGCGGTGCCGCCGGAGGGCGCGGCGGCGCAGGGCGCGGAGGGCCGCAAGGCGCAGGCCGAGGTGCGCCACGCGGAGCAAGAGGCGGAGCACGCAGTGGTGCGCCTGCCCTTCGAGGCCGCGGAGGCGGCGGCAGCGCAGCCGGAGGCAACAGCCGGCCGGGATTCGGCGGCGACAAGAGCCTCTGGATCAACCTCGTGAACCTGCTGCGCAAGCGCGACCTGCTGCCCGTCGTCGTCTTCGTATTCTCGAAGCGGCGCTGCGAGGAATACGCCAGCTCGATGCCGAACACGGACCTCTGCAATGCACGCGAGAAGAGCGAGGTGCACATCCTGATCGAGAAGAGCCTGACTCGCCTGAAGGGTGAGCGGCGCAATGCACTTCACCACCGCAACCTGCTGATCAACATCGCACAGGCTCGGACAAGAGCCTGCCGCAGATTGCGCGCATGCGCGAGCTGCTCGCACGCGGCATAGGTGTGCACCACGGCGGCCTGCTGCCGATCGTGAAGGAGGTGAGATGTGCGGTGCGACGCTGTGTGCGCTCTTGTTGACGCCAGGGGAGTAGGTCGTCGAGATGCTGTTTCAGCGCGGACTCGTCAAGGTGCTCTTCGCGACCGAGACGTTCGCCATGGTGCGTACGAGCCGTGAGGCGCCGCTACGCATGCTCACACAGCTCCTGCAGGGCGTCAACATGCCGGCGCGGTCCGTCGTCTTCTCTGGCATCCGGAAGCACGACGGACATGGCTTCCGCGAGCTGCTCGCTGGAGAGGTCAGTCTCCACCGGTCCCCATATCTCTCCCGTTGCTTACGCAATCTGTCAGTACACGCAAATGTCGGGCCGAGCCGGCCGTCGCGGCCTGGATCCTACGGGCGTGGTCATCATCAACGCCAACGAGGACGTGCCGGATGTGAGTGCTGCGCTCGTTTGATCTGCGCCCCTCGCTGAGCCCTTGCAGACGGGCATCTTGAACAAGATGCTTCTTGGCCAGGCGACGAAGCTGTCGAGCCAGTTCCGCCTGACGTACAACATGATCCTCAACCTGCTGCGCGTCGAGGCGCTCAAGGTCGAGGAGATGATCAAGCGCTCCTTTTCCGAGAATGCGTCGCAACGCCTGCTGCCCGACCAGCAGCGGAAGGTCAAGGAGGTGCGTCCGAAACCCAGACCTGCTGGGATACCGGCGCTATCGCTGTGCTGCCAGACGCTCGCGGCCTGCATATCTTGCTGACGCCTCGTTCCAGGTCGAGCGACAGCTTGCGCGCCTGCCTGCTGTGCCTCCGGAGCGGGAGGAAGACATCAGCCGCTACTACGACCTTGCCCACGCCGCCGTGGCCTCGAATCAAGGCATGCTTGAGGTCGCCCTCGCGCAGCCACAGGGCTCGAAGATGCTTGCCGCCGGCCGAGTCCTTGTGCTGCGTGACGAGCACTTTGACTTTGACGTGGCCGTCGTGGTGCGCTCCGTCGCCGACGGCCTCTTCCTCGTCCTTGCTGCAGTCTCGCCTGAGCGCAAGGCGGGCACGCTGGGTGAGTCGCGCGCCAGGTCCATTCACTGCGCCGCTGCTGACCTCCAGCAGACGTTGAGTCTGGCAAGGTCACTCCGCTGTGGCCCGCGACGCTGCGCGATCGCCCCGCAACGGGCCTGGTCTACGACCTGCGGGAGGTGCCGCTGAGCTCAATTGTGCTACTCACGCCGCATCTGCTGAAGGTGTGTTCCGCAGGCTCCCCAATGAGACCTGCCCCCCCGCTCATCATTGCCGCACAGATCGAGACGAGCATGATCATGGCGCACCGCATCTCGGCCATGCAGCGCACGGCCGACATGCTGGCGCCGCTCGTGGCCGAAATGGGCGCCGCCGATGCCGTTCCCGAGGTTGACTGGTCGCGCCTGCGCCGTCTGGAATTCCAGGAGGCGCTGCGCTCGCGCGACGGCTATGCGTCACGTCTGGCTCAGCACACTGCCTGCACGACACACGAGAGCTTCGCGAGCGAGGTGAGTAGGCTGGTGTGCCGAGACCTCCGCCTGCTGACCGTCACTCTCGCAGTACGCAATGATGCACGCGCGCAAGGCGCTTGGGACACGCATCAAGGCGCTCAACCTGTCGATCTCCGACCAGAACCTGGACCTGCTGCCCGACTACCAGCAGCGCATTGCCGTGCTCAAGACGCTGCGCTTCGTCGACCCCGTCTCAGAGGCAGTGCTGCTCAAGGGACGCGTCGCCTGCGAGATCAACTCGGCCGACGAGCTCCTGTTGACGGAGCTGATCCTCGACAACTTCTTCAATGCGCTCACGCCGCAGGAGAGCGTGGCGCTGCTCAGCGTCTTCATCTTCCAGGAGAAGACGGACATGCAGCCCGAGCTGCTCCCGCGTCTCGCAGAGGTGCGTCGCCAGATCCGTGCACCATCCAGCGACGCTGACAGTCCCTTCGCCAGGGCTACGCCACCATCATCGCCACGTCGGAGCGAGTCAGCGCCGTGCAGGCGGCCCACCACCTCAACCACACCGACTTTGAGACGGCGCTCAAGACGGGCCTCGTCGAGGTCGTGTTTGAGTGGGCCAGCGGCATGGTGCGTACAACGATCGTGGTGTGAGAGGCAGCATGCTGCAAGCTGGCGTGCTGTGCCGTGCTTGCTAGCTGCACCCTGCGCTCCTTGGACGTGCTCCTCCGTGCCGCATTACGCCCTGCCCTGGCCTGCGCTGACGCCGCGCGTCACAGCCCTTCAGCAAGATCACCGACCTCACCGACGTGGCCGAGGGCACGATTGTGCGCTGCATCACGCGCCTCGACGAGACGTGCCGCGAGGTGCGCGACGCGGCGCGGGTCATTGGCGACGCCGACCTGTTCCAGAAGATGGAGGCGGCGCAGGAGTGCATCCGGCGCGACATCATCGCGTGCGCCAGCCTGTACGTGTAGCCGGCAGCAATCGAGCCAATGCCGCATGCTCGCCACTGGCCTGAACCTGCCGCGTGCCGCATTCTGCTGTACGCGCGGTGGCCGCTTTGCTTGGAACGAGCATAATATGGTCAGTGTGTTGCGGGATGGACGTGTGAAGGAAGAGCTGCTCGCCGGGCAACATGCTCGGGTCGGTGATTCGAGGCGACGCGGGGCCGTCGCACGGTCGCGCTGTGTGTGCTCCGCACACCCCGCATTGAGAATTCTGCCTCCCGAGCAAGGCGTGGGCTGCTGCTTGCGAGGCTCCTCCTGCGGCTCTGATGCTGCGGTGCAGCTGCTGCACGGCGTCGATCCGCCGCGGCCAGCCGGTCCTGCGCCTGGCCCAGCCCTGCATGCTGCGCCTGCGAAGGCCGTCCGGCGATGCCGCAGCCGGCGAGCGCTGGACGGCGGCAGCGCAGCACCACAGCACGCCGCACCGCTCTCACTCGACTAGACTCTCCCTCGCACTCGACTCTTCTGCTCTCTGGCTCCCGCAGCTTCGCGCTTATTCTGGGGTGAGCTGCCTGCCCGTAGCTCTGTCTGATGTCTGTATTGAGCGCTGCTGCTGGGCCGAGACAGCGGGCCGAGCTGCCTTTCAGCAGCACCCGGCACCGCCGACCGATGCTGCTGCGGTGCCGCAGCCGTCGAAGAGAGCGCGTCGTTCTGCTTGCGCTTCGCTCTCCGCACTCCGCACCCGCTGCGCGCTAAAGCGTGCGGAGTGCGGCGTGCGCCAGACTGCCGCCGTGCCTGCGCAGCAAGCATGGTCCAGACGCGGCGACTCCGGCAGCGGAGCGGAGCCGGCGCGGCGCAGCACGGCTGCGGTGCCGCAGCCCAGCGACGCAGATGCAGCGCGATGGCGACGAGGACGCTTGATGCGGCGGTCGCGTGGTGCCGGCGCTGCGTCTGTGCCGAGGCGGGCGGCCCGCCTGCGAAGTCAGAGTCTAGTCTGCTGCCGTCTGCTGCCGCATCGGCCCCCGCCCTCTGCCGCTGCGCTGCTTTGCCCGCTCTTGCTCTGCTGCGCTGCGTCTTCGCTGCCTGCCCCGCAGCCGCGTCCGCTTCGCCGCACGCCGACGTCGCGGGCGTGTCACGGCTGCGTCTGCGCCGGTGCCCTGGCTGCCCTCTGATGCGCGACTGGGGCTGTGAGACCGAGACCGATGCCGAGTGAGGGACAGTCGCGCGCAAACGCTGACACGCGCTTTGTGCCTGTCGCCGCTGCGCGGCTCTTCCGCTGCCGCCTGCTCGGGGCCGCCGCTGCCCGCCGCCGCTCCGTCCTCACACCCGCCTTACCCCTCTCTCACTCCTCGCTGCACCCTCACACCCTCCAGCTTGCCTTCGCCCGCGTCCACGCTCTCTTCGCTCTATACCTCGGCCTCTGCGCGCCGACCTCTTCGCTCTTCTGCGCACCCGCTGCGCGCCGCTTGCTTCCTTCTTTGCGCACCGCCGCGCCGCTGCCTCGCACCCGGCCTCTTCTCCACGCACGCGCCATGCAGCTTGCCACACGTGCGCTGCTTGCGCTGCTCGGCGCCGCCGCCGTCGCTGCCCAGGGTGAGTGATGCATGATGGCGGGCGCAGAAGCGTGCGCCGTGCTGGCGTACCACGTCGCTGCGGCCGGCATGCGCGCGACGCCGGCGCCTCGCACTGACGCATACCCGGCAGGCACGACGGACGTGCGCACGCTCAGCATCGACACGGACATCGCCAAGACGATCCAGCGCTACACGATGGGGCCCGGCGGCTCGACGCCCGTCTTCATCTCCACCGACACGTCCTTCGTGCCGCCGGTGACGTCGTCGGCGTCGGGCACCATCCTGCCGACGCTGAACCCCGTGCCGTCGTTTGACATGAGCTCGGCCGCCGCGGCCGCTGCGTCGTCGGGCGCGCTGAACCGCACCGCCTCGTCGAACTACACGCTGCCCAGCGCCACGGCGACGGCGACGCCGGGGCCCGGCTTCGTCGTGCAGCAGTCGAACCCGTACGTGATGCAGGTCGTCGACCCCAAGGACCTGCCGAAGATGAACTTCAACCTCGCAAACGAGACCGAGGTGCGCCGGCAGGTCATCTGCGGGCAGCAGACCAAGTTCTGCGCCACGGCTGGCTGCGCCGAGGCGGGCGCCACGATCAACGTGAGTGTGCGGTCGGGCGGCGCGGCCGCAGGAGAGTGGCGCTCACCTCTCTGTGCAGTACAACTTCTGCGACGTCGACACGCTTGCCTCGCGCTGCACGTGTGACAAGGGCGCCTCGAACCTGCAGCAGTGGAAGTGGCCGGTGCAGTTCTCCGACTGCCTGGCGCGCGCCACGACGTGCGCCGACATGTGCTCCATTCCCGGCGGCACGACGGCGCAGCGCACGGCGTGCAAGAGCGCCTGCCAGACCAACTTCCGCGACACGTGCGGCATGCCCGGCCAGTACTCGGCCAACTACGCCGTCGCCAAGAGCGGCGACAAGCCGAATCTCGACATGATGCAGGGCGGCACGGCCGGCGACGGCGCCGCCTTCCTGCGGGCCAGCTCGCTGGCCGTGGCGGCGGCGTTTGCCTTTGCTGCCGTGCTCCTCGTCGCATGATGCGGCCCTTGGCTCTCCAGCGCCTTTCTCTGCTTCCTCTCCGCTACCATACTTATTCCTCGCCTGCTCGGCCTTTACCCAGCGCCCTCCGTCACCGAGCGGATGCGTGCGCTCTGCCGCCTGTCTTTGCACCCGTCTGCTGTCCCGCGCGCAGTCATGCAGCCGCCGCGCCTCTCCCTGCCATTGTACTGCTCTCCCGCTCAATCCACGCCACCTCACCAGGCAGATGCGTGATGCTCGTGCAGATAAAGTACAGCCGGATGAGATAGATACAGGCGGTGCAGGGTCTATGGGTCGAGTCCAGTGATGTGAAGCAGCGCGTCGAGCTCGGGCTCGTCGCCCTCGTGTTCCAGGCCGCCGCGCCAGCGCCACACGTCGAAGCGATGGTTCAGCCCGCTCTGCTCCTGGATGACGTACGGGCCGCCGTCCTCGCCGCCAACGCAGCGGCGGCCCAACGCGCCGCAGCAGCCGCCGGCGCCGGGCGCCGCGCGCAGGAAGTACAGGCTGCGCACGCGCGAGTGCACGAGGGCCATGCAGCACGACATGCACGGCTCGTGCGTGGTGAAGAGGGCGAGCGAGTTGAGCAGGTAGTCCTGCCCGTTGCTGACGGGCGCACGCGATGGCGATGCAGCCTTTGGCCGGCCGTTGGGTGAGCTCTGCCGTGCCGCGTCGTCGGCGCCGAGGCCAGACACCGTCGGCGAGGGCGTGCGGGCAGGTGAATCCTCGGCGAGCAAGCCCCTTGTGCGCTCCTTTTCGCGCTCGACCCTGATGCGCGCCACGTACTTGATGGCATTTGTGACGGCGTGCTTCATCGGGTTGCGCTCGCTGATGCGCGTGTCGTGGGCTTCGGCCTCGATGCGCCCGCTGGTGGCAGGCGGGCACGTGCTCGCCCACGGCGGCGGCTGGATAGGCGTGGTGACGAACGCCGCGATGGGCAGCTCGCCCTTGGCCTTTGCCTGCCGCGCCAGGCCGACGCAGCGCAGCATCGCCTGCCGCGCCCACTCGGTGTTCTCGGCGTTCCATGCCGCCGCATCAGCGTCGCGGTCGACGAGTCCATTGTATGTCGAGCCGGACGGCAGCACCGAGGAGCTCGAGCCGTTGACGCTGGGCCTGATGCCGACAGGCCAGAGCGCGGACCACTCTGCGCTGCGAGCCTTGCACGGAGCCGGGTCAATGGGCACGTCGCGGAGCTGCGGCGTCGGCTCTGCTCCGGCGATCGTAAAGTCGCGCGCGTTGAGCTCGTCCATGAGGGCCACCAGTGTGGCGCGCTCCGGCAGGTCGCGCTGCGTGCAGATGAGCGCCTGGATGCCGGCTGCTGCGCCGTCGTGCTGGTCCGATGCGCGCGGCGAGGTGCGCCGGAACTGGCGCAGGTGCTTTGTCGTCTCGGGCGCGTGCTCGGTGAAGTGCGGGTGCTGCTGCAGCCTGCGCAGGAACTGGCCAAAGATGGCCGTCTTGCGCGGCTCGACGTCGACAACCCAGGCGGGCACCGTCTCGAGCGGCGCGTGCAGCGGGTCGATGGCGGTCGTGATGCGCCAGAGCTTGCTCGGCGCGCCCGGAGCAAGCTGGCTGGTTGCGCTTGCGCTGGCAGCGCCGTTGCTCGCCGCTTCTTTGCGGACAGCCCGCGGAGTCTCGGGCTGCGGCGGGTCAGCGCTGGGTGCCGGCGCAGCAGAGGCCGCCTCGGCCGCCGGCAGCGGCACCTGTGCCGAGCTGGCGCACGCGTGGCCGTTGGCCTCGCTGATGCCCTGCGTCTTCGAGGCGCCGGCGTCGCCCTCGTCGTCGGAGTCGAGGCTGAGGCGCAGCAGCTCGTCCTCGCTCGGCTCGCTGGCGGCATCGTCGGCGGGCGCGTCCGTCTCCCACCACATGCGCCCGACCCCGTAGCTGATGCAGAGCTCGTCGCCGGCGCTCACGGCGCGCATGAGCGTGTAGCGGATCGAGTGTGTAGCATGGTCGAGCGTGTAGCTGACGTTGGGCAGGTGCGGCGCGTGGTTGAAGAGCGAGCCTGCCGATGCGCTGTGAGCCACGCCGCGGCCCTGCCGCCAGCAGCCCGCACTCACCGATGCCCAGCGCAATGGCCATGTCGCTGCCCGCGGCGCCGCGGCGCTGCCAGACGAACGTGTAGCAGTCGAGCTGCGTGAAGCGGCCGTGGCGCGCATACTCGTCGGCGGGGAAGACGAGCACGGGGCTGACCTCGAGGAGCGTGCCGACGGGCAGCGCACGCGCCGCATACACGCCACGCCCGGCGCCCGGCGCAGCGCGGATGGCGATGAGGCTGTTGAGGTGCGGCGTCGCGGCCGGATAGCTGCTGCCGCTGCCATTCGTGTGCGCGGCGCCGTGCTGCACGCCCGTCGGCGAGATGCCGAGGCGTGCGTTTGTCGGCGGCTCGGGCGCCAGGCCGTGCCCGTTGGAGTGTGCGATGCCGTTCAGACTGCTCGCCGTGGTGCTTTCGCCATCGCCCTGTGCGCTGCCTGTGCCGTGCAGCCCGTTGCGACCCGGCGCCTGCTTCACCGGGCCTGCCGCGCTAGTACGCGCACCGCTGCTGCTGCTGGACGGAGCATGCTGCGGCGCACTGGGCATGGGACGGCGGGCGGCACGGAAGGCAGAGGCGGGCGGAGGCGGCGGCGCAGTGCGGCAGCGGCGGCGGCAAGGGGAGCGATGGTGCGGGGTGTGGAGGAGCAGACGCAGGAGCGGCGTGGCATGTGTGATGCTCACACGAGGGTGACTTCTTCGGAGCAGGCTGCAGGGCGCGCATCACGTGCGCGCCGCCCGCGGCCACAGCACCGGCAGCACCGCTCTCCGCGCACCGGCGCAGGCAGGCGGCTGTATGCGTCTGCATTGCAGCCATAATCACAGCAGACAGCCTGGCTGTGGCGACTGTCCGGCTGCAGCTCAGCTCTGGGCGGAGCGGGGCGGGTGCGGTGAGCGGCGGCGCCTGGCGGGGCGCGTCTCGCACGGCAGCCGCACGCACGGCCAGCCGCGCCTCGGCCAGCCCCGCGCCGCGCACGTCTCGCTGCTGCTCGGGCGGTGGAGTCGCGGCAGCGGCACGGGCTGCCTCCGCTCCTCCGCATCCCATCCGGCGCTCTCGCCTGCGCACGCCGCTCCTGCACGGCACCCTCGCACCCGCCTGCGCCGCACACCATGCCCTCGCCCGCCGCCGACGAGCGCACCGCCGCCGCATCGCCGTCGCCGCCGCCGGCCGGCGAGCGCGCCGCCTCGTCGGCGCCCTCGGCGTCGCGCAGCAGCACGCGCTCCGCCGCACGCAGCACCGCACGCCGCAGCGAGCGCAGCCGCTCGCAGCGCCGCCGCGACGACGACGCCGCGCTGCGCCCCAAGCGCGAGGAGGGCGCCGACGACGGCGACGCGGCGCGCGCACCCTCGCCCGCCGACGTCAAGCCCGCCGGCGCGGCCACCAGCGACGCCGACGCCGCCAGCACCGGCTCGGGCGCCGGCAGCTCGCCGCCGCCCGCCGCCGCGCCGCAGACGTCCGACAAGCACCGCCAGCGCAGCGTGTCGACGTTCAAGGAGCTCGCGTCGCTGGGCCTGCGCGCGCTCGGCGACGGCGAGGAGGAGCCGCTGCTGCCGCGCCGCAGCCGCCGCGTGCTGAGCCCCGCACGCCGCGGCAGCGACGAGAGCGGCAGCGACGGCGACGAGGAGCACGACGCCGCCGCCGAGGCGCGCGACGACGACGAAGACGATGACGACGACGAGCGGCAGGCGTGGGACGGCGAGGAGGGCGGCGAGGGCGAGACACGCTGCGTGTGCGGCAGCCAGGGTGCGTCGGCCATCCCTCGCCGGCAGCGAGAGCACAGCCACTGACACCTTGTCCCCAGATGAGAACGTCGGCCTCATGATCCAGTGCGACTCGTGCAAGTGCTGGCAGCACTGCATCTGTATGGGCATGCACACCGAGGACGAGTGCCCCGACGTGTACTTCTGCGAGCAGTGCCGGCCGGAGCTGCACCTGCCGCTGCTGCGCTCGCTCGGCGTGCTGCCGCCGGCGCGCTCGCACAAGAAGGGCGCCGCGCGCGTCTCGGGCAAGAACCCGGGCCGCGACGCCAAGAAGGACCTGCGCGAGGCCAAGGACGCCGTGCTGCTCCTCGCCGCCGACAACGAGCGGCGCCGCAAGGCGGGCCAGGAGGTGCTGACGGGCTGGAGCGTGGCGCAGAACCCAGCGCTGGCGGCATTGGCGCCGGGCCTCGGCGGCAGTGCGCACGGCTCGCCGCCGGGCGCCGGGCGCGCCTCGCCGCCGTCGCCGCCGCCGACGCGCTCGCACCGGCGCCAGTCGAGCGAGGCGGCGGCGCGCCACGCCCGCAGCCAGAGCCGCGACGACGACAAGAGCGGCGGGCGCCACAGCCCCAAGCGGCGCAGCACGATGAACAGCCGCGACAGCGCCTACGGCTGGGAGCCCATCCCGCCCGGCCTGCTCAACGACGACGACGAGCGTGACGAGCCGGCAATGCGGGCGAAGCGGAAACGCGGCGATGGGTGAGTGGCAGTTGAATTGCGGCAACAGTGCTGCCTCAGCGCCAGTGCCGCCGCCTCCAGGATCCGCGCACTCACTGAAGCACATCGCAGGTCTCCTACCCGCTCGGCGTCGCCAGAGCAACGAGCGCCCGAGAAACGGAGGCGCGGTCATCAGGACGAGGACGCCTCGCCGGCTTTGTCAAGTAAGGACGTCCGGCGCGGCGCTCGGCGAGATGCCGTCAGCGAGGCAGACGGGACGGAGCGCGCGGGCAGCGAGGACAGCATGGCGGGCCCGAGCGAGAGCGCTGGCGCATCTGCCTCGGCAGCCACCGGCGCAGGCTCGAGTGCGTCGAAGAAGAGCGGCAAGAAGAAGGGCGGCGAGGGCGGTGCGACGTCGGCGCCGGCCAAGCATCCGAACCAGTACACCTACCGCAACAAGGAGCGGCCCGGGGCCGCCGGTGCAGCGGCAAGCGGCAGCGCCTCGGCCGCCGGCGCATCGGTGCAGCCATCGGGCGGCGAGTCGCCCAGCCCCAGCCCGTCCAAGCCGCGGCAGCCCGAGGGAGCGGCGGCGCGGCGAGGCGCAGCCTCGCTGCGCGTCGAGGCGTCTGCGTCGCGCAACAGCACGCCCACGCCGCACACGGAGAGCTCGGGGCGCGCCAACAACCCCGGCTCGGCGTATGGCCTGCCCGACCACCTGGCGCACCTCTTCCCGCTGCTCGCCGACGCGAGCCTCGAGCCGCTGGAGCTGCACCCGCCGGCGGCGAGCAAGGTGCCGCTGCGCCCCGTGCGCAACGGCGGCGACGGCGACGACGAGGCGCCGCTCGTCGAGGCCGTGCCGTACACGACGACGACGGTGAGCGAGGCGCGCACCAAGATCCGCTTCCCAGCCAAGCGCATGACGCTGGGCGAGATGCGCAAGCGCGTGCGGCACATCGGCGAGTACGTGGCGCGCGCCCAGCTCGAGGCCGTCGAGCGGGCCCGGCGCATGCGCCTGCTCGGCATCGACATGACGCCGACGGCGCCGGACGAGGAGATGCGCGACGCAGCGGCGCCCGACGGTGCCAATGGCGCAGCAGCCGAAGACAAGGCCGAGGGTGACGGCGATGGCGACAAGACGGCGGCAGCGGTTGCAACACCCACCGCCGATGCCCCACTCGACGCTGCGCCTGCGCGCCGCGGCAGTGCGACGCCGCAGAGCATGCGCCTGGCCGAGGAGCTGAGCCGCGAGCTGGCGTCGTTCACGCAGCGCTTCGGTGCAGCGCCGGGCGTGGCGGCGTAGTGCTGCTGCTGTGTGTGTCTGCTGTGCGCTGTCTGCTGCTGCTGTCCTGCAAATGTATCTGTACTGTGCTGCCTGTGCGTGTGAGCTCGACGCGCCGTCCAGCGAGCGCGATGCGGGGAACGAGGCGCGAGGCGCGGGACGTGGAGGCGCCACGCGGCATGCGCGAGGCATGCGGGCGGCAGCAGCAGCTGCTTCTGGTGTTGCGTGCGCATTGCATGCACAGGCCAACGCATCCTTCGCGCTTCCTGCCTCCGCTCCACCACACCCTCGCCGCACCTGGCTCGCTTCGCTTGTCGCCGCGCCGCCATGCCGTCGGCCGCGCTGCTGCTCTGGGCGCCGCTGCCGCTGCTCGCGCTGCCCGCCGTGGCGGCGCTGCCCGGCCTGGCGCCGACGCTGCTGCTGCTGCCCGCCGCCTTCCACGCCACGTCGCACGCCGTCGCCGCCTGCCGCGCCACGCTCCTGGCGCGCGGCTTTGCCGGGCGCGACCTGCTCAAGCCGCACCGCCCCGAGCTTGTGTGAGTGCGGCGGCTGGGCGTGTGGGCGGGCGTCGTAGCGCTGACATGTGCCGCCAGGCCCGAGTCGGCCGGACTGCCGGCGGCGGCGACGTACGTGCTGCTGCTCTTCTGCTTCATCCCCTTCAAGTATGCGCGCTCCGACGTGCACGACCTCGAGGCGCGTGCCGACGGCGCCTGGCAGGGGCAGATTGGTGGCCGCTCGGGCTTCCCGCACCACGAGGTGAGCTGCAGGCCGAGCGTGCTTGCGAGCATGGCGCTTCGAGACAGGAGGGCTCCGTCAGAGCGCTCACGCCGCCCGCACAGCTCTCGCTTTACCTCTGCGCACTGCTCTCCATCCTCTCGTCTGTGCTGCTCGGCTGGCTCGACGACATCTTCGACATCCGCTGGCGCCTCAAAATGCCAATCCCACTCGTCGCGAGCCTGCCGATGCTCGTCGTCTACCACGCCGGCGGCGGCGGCACCAGCGTCGTTGTGCCTGGCTGGCCGGGCTTCCTGCGCGAGCTTCTCGGCCGCGTCATTGATCTTGGTGAGTGTACGCTTGGCGTGGCACACGCAGTCTCGCATCTCAACGCCGCACACGTCCGGCAGGGCCGCTCTACTACGTCTTCATCTCGATGCTCTCCACCTTCTCGGTGCACAGCATCAACATCCTTGCCGGCATCAACGGCGTTGAGGTGGGGCAGGCCGTCGTCATTGCGGCCAGCCTGTGCGTCAACTCGGCCATGTACCTCGACCCGCGCGCCGGCGAGCCGGGCTCGTGGGCGAGCAAGGAGCTGCGCGACCGCCACCTCTTCAGCCTCAGCCTGCTGGTGCCGTTCTGCGGCTGTGCGCTTGGCCTGCTGCGCTGGAACCGGTGAGGCAGCATGTGGCCGTCTGCGTGCTGCTCACAGGGCTGACACCCAGCACAGCTTTCCCTCGCGCGTCTTCGTCGGCGACACGTGGTGCTACTTTGCCGGACAGGTGCTGGCGTGCGCCGGCGTGCTGGGCCACTTCAGCAAGACGCTGCTGCTCTTCTTCATTCCGCAAGTCTTCAACTTCCTGCTCAGCTGCCCGCAGCTCTTCGGCATCGTGCCGTGCCCGCGCCACCGCGTGCCCAAGTGAGTATGCGCCCAGTGGCCAAGCATGTGCGCTGCGGCTGACGCACGGCAAACAGGGTGCACGCCTCGAGCCTCGCCCTGTATCCCTCGCGCGCTTTACTGAAAGACGCCAAGCCGTCAGCCAAGCTGTCAGCGCTGCGGCGGCCCATCCTGGAGCTCCTGCAGGCGCTGCGCCTCGTGCAGCTGGAATACGACAAGCGCGGGGCCATCACCAGCACGACGAACCTGACGCTCATCAACGCGCTCCTCGTCTTCGCGGGCGTGCGCGGCCCGCCTTCGCTGCCTGCCGACAGCGCAGACGGCGAGGGAAAGGAGGCCGCCGCAGATGCAGCTCCCAGCGGCCCGCGCATCACCGAGCCGACGCTGTGGGGCCTTGTCATGGGCACGCAGATCGCCGGCAGCCTGCTCGCCTTTACGGTGCGCTACTGGCTCGCCGGCGTCGTCTTTCCCGTCCAGTAGAGTTGTCATCCGCCCAGACAGATGCTCAATAGAGGTGTATTTTGCCCGGCCCTAGGCGGGTGCTGCCACGGCCGCAGCTGGGATGACGTCGCTCGGAGGCGTGCCGATGTCGTGCACCGGGCCCTTGCCTGAGAGACGGACGTCAGCTTCGCTTGATAGACGAGCCCTCGCAGCGACTCACCCGCCAGGCCGTCCAGCTGGAACCAGTTGCACAGCGGCTCTTCCCGCCCGCCGAGCGCGTTGAGAATGTCCTGCGCCAGCACGCCGCCGATGATGGCACATGTGGGTGAGAAGTCGCCGTGTGTCGTCTGACTCCGCAGGAAGGATCTGCGAGGGCCACGTCAGCCAGCGCCGGCGGAGCCGCTCGAGCTGCTCACGTGAAGAAGGACACCTCATCGGGCTCGCCGCCTGCTGTGAGCACGCTCGACGGCACGCCGGCTGCGTCGAGGATCGTGAGGCAGGTCTTGTGCAGCTCTTCCGGTGATGGCGGCTGCTCGGATGAGCCGCTTGGCCGCGACGTGTGCTCCCACAGCGCTGTGTAGTGCGTCAGCGGCGGCTGCATGCCCCCGCGCTGCACGCGACTCACCCCACGTCGCAAAGACACCCGGGCTCATGCGCTTGCCCTTCTTGCCCTTCCACTTTGTGCGCAGTGCCTCCTGCAGCGTGACAAAGGCCTGCCGCTTCTTGATCTGCACCTTCTCGGGCTGCGCCGACGTCGCCTCGGCAGGCGCAGCGGCCGCAGCGGCAGCAGCTGTGGGATCGGCGCTGCTGCTGGTGGTGGCCGCCAGCGGCGCAGGCGCGGCCGATGTCGAGGCGACGGGCCGCTCGACGATGTACTCATGGCGCGGCCCGAGGTCCGAGAAGATGTAGCCGCCGAAGCCCTGTGCCGCAGACACGTAGTATTTGAGCGAGAGCGTGCGGCAGAGGTCGTTGAGCTGGATCTGTGGACAGGGTGGAGGTGAGCAAGGGGCGCTGCGAGGGCGACGCAGCCACGCACAAGACGGGTGCGGTCGTGTGCCAGCTCGGCAGAGACGACGAGCACGGCGACGCCGAGCTCGGCCAGGCGCGCCGCGACGTCCTCGTGCGCGCCCTCGAGCAGCGGGCCGTGCAGCACGTCGACCTTGACGAGCGGATTGAGCGCCTGGACGCGCGGCAGCGCACAGGCGGCACGCTGCGGAGAGCAAGTCAGTGTTACTCTGCGGGGCTGCCGGTTGCGCTACAGCGTGTGCGTCTGGCCTCCGCGCCCACTCACGGCGTTGCCCACGTCGTCCTCGCGCCAGAAGAAGCCGGCCTCGAGATCGCCCGGCTGCACGGGCGCGTCGTCGAGCAGGCTGACGCGCCCGACGCCGGCGAGGACGATGTTCTTGAGCGCCTCGGTCGCGACGCCGCCGAGGCCGGCGAGGAGGATGTGGGAGCGGCGCATGCGGTTCTGCGCCTCCAGGCCCCAGAGGCGGATCTGGCGGTCGTAGAGCGCGGCCTCGGCTGGGGGCGGCGTGAGCAATGTAGACGGTGTCGGTGCAGCACGGCGACGCACCCTCGTCGACGTCGCCGCCGGTGTGTGTGGGTGCGGCTGCCATGCTTGCGGCGAGTGTGGTGGGTGTGCGGCAGGCGCGAAGGCGAGGCGAGGGCGAGGCGGCGCCTCATCATCAGCCGGCGGCGCGCCGCGGCGCACAACGTGGAGGCCGCCGCTGCATCTCGTGCGGGAGGCGCTGCTGCCATGCCGCCGCATCGACCTCCTTCTGGCCGCACCCAGGCCATCACTCACACCACCACCCACCAGCACCCGGCCTCTCTCGCCGCCATGGACCTCGACGGCCTGCCGCCCATCACGCGCCTCTGGGCCGGCAGCGCCCTCGCCCTCGCCGTCGCCGAGCACGTCGCCCTCGTGTCGCCCTACCAGCTCTTCTTCTCGCCGCGCCTCGTCTTTGCCCGCGCCCAGCTGCACCGCCTCGCCACCTGCTTCCTCTACTTTGGCCCGCTCGGCGTCGACTTTCTCTTCCACCTCTTCTTCTTCCTGCGCTACAGCCGCATGCTTGAGGAGAGCCACTTTGCCGGGCGCCGCGCCGACTTTGTCTGGCTGCTCCTCGTCGCCAGCGCCGCGCTGCTGGCGCTGGCGCCGCTGGCCACGCTGCCGTTCCTCGGCAGCCCGCTGGCCTTTGTGCTCGTGTACGTGTGGAGCCGCTGGAACCGGCACGTGCGCCTCAGCCTCTTTGGCGTGCTCGTCATCTCGGCGCCGTACCTGCCGTGGAGCCTCGTGGCGTTCAGCTGGCTCATCAACGGCAGCCCCAAGGCGGCCGTCGGCGACATCCTCGGTGTCGCCATCGGGCATCTGTGTGAGTGCGCGGGCGGTGCAGCTCGGCAGCGGTAGCAGTGTGGTCCGAGCTGCAGCCACGGCGGCAGTGCAGCGTCGCAGCTCCAACACTGACCCCCTCGCAGACTACTTCCTCGTCGACGTCTGGCCGCGCGAGGTGCGCAGCGGCGGCCGCAACTGGCTGGCCACGCCGACGCTCTTGTGCGTGCTCCACACACCCGCTGCGCACGCTTTCCGCTCACAGCTCTCCTCTGCAGTGCACGCCTCATCGACGGGCCCCGCCGCGATGACTAGCGCCCGTCTCCCCGTCACCCGTCTCTGCCGCGCCATCTGTACTTCTAGCTCATCACATGCCATCCGCACCACATCTCGCTGCATCACACGCCTCGGCGTGGGTATCTTGCATTGCGCATGCTCACGCCTCGTCGTCGCTGTCGCCGGCGGGCCGCTTGAAGGCGATGCTGGCGCCCTCGGCGGCGCGCGCGATCTTGCGCCGCTTGCCCTCGCGCTCCTCGTCCTCGCCATCGGCCGCCGCCGCCGCATCCCCAGCCGCTGCGCCCTCGGCCTTCTTCTCGCCGCCCGCTGCGCCTGCGCCGCCCTTTGCGCGTGCCTTCTTCTTGTCGCGCTTCGCCCGGTTCTTGAGCGTCTTGGCGTCTGTGCTGGCCGCCAGCTCGGCCTGCCGCTTGGCAAATGCCGCCGTCTCTTCCTCCTGCACGCAGACGTGTGTCAGCTAATGTGGTCGCGGCATACGCGCTGCAGACGCCTGCGCTGCTCACCTTCTTCGCCTTGTCCTCCATGAGCTTGACGCGCTCGTACTCGCGCCGGCGCGCGTGCTTGTAGACGTGGAACTCGCCGCTGCCGGCGCCGGCGCTGGAGCCCGAGACATTCTTGATCATGTCGCGCGGCGCACGCAGCTCCTTCTCCTTGGGTGGGCCGGGCAGGCGCACGGCGCGCTCGGGATTGGCGAGCAGGCGGGCGACGGCGGCGGCCTGCACCTCCTGCGGCGTCTGCGGGCGCGGCGTGCGCGACGGGCCGGCAGCGGCCGCGTCGGCGGCGGCGGCGGCGGGAGAGTCGGCCATGCTGTGCGGCGCGAAGAGTGCCGTGTGCGAGCGAGGCGTGTGGTGGAGCAGAGGCAAGGAGCAGGAGCGCTGCGCGGTCCTGGGCTGCCGCGCGACCGACGAGGCGGCGTGGGAGCGCCGCCTGCGCTGCCCGCCGTCAGGAGCCGCGCCGGCCGCTTTGCCTCTCGCTCCCACAGCCGCCGCCGCGCCGTCAATCAGCAGCCATCGGGCCGGCCCACACGCAAGCCGCAAGCATGCTGATGATGGGCACCGTCAGCGCACACTCGCCGCCGCCGTGGAGCAGCCGGCTGGCAGACGGCGTGAGGCACGCACTCGCAGCGCCGGCCGCGCCTGCCTCTCCACCACACGCAGCACCATGGACAGCTCCTCCTCGCCCGAGCCGCCGAGCGGGCCCGCCAGCCGCGCTGTCGTGACGCCGCTCGTCGCCGCCGTGCTGGCCCGCTGCAACACGGCGCCGCACCTCTACACGACGCTGCCCGCCGGCGCTCCGGCGCTGCGCCGCGCCGCCTTTGCCGTGCGCCGCATCGAGGACCGCATCGCCCTCGGCCACGTCGTCAAGCTCGTGCAGAACGCCCATGGCGGCGCGCTGAGCGAGTACGCGCTCGTCAGCAGCATCGTCGACGCCGACGAGCCCGGCATGCCCGCGCGCATCTCCGGCCCTGTGCTCGTCGGCCAGGAGCGCACGCCGCTCGCGCCCGTCGGCCCGCTCGACGAGCTCTTCCGCACGGCGCGCGTCTGGCATGGCCGGGCGTCGTCGGAGCACATCAGCGGCCTCGTCGAGGGCGCGCGCCTGCGCTTTGCGTGAGTCTGTCTCCGTGGTCATAGTCTCGGCGCCGCTCACACCGATGCAGCTACGACGAACAGACGTGTGCGCTCGTGCCGCTCGACAATGCAGTGGCCTCGCCCGAGATCGAGCTGCACGAGCACGACTTCGTCTACATCGACGCGCCGCTGCCGTCTGCAGACGCCGGCGAGGTGCTCGTCCACGCGCCGTGGCGCATCGCGCAGATCCGCAAGCTCAGCCGCAGCGGCGCGCACAAGGTGCAGCTCTTCGACCGCACCGCCGCCGTTGATGGCTTCGAGGACGAGCAGCTGCTGAGCAAGGGCGCCAAGCAGGTGCTGCCGTCGGCGGCGTACATCCGCGGCAAGTGCTGGGTCGAAAGTGCGCGCAGCATGAAGGAGCGCGACCGTCTGCGTGGCCTGCCCGACGTCTTCTACGTCGCCGGCGACGTCAAGCAGTGCATGCGCTGCCGCGACGAGCGCGAGAAGCGCCAGCACATCGAGAGGCGTCTGAAGAAGCATCGGCTCAAGGCGCTCGATCTATTTGCCGGCGCTGGCGGGCTCAGCACTGGCGCCGTGCTCAGCGGGCTTGCCAAGTGCAAATGGGCCAACGACTTCGACTCCAGCGCCGCTGCAACGTTCTCGTCGCTGCACAACAAGGTCATCATTGACACACGCGACTGCAACGTGGTGCTGCGCGACATCATCGAGGGCCGCGCGCCGCCGCACATGCCTGATCCCGCAGAGGGCCTCGTCGACGTGATCACGGCGGGCCCGCCCTGCCAGGGCGAGTGCTTTCCTCTTCTCGCACTCGTCTGCATGGCTGACCCACTCGCAGGCTTCTCGCGCGCCAATATGGCCACGAACAACAAGTCGAGGCCGATGGATCCGCGCAACATGCTCGTCGCCACGACGCTCGCCTTCATCGACGTCTACCGGCCGCGCTTCGTCGTTCTCGAGAACGTCGGAGGCCTCGTGGATCCCGCAAATGGCAAGCTCGGTGAGTGGCGCACACCTGCCGCATCTGCTGCGTATGCTCACTCGTCGAGTCAGGCGACGTCGACGTCTCGCAGGGCTTCCTGAAGATGATCTTGACGAGCTTTTGCGAGATGGGCTACGGCGTGCGAGCGGTGAGCATCAGACAGGGAAGCTGCGCTCATGCGTGCTCACTCTCCTTGCCCAGCATATTGCTCAGGCGGTCGAGTACGGCGTAGCACAGTCTCGTCCGCGCATCATCTTCCTTGCCGCACGGAGCGGCGAGCCGCTGCCCGACTTTCCGCTCCAGACGCATGCCGGCTTCAAGAAGGCAACGCCCAAGCAGTTCAAGGTCGAGGGCTGTGACGCGCGCATCACAACCTGCCGCTGCGTCAACGGCGCGCCGCTGCCCGCAGTCACAGCCGGCGCAGTGCTCAGCGACCTGCCAATGTTTGACTGGATGAGCAGCTGCGAGCAGAGACCTTGCGCTGCGGCGCTGAGCATCACACAGGCCGATCCGCACGTCATCTATCCCGACAAGAATGACGAGCACGACCGCTGGCGTCGTGAGCGAGCCAAGATCATCCCGTCGTTTGAGGTGCCCAAGCGCGGCGAGAGCGACGTCGACCGCATTGGCCCGCAGAGCCCGTGCGCCTACCGCTGCCAGCCTCGCACGTCGCACCAGCTCGCGCTCCGACAGCTCGTCCCGGGCTCGGCGATCAGCAGCAGCGCGTACAAGCAGCAAGTTACGCAGCATCAGACGACGGTGCTCTCGCTCGACGCCTCGGAGCGCGTGTGCAACGTCAAGCTTGCGCCCAACGCCAACTACGACACGTGGCCGCCGTCGAAGCCGAAGCTTGCCTCATGGGGCTACAGCTCTCTTGCCGCGGCGTCCGCTCGCAAGAACTCGGCCTATCCGAAGGCGTATCTCCGTGCGGACCCCGCCGGCGCGCTGCAGATCTCGATGGCGCGCATGGATCCCGGCTCGAAGAGCGGCGGGAACCTGCACTGGGACCAGTACCGCCTGCTGACCGTGCGCGAGGTCGCCCGTGCTCAGTGCGTGCGCCGTGCGCTCGACTTACGCGGCGAAGCTGACCATCGCTGCGCAGAGGTTTCCCGGACGGCGTGCACTTTGCGACGGAGCACGGCTTTGGCGATGCGATCCGTCAGGTCGGCAGTGAGTCCTGGCGCGGAGGTGGCATGGGATAGCACGCTGACGCTGCTGCAGATGCTGTGCCCGTGCCTCTTGCGCGGGCAGTCTTCCGGTCTATCCTGCGAGCGCTCGTGGACCGAGAGCTTGCGACAGAAGATGAGGGAGAGACGGCATCGGCGAAGCGGCGGCGCGTGGATGAATGAGATTGAGCCTTGACGTTCAGAAGCCCCCGCTCGCTCTCCCACTTCCGCTCGCATGTGCGTTCTGGCGGCGAAGCATTCGCCCATCAGGAAAGGGGCTGTGCCGGTCGCACTAGGCAGAGAGCTCAGGCGCTGCCGGGAGATGAAGAGGCACGGGCGGCGGCGCATGAGAGGCGAGCGATGCAGCGGCGGCAGAGGGGCGGCGACTGGCCTGCTGCACGGCCCGCCGGGCTCGATCAAGTAGTGAGACAGCGCTGAAGGCTGTCCTGTCCGGCCCTCGGAGGCAGAGGCAGCAGCGTCAAGAGCCGCTGCTCTTTGGGACACAGCCTGCCTGCGGCTGCAGCGGGCGCACTTGGCTCTGGAGCCACGCTGTCGCCGCCTGCACGGACCTGTGCCCTCGGAACGCGTGACAGGTGCCGGCACGGAGGTTCATCAGCGACAGCTCGCGCCCCTTCCTCCTCCATCCCTTTCACCACATCAGTCGCTGCTCTCCGCGACAGCTGCGTTGTCCTACCACGCTCACCGCCACGTCACCACCGCGCGCTCGCTAGCGCCGTCAACGTGAGTATGAAGTGCAGCATTCCGTTCTGGGAACCTCGCGAGCGCCCTCAAGACCGCTGTGCTGTGGGCAGCGGCAGCACTGCTCACATGTACGAGCACAAAAATCTCATCGTTCTCCTATGCAGCTCTGCCTCAACATGACACGCCGTTCTCGCGCAAGCCGACCGGTCAAGAAGCTCAAGACCTCGCATCATCAACGCGCGCCCGAGCGCGCAGCCGTCACCGGCGTCCTCTCGCTGCCGCCCGAGCTTTTGACCATGATCTGCGAGCTGGTCTCGGATCGGGACCTGCTTGCGCTGACTTGCACCAACAGACTCCTTCGTGACCTTGCTGTACGTTCTCGTTGACGCTTCAGGCACTCGCCGCTGACACGAACATCACAGCCTTCTGACTCGCTCATGTGGCAACACCGGGGTGACAGAAGCAGCGAGAGGAGCAAGACAGACTTCCGCGCCGACACGACAAAGACCTATCTGACGGCCAAAGAGCGCTGTCTCATTCTCGGCTGCGTCCTGTGCTGGCATTGCCATGCTCGCAGAGCGGATGAGAAGGACAGCAGAAGGGCCTACTGCCAGCCTTGCTGGCGCGGCCTTGGTCTCTCGGCGCATCCATTGAAACCCGTGAGCAGACTTGAGCCCTGCCTCCAAGCTTTTCCTGACTCCACGTTTCATGTAGGTGTGCACTTCCGCAGGCGAAGCAATGCTCACCTTTGGCCTCAAGCGAGCAGAAGTGGAGAGTCTGCCTCTCTACCGCGAGGTCGTCGAGTGGCTGCCCGAGTGGAGATCCGTGTACGATAGTGACCATATTTACTTCCGCGATGGAGATCCGTACCCATTCTACGCAGGCCTCCGCTTCTTCGTGGCAACCTCAACGTACGACTGGTTTGCCAGACGCTACACCGTCTTGCCGACTGGTGTAATTGTCCGCGCTGACTTCCGTAGCCGCGTCACAAGAGTAGAGCATCCTGACGAAGCGTCAGTAAGATCGCGGCTGCGCATACCTTTATCTACGCCGCTGACGGCATGTGATCAGGCTAAGAGCGGCAAGGCAAGCGGGATCCTTGGACTTGATCTCCCGCTGGCGCGACTACTATCGGCGTGAGGACCTGGTCGTCGTCTGGAAGGCCAAGGTACTTGAAGCGCAGCGAAAATAGTCCCAGCGGCGGCGACGTGCTGCTGCGAAGGAGAGAGCTGCTGCCCCTCGACGGACCGCCGTCGTCCGCTCTATGGTGAGGCAGTGGACATGCGTGCGCGCCGTCTGGGCAAGGAGCACCTCACGCTCATGTCTGCACTGCAGCCTAATCGAGCGTGCAAGAGCAGCACTCAAGGCTCCATTCAAGCATGAGTGCCTCGTTGCCGTGTCACCATCTTCGCAAGAGTTTATGTGTCTGCGCCGCGCTATCTCTGAATCGACTCCGTTATCTCATCTGATGCGTGATAAGCTGCTGTGTGGGCGATACTTCTCATAGCCTGTCTGTTGCTGTGCGGTCTTCCTCTCTCGCCGTGCCTGATAGCTCGCGCTGCTAGTGTGTAGCGAGGACGGCGCACGTGGCTCCTGATGCGGTGAGCACGCGCTCGAGGCGAAATGTGAAGTTCGTCACTCCGCGCACAAGCACAGGCAGCGACGGGCATGCCGGAAGCCATGCATGCACACGAGATTGATTCTGGCTGGTCGAGGTGCGGAGGTGATGGAGTGGTGAGGTGACGGGTAAGAGGGGCCATCGCCGGGAATCGGAGGCCCCTTGGCGGCTCAAAGTATGTGCTACAGGAACAGGGCGTGTGATGAGGGTCGACGAGCTTGCTGAGGAGAAGAAGAGACTTGACTGCGGCAAGATGCCCGCCGAGAGGAGAACGACACGCGACGAGAAAGGACAGCAAGGAGCACAGGTGTCGTTGTGAGAACGAGGAGAGTGTTGGTGGAGCGAGCGAAGTCGATGGTAGCGTCGACGCATGAGAATAGCCCTCGCTCATCCGGTCTTGCTGCGACGACTAGACTGCATCAGCTTTGGTCGACGATCAACGAAGTCAGCACTCTCACCTAGCCGAGGAACTGCTGGCAGGGTCCACCTCGGCGTCGCGCACGTGCATGTTCGGCAGCGGCACGCCGAGACGCTGCTGCTGCTGACGCAGCAGTAGCTCGGCGATGACCGTCTGGTCGTCGATGAGACCGGCAGGAAGCAAGCTGAGCCAGTCGCCGCGAAGAAGCGCCTCCGCGACCGGGTCGCCCGTCAGCGACGGCAGCTGCAGGCCGGCGCTTGCCAGCAGCTCGCGGCGGACGTCTGCGACGATCTGCCGGCGATCGCTTCGCACTTGCGGCTGGTCTTGGTGAGCGGCTAGTCGCGCAGCGGCCTGACGGCGTCTCTGGCCTTCTCTCGCAAGTCTATCGCGCATTGTCTTGCGCCAGACGTATGCCAGATCCTTCCCGAACGGAAGGCTGTCCGATGCGTTCGTCCGCTGTAGCGCAAGTCTGAGCGAGGCTCGTCTTGCGTACTGGCAGTTCACTCACGGTCGAGCGCTCCGGCCAAGGCATGTTTCTTCCATGCTAGCATCGCGGTACCTTCCTGACTTGATGACGCAGTAGCGTGGAGCCCATTTGAGATAGTGAGAGCGTGGCCACTCAAGAGAGGGCCTCTCCTGCGCTCTCCGAAGCCAATGATACGGGCCACTGTCCGGATCAGAAACAAACTAAACCTTTGCTGAGGCTGTGTCGCCCCACTCGACAACCAGGATGGAAAGAGGAGCTTGTTCGACCTGTGCGCGCGTAAGACCGAACGCCTTCATTGCCTTCTCGACAGTGGCAAGTGCAGTCTGGCTCGCAAAGGTCAGCTCGCGCGTTTTTGCGGAGCGAAACTTTCCTCACAAGCTTCGTGGGCGGATAGAGCCGCTTCCAGCAGACTGTGCAGTGCACGCTGCTCATCGGACCGCCCCACTGGCCCTCGTTTTGGAGGACCGCGTGGCAGTACGTGCACGCAACGTTGCCCAGCAACAGACACCGCTCTCTCGCAGAGCAGTAGTCCAGCAGGCGGTTTCTACTCATTTCGACCTGCCGTTCGACGGGCTTGAGGGTGCAGCGCCGTCGCCAAATCTCCGCTTCGTCGTGCTGCGCATTACTGTTCAGCTCGCGTGTCAGTATGGCCGCGAGCGGCGCTCACGAGCAAGACTTTGAAGGTAGAGCAGGTGTCCTTAAGCTCGACTAGAGTCACGTCCGAGCAGTATTCGCAGATGATGCCGAGCAGCTCGACCGGAAGAGAGGTCAAGCCTGTGGCGACGTGTTTGAAGCCGATCTTGGCGTGCGCCGGCTGCGCCGAGCCTTGGACTGCGCCGCGCACCTCGTCCGCATACGCTGTGTTGGCGGAGCTCGCCTGAGCGAAGTCGCCTTGCTTCAGTGCTCGCGCAAAGCGTGGATGTGGATCTGAGGGCACGCTAACCGTTCCTTGATGCGGCTTCTCTGCGCCCATCGTGCTGTCACTGCCCTTGCCGGTCCGAGGCGCGTCCGGAGCCCTCGAGCGCTGCCCGCGCGTCTTGACCATCACTGCGGCTCTCTCTGGCGTGGCGCCGTGAACCAGGACGCCGAGGCTGTGCGGAAACGAGGAGCAAATCAGAACACCGCAGTAGAGGATGACGCCGCAACTCTAGTTCCGCCGAGCTGCCTCGCCGTGGCCAGCACTCACTGCAGCTGTGTACGCTGCGTGTCGCGATGGTCGGCGAGCGCTCCTTGAGGCCGATGTGCTGTTGCGCTCAAGCTGATCATGAGTTCTCAGTAAGCACGACTTGCAGTGTGCAGGCGGCAGGTGCCGCCCGACGAGTCGGCCCACACTCACAGCTCAGAGACGGCGAGGAGCGCGCGAAGGGCACGCGTCGAGCGCGGCTGCAGCGCACGAGGAGGGAGAGAGAAGAAAGGCGAGGGCAGAGCGAGATGTGCAAGGGCTGGAGGGGCTGGTGTGAGGGATGGTGGTGGTCGGGAGGGCAGCTGCAGCGCCATTTGATTGGGCGCAACTGGCAGTGTCCTTGGCACGGCGCACGGCCTCGCCGCGCTCCTCGCGCGCCTCTTGGACGGCGCGCACGGCCGGCCCGCTGCACACCGCACGCGGCCTGCTCAACCTCGCCTGGCTTGTTGCCTCCTCCCCCTCGAGCAACGGCGAGGAGCGCCCTGCAGCGGGTGCTGGAGCGCAAGTCCAGCTGCGCACTCCCCACACACATGGACACGCGGCAGCCACAGCGACGTTAGCGCAAAGAGCGGAACGGGACATGCGATTCTCGGAGCTGGACGGATGTGACGCGTGTGAAGGGGTGATGAGCTCGACTCGGACACGGAAGGGGCTACAGCCATGAGGGTGGTCCGGAGGGCCGGACGATGTGGAAAAGCGCTGCAGGCGGAGAAAAGGAACTGTGCGAGCGTGCGCGAGCGCACTCTACTGATGCGGGCCGAATGCATGAAGCAGACACGGACCACACGCAAGGTGAGGTCGCCTTGAGGAAGAGACGAGTCAGTCAACCGCAGTAGATCTGAGCATGCAGAGCGTTGGACTGACACAATGCGGCATCATTACCAGTCCGAATCATCTTCGTCCGAACTTTCCTCGTCCGAAGTCGTTTCCAGCGCCATCGAAGCAGCCTGCTGGAGTAGAGTCAGCTCTGAACGTTCAGCAGCAGAGGCCTCGCTGCTCGCACCTGGCTGTGCAGTCCTGTGCCACGACGCTGCATGACCATGCTCGGCAGAGGCACGCCCAACCGACTCTGCTCTCGGCGGATGACGAGTTCCGCGATGACGGCGGCTTCGTCGTCGATGCCGGCTGGTTGCAGACAGAACCACTCTCCTCGTATGAAAGCCTGAGCTACTGGATCGTCGCGTACTGTACTGAGACTCAGACCCGCATTGGTGAGGCTTGTCCGACGCGCTCGGAAGACAGCAGCAAGCTGTTTTTTGCTCTCTTGGTCATGACGAGCAGCGAGCGATCTGTACCAGACGTTGCTCAGATCCTCCACGCGGCGGAATGTCTGTATCGCCGAGGAGCTGCCGTAGGGACTGCATCAGAGATAACACTTGCAACGCAGTACTTGGCTCACTCACCCGTCTGCCGGACGGTCGAGCACAAACATATCGACTTCTTCTGCCTGAAGCTCCCTCCGTCGTCCTCGTTGGTCGACAATGTGTGACTTTGGCCCATCTTCGCTCCACTGCGTCACAAATTGATGGACAGGCACCGAGTCGACCTGCTCCGATGTGAGGTCAAAGTGCGCCATGGCCTCCTCGATTGTAGCCAGTCCTTTCTGACATGGACGAGCTGTCAGCACACTGCAGCTTGAGGATTCTCAGGAGCGGAACTCACAGGCAAGCGATCTGGTCCGTCCCAGCCGTGGCGACGCGCACACAAAGCGCAAGTCTGCAAACCTGGGCGCTTGCGCGAGGTACTTGTGCCAGCAAGTCTCTTGCGACAGTATCGACAAGCTCTCCCACCCACGAGCAGGCATTGCTGCTTCTCCGTGGCATTCGCCAACAAGATGTCCCTCTGCAATGCGGCGCATGCGTCGGCAGGTGCCACTGAGGCACGCGAAATCCAGACAGATCCGTCCTCGTGCTGAGTGAGCAATGGGTTTAGTACAATGCTATGTGTGAAAGCGACACACTTACAAGCAGCCCGCGGTGCAAGTCAGGCGAGGCACAGCTCAGCGACACAAGGTCCATGTCGGAGACTTGCTCGAAGATGATGCCCAGCAGCTCGTTCGGAAGAGATTCGATGCCGACCGCGCTGCGCTCCCCCGCTGGTTGCGTCGCAGGCGGAGCAGCCTCCTGCTGTGACGATGAGGCAGCCGACGCGCTTGTCGTGGCGGGCCGAGACTGCTGCGTCGATGACGATGCGGTTGCGCTCGTTGCGTCAGAGGTCTCTGACTGCACAACGGGACGCTACGTCAGTACTTGTCCTCCAAGCACCAAGATCAACACACTTACCAGCTTCTGCTTCTTGCGAGCCATGTCGAGGCGGATCTTGGTGGGCCGGAGCAGGGCGAAGAGCGGGCTGCGACAGGCACGGCGAGGAGTCAGCCGACGGCAGGCACGGCCGTCGTCTCGCACCGCATGAGAAGGAAGGGCAGAATCACTTACAGCTTGCAAAGACTTTCAGCAGCCTGAGTGCTGAGGCACGGACGGCCGGGGACTTGGTCTCGAGCGTGCGGCTGTGCTGCGCGTGTGAGTAGGCGACGACAGGCGCACGTCGCCTCAGCCTCGAGACTCACAGTGCGAGCTCGAGCCGCAGGAGCGGAGGGCGAGCAGCGAGAGAGAGGAGTATGCGACAGAGAAAGGTGCTGTCGAGAGCTCTGGACGAGCGCGGGTGGTGGTGAGAGGCACGCTCGACGCTGGAGCGGCCAGGGCGCTTCGGCATCGGCCCGAGCGTGGCACGCGGCGCGGCGCTTTCCCACGCGCGTCGGCGCTTCGTGGCCCAGAACAGGCCGCAAGGCGTGGGCGTGCAGAGGGTGCGCCGCAGCTGATCAGCAGCAGCCGCTGAGCAATCGTTGCACAGCGAAATGTCGCTTGAGGCAGCGTTCAGTCGAGCTCTATCGGCTGAGCACGGACTGCCGCAGCGGATGAATGCTTTTCGCACCGCTGCGCCGTGTCTCGCGCGCCTGCTGCGGCGTGGCGTCGCGAAAGAGAGACGGCAGCGAGCACCGAATCTGCCATCGTGCAGGCAGGCCGCGACCAACAGCAGCTCCTGGCACATGAGACGGTGCAGGAGCAACATAGTAGGTTGGAGGCAGCGTGACGCGGAGACACGTCATGTGATTCATGATTCTGGATGAGGCGACGCTCGTGAGGAGCTGACAGGCTCGGAGAAAGGGTGGCTGCGAGGCAACGGTCGACACTGAGTGATGAGAGAGGCAAGAGTGTTACATGCGAGAAGGAGGAGCTGAGAGAGCGAGAGCGCCGATCTGCGGCCTTGACTGAGCGACGAAGAGGCCCAGACTGGCGTGACCAGTGCGCTTGAGCGAGATGCTGCGAAAAGGGTGGGAAATGGGAGGGGAGCGCGAGGGAGGGGGGCCGGACGACGCTTCGAGTGTGCGAGAAGCACCTGCTGCGAGCGATGGCTATGCGTCGCTGTCACTTGGGGTCAAGACTGTCAGCTGTGCTCGGGAGCAAGGCAGCTCACTGAGCTCTTCGCTGCGCTCACCGAAATTGCAGCGACTGAACTCGATTAGGCTTCCGTATCATCAGGTGTAGGCAGAGGCGTGCCGAGCAGACCCTGATTTTGACGATGGAGGAGTTCGGCAACGACAGCCGCTTCATCCTCCAGCCCGGCGAGGCGCAGAACGAACCTCTTGCTGCGCGAGACAGCGTTATACACTGGGTCATTTGACTGCTTGCACGCCAGTATCTTGACGCCTGCCATGCGCAGTCGCTCTTCACGAGCGCTCGCACGGGCTGAAGTCTCCCTGTGGATGACCATGCGATTGTTGACGGACCAAGCTGAGTGAGCCTCGCTCCAGCGACGAAAGAGCTTGACGGCCTTGAGGGAACTGAAAGGCAGAACATGAGCCTTCCGAGGCGTCGCTGACACACCCCGTACTGACCCGTCTTGCGGACGCTTGAGAACAAACAAAGTTTCTTCGGACTCCTGGAGCGGCCGGCGCGCGCCGTTCTCGTTGAAAGTGTAGGACTCGGACGTGCCGCCATAGACTCCCTCGCCCGCTGTCCATTGCGTGACGAACCGACGAACCGGAAGTGCAAGAATTTGAGCTCGCGTTAGGCCGTACAGATCCATCGCCTCTTCGAAGTCCTCCTCGGAACACAGGATATCCTGCCCGTCGTCATCAGCATAGTATAGCAATCTTCGCCACACAGTGTACCTACGGGCGAGCGAGACGAATAGGACATGCGCTTCCGACACAGTGCGCAGTTAAATTTGGGTCCGGGAGAAGCATAGAAGAAGCTGAGCGGAGCGTCCCATTCGGGCTCGGGCGGAGCATTGTCTGGCGCCGATCCCTTCAGGTGCTTGTGGCAGTTCCAGCACATCATCTTACCGAGCATCTTGAAGCGTTCTTTCGCGGTCAGGTGATCGTTGCTCGGGTTGTCGTCCAATTTCGCCTGTACCTCGCGAGACTTGCAAGAGCTGCGCCGATCCCACTCGTCTGCGTCCTCGTGCTAAGACGCGAATAGTCAGCTTGGGGCCTGTGCTCTCCTGCCGACGACAGACTCACAAGCAGCGTGCGGCGCATCAGAGGCGAAGCACAGCTCAGCATCACCAGATCGTGGTCGGAGGAGATGAGATCGCGGATCATGACGAGCAGCTCGGGCGGAAGGTCCTCGAGGCCCGTAGGTGAGGCATGCTCCGAGACCACGTGCCTCGTGGCTGACTGCTCAAGCGCGTGCTGCAGTTGCGCCCAGCCGGGTCCGGACGACGAAATCGTGGCGACAGGCTTGTCCTGCTGCTGCTGCTGCTCGCTCGACGACGACGTGCTCGCACTCGCTGCGTCGGAGGCGAACTGTGCGACGATGCCGCAGCGTCAGTCGATGTGCGGCTCGCAATTACTGACGGCCTGTATGCACTCACGAGCTTCTGCTTCTTGTTCGACATCTTGGAGCAGCACTTGAGGGACGGGCCGGCGCGGCTGGACTGGGCTTGCGCGTGAGCAGGCGGCGAGGGCAGCATGCGAAGCGCACGGCACGCTGTGGCGACTCACAATGCGCGAGCGACAGACGAGACGGCGACGGCGCAGCAGCAGATGCGCGAGCGCGGATGGCGACGAGAGAAGAGAGTGGGTGGGAGAGCAGCAGAGGCGCTGCAGGGGTGGAGGTGGTGGTGAGAGGCAGGCTCGGCGCCGGCGAAGCACGCTCTTGGGGGGCCCGAGCGCGAGGCGAGGCGGCGGCGCTTTCCCACGCCGCCGCTTGCCGCGCACACGACACACACGACATCTGCCTCCTCTCGAGCCGCAGCGAGCCTTCCCTGCACCACAGCCTCCGTCTCCTCACTTTCCTCAGCCACAGCCTCGGTCGCCGTTGCCCATTCGCTCCCTCCTCTTACTCCTCTCCGCTCCGCCCTCGACCACTCAGGCACGGCCCCGTTGCCGAAGTCTGGCGCCCGACACACTCCCACCAACGCACGCACGCGCGCCGCACCTCGCTCTTCAGCATGCAGCGGCTGCCGCTCGAGCTGCAGCTGCTCGTCTGCACTTACCTCTCCGACTGCGAGCTGGCCGCACTCGCTGCCACGTGCGGGCATTTTCGCAGGCTCCTCGTGAGTAGCGCCGAGCATCGTGCGCCTGGCGCCCCCTCTCACGTCTAGCGGCCGTCTGGCCGTCCATGCCTCGACAGCACGAGGACGCGCTGATCTGGTCGCAGCGTGTGAGAGGGAAGCCTCTTTCACTGCAACGAGCGCTCAAGGACGACGCGACGAAGAAGCATCTGAGCAGCAAGGAGCGCTGCCTCGTCCTCAGCCAAAACCTCTGCTGGAGCTGCCATGCGCCAGAACATTGGTTCTGGAGATGGACTCTGTCGACACGGATGGAGTTCACCGTGCGAGTCACCAGCCCAAAGTCAGAGCGCGGAGCCAGTGAAGGCTCGTGCAGCTCGACGCCTTCGCTCGCATCGACGACCTCGGGCGAGTCGCGCAGCTCTTTCGCCTCGTTTGACACCAGAGTCTCGTCTGTGGAGTCACGCATGTCCTTCGCCACCGACGACTCGTCCGATGAGTGCAAGGGCTTCTGCACCTCCTGCCACAAAGCTCTCGACGGCGCATTCAACGTACGTTCATGCATGACCACCGCACCTTCGTGTTGCTGACTGAGCGATTCAGGAGATCTATCATCGCCCAGAAGACGCAATGCGATACTACAAGCTCACGCCGGAGCAGTTTCGCACTGTGCCCAAGTGCGTATGGGTGACGGAATGGCTTCGTTCAGAAGCGTCGCGCGCTTCCGACTGTGCCGAGCAAGAAGCGGCGGTGGACAACGTCGGTATGTGGACCGAGAGCACACACATCATCGACGGTGGACGCGCAGGGCGCCGTAGGCATGTACGGCCGAATGAGCGCAATTTGTTCACCCTTGAACGGCCTCTCATGTGAGCCCGGTCTTCCCCGCGCGCATGTTGTCGCGACTGACGAGGGCGCTTTCTCAGGTGGACTGCGGACGCGTCTGAGCAGGGAGGCGACATGGACAACAGCTCCGAAGCCGGAGGCGCCGACGAGAAGGACCGAAAGAAGGCCAAGAGCGCGCCCGTAGAGTATCTGAAAGCGTCGGCCTACGCAGTCTTCTGGCACGCGAAGCAGATCAGGAAGGTGTGGCGCAAGAAGATGAGGGCTGGTCATCGGGCAAAGCGTGACCGCCGCCGTCGTACAGTGGAGGCCTGGCGTGAGGGCGCAGCCACCGACGCGCCGTGACGGTCCTGCAGACCATGAAGGTGAGTCGCTACTTCCCTGTTCAGACTTGGGCGGGCTCGCTGCGCAGTCGGACGCGCTTACGGGTGAAGTGATCTGAGGCCTCGGAGCCGAGCTTGACTGCCTGTGTGAGCCTTCGCTCACGAATCTACACTCAGATGGATCGCCTCTTCGAAGCGCAGCAGCGCCATTGGCTTCCCACAGTGCCTCAGTCTCAGCACGCACGGCGCCCATCACCTCTCCACTCTGTCAAGCATCGGCACGCGTCTCTCGTCACCATTTCGCTCCTCAACTACCTTTACATCTCGGCCGCGCTCGTCTTTCTTCTCTGATCGAATGCATCGTTTCTCCTCCTCACATGCCACGAGCGTCGTGCACCTCTTTCGGTCTCTAGAGCTGCACAGTCTTGAGGCCGTCCTGCTTGCCGCGCCGGCTGAGCTCGCCGACGCCGTGCCTCTCCTCCCACGCGACGATGCCGCCGGCGAGGATGGCGACGCGGGCGCTGACGTCTGCGTCGCTGAGCGCCAGGTGCGCCTGCAGGGCGTCGGCGTACCAGCCTGCGCTGCGCGGGCCACGCCCGTTGGAGCGGTTGCAATGAAAGACAACGAGCGGCACGCGCGAGAGCAGCGGCAGCAGGCCGGGCAGCGCCGCGGGCAGCGAGTGCGCCGGCAGGTTGATGGCGCCCGGGATGAGCGTCTGTAGGTGCAGCGTTGTCAGTTGCAGATTACGAGCCCAACTGCAGGCGCACCTGGCGCTCACCTCGCAGTCGGCGCGGCGCACATCAACGACGAGGAAGTCCGTGCCGGCGCGCTGCGTGCCGCTCTGCACGAGCGCCGTGAGCTCGTCGACGGAGACGCTGCGCAGCGGATGATCTGTGCGCGGGCGTGGCTCGCCGTACACGTCGTGCCAGTGCTTGGAGTTGATGGGATGCTCGGCCATGGCTGCGGTGCGGGCGGCTGATGCGGTCGTGAGCACGGCGATCGCGCGCCACACGCGCCGCTTCTTCTTCGCGCCGCCCCTTGAGCGGCGAATTTGAAAGTCGAGTGCTCGTCCGCCCCATGGCGCATCGCTGAGCCTGCGCTCGGCAGTGCTCGAGCTCGGCGCTGCCTCCATCTCACAAGAAACAAGCAGAACGCAAGCTGCAGAGAGCACAGATGGCCCCCAGCAAGAGTGTGCGAGCGAGCAGAGCAGTCGCTGCTCCGAGTGCCGGCCTGCCGCACGAGACAGGTGCTGCCAAACACGCAGCGGCGGCCCGATGCGGCGCGGCGAGGCGCCCGATGCGCTGCCTGCTTAACGTCCGCGGCGCTGCTTGCTCACGCTGACTGCATCTGGTCGCTGCCTTTGCGTCTGATGCACTCCGGCTGGCCGGCGCGCAACGGCCCTCTGCTCTCACTACCACCATCGACGCACCGCCACTGCCACCGCCGCATCGCCGTTCCCTGCAGCGACAAGCGTCGCCGAACACCATCGCCATGTCTGCCGAGGTGGGCACACAGTGCGCGCCGCAGCTGCCGCCGGGCCAGCAGCACTCGCTCGAGGTCTGGGTCAAGGTGCCGCCGCCTTCGGGCGATGAGGCCGCAGCCGCCGGACGGCGCCGGCTCGGCCTGACGCACGCGAGCGACAACAGCGTACGCTTCTACCACTTCGCTTTCCTCTACCTCCACGAGACGCTCGGCGTTGGCGATGCCGACTCGGCCAGGCTGCAGTCGATGCATGAGCGCGCTGATGACCCCAGATTCGCCGCACGCGCTCGCGACGGGCTGTACGCGTTCCTGCCCTATCGCCACACGATGCTGGCGCCGGCAGCTGCAAGCTGGACCCTGGGCGACGCTGCGCTGCTGCCCGTGGCGCACCTGCTCGGCATCATCGCCGGCGACGGCAGCGAGGACGGTGCTCCAGGAGCAGGTCGGGCCGCTCAAGCCGTACGCCCTGCGCCGCCGCCCGGCCGAGCTCGATCTCGCGCGCTTGACGGTGGAGTTCAACCGCGACTCGAACCACGCCTCGAGCCCACTGTCACTTGCGCAGAGAGACCTGGCAACTCTGTCGCTGGCGGCTATGGCGCGCCAAGCTTCGAGCACGAGCATGCATGAGACAAGCTCGACTTGGACTGTCACCATCACAGAAGATCAGCTCCGCAAGTTCGGCGGCGCGACCGGCTCGCGCTTCCCTCTGCCTGCCATCGTCTATCCTGTGCGTGCTCCCCAGGACCGGAAGGCACGCGGCGATCTACGGCAGAGCCTGTGGGACTTCTTCGAGGAGCGTGAGGCCATGGGCGCGCGAGTGCTTCGCCTGCCCGGCGAGGAGCGCAACGATGGGCACTGGTCCGGCCGTGCGTGCAGTCTCAGCGGCGCAGATCTCGACTCCTGCGATGCCAGCCATTTCGTGCCCCAGAAAGTCGGTCCCGCGATCTTCGCCAACGCCATGACCGCTCTGCGCGACGCGCCTCAGAACGTCGAGGGCGCAGAGCACCTTGAGCGTAACGAGATGCCGCTCCTGGACTCGCGCCATCTCTCGGCTCTCACGCTCGGAGGAGCGCCCGTCTCGCCAGACTGCATCAGCGCGGCCGTCAACGGCCTGTTCTTGCGCATGGATCTGCACAGGCACCTCGACATGCACACCATCGTCTTCACGTCCAGCCTCCGCTGCGCGCACATCACCAGGCCGCGAGCCCGAGCTCAGCAGGGCGAGCCGATTGGACGCGATCGTGCGATCCTCGAGCCCATCTCTGGAAAGGAGACAGTGCACCACACTCAGATCGCCGCCATCCACCTCGCCTCTCTCGGCGCGATGAGCGCCTTGTACCTGTCGAGTCATCTTTGCAAGGACTTCGCCGATCAAGGCGCGAAGCGGGCCGCAAGTCACCTTGGGCTCAGCTCGCGTGCGGCCAAGGTGGTCCGGTTCGACGATGCCACCTCCAGCGCAGGCGAGGGCGACGGTCCCACGGATGTAGGACAGTCGCAGGACGGCATGGGCGTGGTTGACGAGTCGGGCGGTGAAGATTCGGAAGAGTTCCTCAGCGAGGAAGAGCGATGGCAGAAGGCTTTGCGCCAGCGTCAGGCGGAAGAGGAGCAGGATGGCCTTGGCGCATACCGCTTTGCTCTGTTCATGGTGGCGGCGCACCAGAAATTGAAGACGGCTAGATGAGAGGGGCGCACGGCTGCACAGGGACACGAGGGGGCGAGCTGGGCCCAAGGAGAGAAGGAGCAGGAGGGCGAGCGACAATATATACATTTCTACGTGTCAGCGCCGCTCGAACACGCCTGTGCTCTCGGCATCCTCGTCGCCGTCCTGCTCGTCGAAGAGCACGTGCGTCTGCTCCTCCTCCTTGCCGCCGCGCGAGCCCATCTCGAAGCTGCCGTCCTCGCTCTCCGTCTCGCGCGCAGCGGGCGCCGTGCCACGCGGCGTCGACAGAGAGGCGCGGGCCAGGCGCTGGTACAGCGAGCTGCTGCCGTTCGCGCCGGACTCCAGCCCGCCGAGAGCATGTGTGGCGCTGCGGCGCGAGTTGCGCGCGGCACCAGAGCGGCCGCCCGAGCTCGTGTAGAGGTCGATGAGCACGTTGGCCCAGAAGAAGAGGCCCAGGCTGAGCGAGAAGTCGATGAGGCCCCACGTGATGTGGTCGATGCCCTGGCTGTCGGCCCACTGCAGCTCGTCGTTTGTGCCGGACATGAAGAGGACCTGGTGTGCGGTGATGTGTTCAGCGAGAGGCTTCTAGCATGCTTCGGATCACTCACGCCCGACGCCATCAGCAGCCACGGAGTCCTGTGAGAGAGCACGTCAGTCGCAGCGTCTGGACAGACATCGTTCTGGCCAGGCACCGGCCGCACGCACAAGTACTGGAAGGCGCGGACGCGCCACCACGTCTCGCCGGGGCCATGCCCGAGTGCGAGCCTCGCCTGCTCCTCCTCCGGACTCTCGTCGACGGGCTCGCCCGTCGGCTCGTCGTGCAGCACAAAGCAGACCTCGATGATCTTGCAGATGCCCGCGGCCTGGAGGACCTGTCGTGAGCAACCCGAGAGGTGATACGTGCCGTGCCACGCACCATGAGCGTATAGCCAAAGAGGGCATGGATCATCGTGCTGATCATGAGCTCCTGCGCGTGTCCGCTCATGGCCCAGCCGGTGAGCTGTGCGCGCGTCAGCAGAGCAGCACGCGGTGCCGGAGCCTGGGCACGCACCAGGATGATGATGCCCGGAATCGCACTGCGCCTCCGGCCGCGGCTCGTCCAGATGCCGGCGAGGCCGCCAAAGACCCACATGACGCCGAGGAGCGTGTGCTGCAGATCCTTGTGTGTCCATGGGCCGCCCTGCAGCAGGTGTGAGCGATGCTGCCGCGGTGATTGTCTGCGGCGCTCACATGGTGCTCGGTGAAGGCATTGACGACGCCCCAGGCGCAGATGACGCTCGAGTCGATCATCTCCTGGCTGCAGCGCCGGCGCCGCAGCCACGCCACGCCCGTCTTGCACATGAGCAGCAGCAGCACGGCGTAGGCAGCGAAGGCGCTGCCCATCAGGTGGTGCGCCACGCACTGGCCGAGCGCGCCGCCGAAGCACCACGAGCGCAGCGTGATGACGCCGAAGAGCTGCGCAAGGCGGTCAGCAGCGCGTACACGCAGCACACGGCCCTCGTGCGGCCACTCACCATCTGCGTCCAGCCGAGCACGGGAAAGCCAAAGCCGACGATGCCGTGCACGCGCAGCACGGCGGGGCGCAGCCAGCGCGCGCCGAGCGTGAGGTGCAGCTTGAGGTACACGCCCATGAGCGCCTGCGCCGCCATGTACCACAGCAGCACGCTGGCGAGCGAGCCGTGCACGGTGTGGTAGTAGCGGCGCCCGCCGTGGCGCTGGCCCATCACATAGCCGGGCGCACACAGCGCCAGCGCGGCGACGGCGAGGGGCACGTGGAGGCGCGAGCGCGTGAGGCCCAGCACCATGACGACTGTGGGCGGTGTGAGCAGTGGCACGGCTGCGCGCACACACGAGCCACGCACGCGGAAAGACGACGAGGAAGAGGGCCGTCTGCAGCGCGATGTGCGTCCAGAGCACGGCGTCGATGGGCACGCTCTCGTCGACGGGCGCGTGCGGCGTGTGGGCGTGGCCGCCGTGGGCGAGCGCCGCGGGCACTGCCAGCAGGCCGAGCAGCACACGGGCGGGCGGCGGCATGGCCGGCATGGGGTGCGGGTGCGGGGATGGCGGTGGGCCGGAGTCAAGACGCCGCTCGCTGCCGCCGCCGAGGCCGGCGCTGCATCTGAGAAGTCAGGGTCCGCCGCCGCCGGGCCGCGAACGTGCCGCGGCAGCGAGGCACTCAGAAGGCTGCCGCGGCGGAAGCGCCGGCCGCCGCGTGGGAACGGCCTGCAGCATGGCATGCGCTGCCTCCGAGCCCTGAGCTCCTCTCTGCAGCGACTTGGCTCGTCTCGGACTGACACTCAGACTGCTGCTGGTGCTCTCTGCCTCTGCCGCACAGACGCAGCGGCCGGTCGTGGCCTGGCAAGCGAGAGGCGCTGCCTGCCGGCTCCTCGTTGCCGGCCGTGCCGCGCGAGATGCGTCCCCACGAGCCCGTGTCGGCTGCGAGCCTCCACGCTGCTGCGGCTGCGCTGAGCTTGCGCTCGCTGCTGCGCCGGCGCCAGATCTCGATTTCAAGCGCAACCGCGAGCGGGCGTGGTTCTGTCAAGCGCCGCTGCTTGCGCCTTCGGTGCGGCGGAGCTGGCGGGCGGAGTCACACGACTTGGCCGCGCTTCGATGGCTTGGCTTGGCCCGCGGCAGAGAAGCGCAAGCGGCTCAGGCACGATCTGCGGTGCGTCATCCCGCACCGCGCCGGCGCCGCTCCTCTTCCACGCGTTGCGGCCGCGGCGGATGCTGCACCTGCCTTCTGCGTCCCGTCTCCCACCATCCACCCCTGCGCTGCTGCATCTGACCTCGCACCTGCTCCGTCCCTGCTCCGTGTTCCCTCTGCGCCCGCTGCCGTGCCTGCACCTGCACGCGCGTCTCGCCGCGCCGGCCTCTCCTTCATCTGCCCCTCTCCCACCACCATGCACCGCCGCAAGAAGGGCCGCGCGGCGCCCGCCACGCCGCCGCCGCACGACGAGCAGACGGTGCACGTCAGCGCGGCGGCGGCACACGCTCCCGGCGCCGCCTCGTCGGGCACGTCGACGCCCGACTCGGACGACCCCTCGGCGCCGCCGCGCCGCCTGCTCCTCGAGCGCTCGTCGCGCCCCAGCACCCTCAGCCTCGGCTCGGGGCAGCGCATGCACTCGTACACGGTGCGCGCGCCCGGCACGCCGTACCACGAGCACGACCTCAGCGACATTCCCTGGCTCAGCCTGCCCGAGGCGCCGCCGCCGCCCAAGACGCTGGCGCGCTACCGCCGCCTCTACCTCGCCGTCGGCATCGTGCTCGGCGCCGTCGCCGCGTGGGCCGCGGCGCAGCACAGCAGCATGGACGGCCTGCGCTCGAGCCTCGACGAGCAGCTGCGCTCCCTCGGCGCCGAGTTTCCCTCCTTCGACCTCGGCCTCTCGTCGATGCGCCTGCCCGGCGAGTTTGCCGACCTGGGCGACAATCTCTTCAGCGCGCCGCGCGAGTGGCTCAAGAGCAAGGACTTTACCGTCGGGCGCAACCTCTCGGCGCAGGGCTACGCCGCCGCACACCCCGTCGTGCTGCTGCCCGGCATCATCAGCACCGGGCTCGAGAGCTGGACGACCGACGAGAGCTCGTCGGGCTTCTTCCGCAAGCGCCTCTGGGGCAGCGCCACGATGATGCGCACCGTCGTGTTTGAGAAGGAGCGCTGGATCCGCCACATCTCCCTCGACGCCCACACGGGCCTCGACCCGCCGGGCATCAAGGTGCGCGCCAGCGAGGGCTTCGACGGCGCCAGCCACTTCATTGCCGGCTACTGGATCTGGGCAAAGGTGCGTGCGGCGCGTGGCAGGCGACGGGTGCGGCGTGTGGCAGGAGAGGGCGGGCTGCGTGTGGCTAGAGAGGGCGTGCGTCGGCAGCATTCTGCATGAGCCGGTGTCGAGGCCGCTTGCTCGTCAAGGCTGCAGCAGCGAGACCTGGAACCGCTCTCTGTACTGACGCACTGCGCCAGATCATCGAGAATCTCGCCGTGCTGGGCTACGACGTCAACAACCTCTGGATGGCGTCGTACGACTGGCGTCTCTCGTACTCCAATCTTGAGGTGCGCGACCGCTTCTTCACGCGCAGTGAGTGACGCCGTGCCGCAGGCGCCGAGCGCGCGCCTCAGACTTGCCCATCGCAGTGAAGCTGCGCATTGAGCAGAATCGCAAGATTGAGGGCAAGAAGACGGTGCTTGTGGCTCACTCGATGGGCTCGAGCGTGGCTCTGTACTTCATGAAGTGGTGCGTGCTGCTGCGCCGGCATGCAGTGAGCGGCTGCTGACTGCACTGCAGGGTCGAGGCCGAGGGCCCGGGCTACGGCAACGGCGGTCCTGACTGGTGCGAGGAGCACATCGAGTCCTTCACCTCCATCGCGGGCACGTTCCTGGGAGTGCCCAAGGCCATGGCCGCGCTGCTCAGCGGCGAGATGCGCGACACAGTCGAGCTGCCGCCGGCGGGTGCGTTCCTGCTCGAGAAGTTCTTCAGCCGGCGGGAGCGCGCCAAGCTCTTCCAGAGCTGGCCGGGAAGCGCCAGGTGAGTGCTGCTGCAGCGCTGCCGCACAGCGCCGCGGCTCACGCCGCGCTCAGCATGATGATCAAGGGCGGCTCGACGATCTGGGGCAACGAGACGTGGGCGCCGGACGATGACGAGAACGCCGACGACACGCACGGCACCATCTACGCCTTCAAGATGCCACCGCTGACTGACCAGCTCGCGGCCGCCGACTCTGGCCCAGCCTCCGAGGAGCAGCAGGAGGCGTCGCCGCACGATGCGAACGCCTACCAGGACGCGCCGCGCAACCTCACTGCCAACGATGCGCTCACGTGGCTGCTGCAGCACACGCCAACTAGCTTCCAGCAGGTGCGTCGCCCTGAGCTGTGCCGAGTGCGTGCCTGGCTGACGACGCGCGCCAGATGATGGCCGCCAACTACTCCAACTCCATGGAGTTCGACGAGAACGTCATTGCCGAGAACGCCAAGGCGGGCAACGACGCCAAGTGGTCGAACCCGCTTGAGGTGGCGCTGCCGAATGCGCCCTCGATGCGCATCCACTGCCTCTACGGCGTCGGCAAGCCGACGGAGCGCAGCTACTGGTACCAGCAGGGCCCGTACCAGCGCGACGAGATCATGTGCGACGGCCAGAACGCCGTGTGCAACGTCGAGAACGTCACGCTCAACTCGCCGCTGGACTTTCCGACGGGCCGCACGGGGGTGCGTGCGCTGGTGTGCCAGCGCTGTGGCAATGGCTGACACGGCCCTCTCTGCAGTGGATCGACTCGAGCATCAGCAGCGAGAAGAGCTCGCCGATTGTGCGGTCAGGCTGCAAGATGGGCGAGGGCGACGGCACCGTCTCGTGAGTCTGCCGCGGGCCAGCGCTGCATGCCTGCTGACCCGTGCGCCAGGCTGCTCTCGCTGGGCGCCATGTGCGTCGAGGGCTGGAAGCGCAAGCGCTACAACCCCGCCGGCAGTGAGTCCGCTGCAGAAGTGCTGTGCGTCGCCCATGCTCACACCGCTCCGCAGTCAAGATCACGACGCACGAGATCGCACACGCGCCCGAGGCCCTCGATCTGCGAGGTGAGTGTGGCGGGACGCGGCGCCAGAACGACAGCTGACCCTCTCCCTCAGGCGGACAGACGACGGCCGACCACGTCGACATTCTCGGCTCGTACGTTGCCAACGAAAAGGTGCTGCAGATCGCCGCGGGCTTCGGCGACAAGGTCGAGGACCACTTCGAGAGCCGCATTCGCGAGTACGCGGCGCGCATCGACTGGGACGGCGTCAATGTGCGCGGGCACACCGACGTCATGTAGCCTGCTTTCTCTGCCGCACATGCAGCGTGCACACGCATTCTCCTGTAACAACACACACGTCTCCCGGACACTCATTGCTAGATCTAATCGGACACATGCAGTCATGCATTCGCCGCGCGTGCCCTGCCCCAACGGGCTCACCGCCGCTTGCCGAGCACGCGCACGATGCTCGCCTTGACGACGGCGGCGGCCTTCTCCATCTCTTTCCGGCTCAGGCCGGCGCTGACGGCGATGCGCACCGATGGCCGCGCGTGCACACCCGACTCGAGCGCCTTGGCGTTGATGGAGGGCAGCGTCTTGTGGCGCACGAGCAGCACGCCGTGCTCGAGCGCGTCGTCGACGATGAGCTGCAGCAGGCGCGACTGCTCGGCCGCCGAGAGGTCGTGCCCGAGCACGAGCGGCGTCGGCGGCGCCAGCGTCGCCTTGCCTGCCGGCCCGGCGGGATGTGGCTCGGCGTTGGAGCGCACCTGGAAGTGGATGAGCGGCGAGTGTGTGTCCGAGGTGACGAGGATGCTCTCGATCGGGTCCAGCACCGCGTGCACGGCCTGGATGTTGTCGCGCAGAGTCGAGAGAATCGTCGGCGCAGACATCAGGCGCTTGATAGCTGTGCTCGACGCAACGGCGAGCATGGCCGGCAGCGCCGCTGAGAAGACAAACGCAGTGCCGTTGATGCGCTGGTGGAAGACGACCTCTTCTGTGCCAGCACAGAAGCCGCCGGCGCTGCCGAGCGTGTTGGCCATGCTGCCGACGAGGATGTCGATCTCCTTGGGCTGCGCAGAGTGTCAGCAGCGCAGAGACAGCGCACGCAGGCCGCCAGACGCACCGGCACACCGCACAGCTCGCTCATGCCGCGGCCCGTCTTGCCGACAGTGCCAAACGAGATGCTCTCGTCGAGGATGAGGCGGAACTTGTACTTGTGCTTCAGCTCGCAGATGGCCTTGAGGTCCACGGCGGCGCCGTCGCCCTCGAACATGCCCTCGGTGATGATGAAGCGGCGCGTGAGCGGGCGGCGCCGGCGCCGGTCGTCCTTGGTGATGTCGGCCAGCACGGCCTCGAGCGAGCTGAGCGAGTTGTGGTCGTACCAGCGCACGAGCGACCGCGAGACCTGGCGGGAGAGAAGGGTGAGCCGCGCTGCTGGGCACGCCGCGCGCTCTGCGCCGCACCTGGATGCCCTTCTGGATCGCAAAGTTGACGCCCTTGTCGGCGACGATGATGTCGCCGCGCTTGCAGAATGCGGGAATCACCGACGAGATCGTCGAGAAGCCCTGTGCGTAGATGATGGCGTTGTCGACGCCGATAAAGCGCGCAATGTCGGCCTCGAGCTGCATGTGCACGTCTGCGGCAGGCAGTGAGCATGTGACAGGCGATAGGCAGTGCATGAGGCGGACGGTTCGCAGTACGGCAAGCGGTTGGCAAAGCATGAGGCAGGCGACTGGCGGCGCGTAAGGCATCCGGCTGGCAGTTCGTGAGACTGGCGGTACTGCGACCCGCCTGCCGCTCATGCCGCTGCCTGCTCATCTCATCGCTGCCCACCGCTGCTCATCCTAGCTCGTCGCTGCCCTGCCCCTCCTTCCCTTCCCGCCCGCACACTCACCAATCGTGCCGTAGAAGCCGGGCGGCGAGCAGCTGCCGACGCCGTACTCGCGCAGCGTGCGGATGGCCGCCTCCTCGACCTCCTTGCTGCCGGCCAGGTCGGCAAAGTTGTACGAGGCGAGATTGAGCACCTCGCGCGTCTTGTCCGGGCTGCCGGGCAGCGAGATGCGCGGGCGCGGCGAGAGGCCGCCGTGGATCGTCGGCACGACGGCCAGCTCGTGCTGCTCCAGCGCCGAGAGCGGCGCCGCGAGCGGCTCGGGCGCAAAGTCGGCGACGAGGTCGTCGATCTCCTGCGCGGCGCGTCAGTCGCTGCGAACAGATTGCAGAGGCGATGCGCAGCTGGCACGGCAGAGAGCGGCACGCAGCGATGCGCTGCCAGCAGGCGGCGACATGCAGCAAAGCGCTGCCGGTATGTGGTATGTGTCCGGACGCACAGCCGCACGCAGCGATGCGCCGCCAGCCCTGTGTCGCCCGCACATGCATGCCGAGTGTCCCTCGCCTGGCCTCGCGCACCGCCATGTGGCCCTCTGCTGCGGCGCCTCTGCCTCGCCCTGCGACTCCCCTGCCTGCCACTCTTACTCACACGCTCGGCGAGGCGCACGAAGTTTGTGCCGCTCTGGTTGCCCTTTGTGCGGCTCTGGAGCAGGGTGCGCAGGGCAAAGGCAAAGAGGAGCAGCTCGAGGAGGCTGCGGAAGGGGTCGTCCTGGTACGAGCTGCGCACGTAGCGCAGCAGGATCGCCGAGCCGGGCAGCGCGTGCAGCGACGCGGCGAGGGCGCGCAGCGAGTCCATGGCGTGAGGGTGTGGTGGTGGTGAGAGAGAGGGGTGAGTGGGCGGTGTGTTGGGCTGAGGCGCGCCGCGGCTGCCCTGACGCTGCATCTCAGCCAGGCACGCCGCCGCCGCCGGCCGCCGGCCCCGGAGCTGGCCCGCGGCCGCTGGTCAGCACCCTGCATCGGCATCGGCGCGTGCCATCACGTGGGCGGCCCTGGCCAGCCTCGACTCCCATTCCACGCACGCTCGGCAGGGTTGACGGGCTGTCATTTCTCAACACGCAGCATAGGGGAGTGGGGAAGGGAGGACAGGGAAGGAGGGCTCGCGGCGGCAGCGGCGGCGAGGCGACGCGCCACCGCGCGTGGTCGTTGAGAGAGAGGCGCAGACGGGCAGCGGGCACTGCACGCCATGCGAGGGCGTCATGAGAAGGCCAGGGGAACAGGCGACATCCAACAGCGAGGCAGGCATAACACTCTCGACCGCCGCTCACACACGCCGCTTCAGGTTCGAGCTCAGCCACTCGAGGCCCTCGTACAGGCCGTCGCCCGACGTCGCACACGTGGCCTGGATGAACCTGCGTGCGGGGAGGGGTGAGCACAGGGCAGGCCGGCGCACGCTCGCGGCACCACCGCACGCACCACTGGCGCTGGCGCAGCGAGTGCAGGCCGAGCTTGTCCGTAATCTCGGCGGCGTTCATGGCGTTGGGCAGGTCCTGCTTGTTGGCAAACACGAGCAGCAGCGCGTCGCGCAGCTCGTCCTCGTTGAGCATGCGCTGCAGCTCCTCGCGCGCCTCCGACACACGCTCCCGGTCGTTGGAGTCGACGACGAAGATGATGCCCTGCGTGTTCTGGAAGTCTGCGGCGCGGCGTCGTGTCAGAGATGAGAACTTGCGCGCCTCTACGGCCGTGGTGCCGTTGTTGCAACAGCGCGCAAGCGGCCTTCACGGAAGGCGAGATTGCAAGTGCAACGAGCGCGGCGACGTAGCGTCCCTTGCAACAGCTATTGCGCCGAGGACAGCATCTCCCTGCGTGTGCTCGCCCTCATCTCGCGCCTGACACAGTTCGCCTTGGTGCTCCACGGCCCATCAAGAGTCTCGCAGATCGCATCCGATTGCCCCCAGCCAGCGCACATCGCCATGCGGCGCGCCCACTCACAGTGTCTCCAGAGCGGGCGGATCTTGTCCTGGCCTCCGACGTCCCACACGGTGAACGAGATGTTCTTGTACTCGACCGTCTCGACGTTGAATCCTGCGCAGGTCTCGTTAGCATATGTACACGCACGCCAGCTGGGTGTGTCTTGCGCCTGCGCTGCGTGCAGGCGTCTGTCTGCCTTCGCGCTGCAGGGGGGCTCTGTCGCCGCCAAGGCAACTCATCCATCCACACGCCAGCGTCACCTGCTGCGCCGAGCATGCAGCGCACGGACTAGCCAGAGCGAGCACCATCTACAGATGGCACGTCTTCGATCGCTTATCCGCTGGTGCGCGGCCGCGGAACAGTGGCGCGCGTCTGCCCGTCGCGCTGGCCGGTGAGGCGGCGAGAGGGCCGAGAGCCATGCGTAGCTGCCGCGTGCAGCGCGCAAACAGCCAAGAATGCAGCGAAAGCACGCACCGATAGTCGGGATCGTGGTCACGATCTCTCCGAGCTTGAGCTTGTAAAGAATGGCTGTAGGAAGGAACGCGCGCGTCAGCACAAGAGCGGTCACCGGCCGCACCGACAGCACTACGCACTGGTCTTTCCGGCTGCGTCGAGTCCGACCATAAGAATGCCTGTTGTCGAGCGAGAGCACGAGTCAGCGGCGTGGTCGCGAGGCACAGGCGCATACAGCAGAGGGCTCGCCACGAGGCGCGGCCGGGCCCAGTGCGCCACCGCGCGGGGACAGACGCAGCACGGCACGTGGCGACCGCAGTGCACCGCGCTGCTGGACGCTGGCGCTGCGTCACGGCGTCCCCCATGGCGTGCAGCTGCGTCTCGCAAAGCGTGTCGGCAGTGCCAAGTGCGGCTGCAGCGGGCGCACGAGGCAGGCCGGGCACGCGGCCAGGCGCGGCGCTGCATCGCACCGCTGTGCGCTGCGATGGCACGACGGGCGTGCGGCTGCATCTGCGAGGGCTGTGCTGGCGTGCGCTGGCGCGCGACGGCGGACGGTGCGAGGCGCCGGCGGGCGGATGCGGCGTCGAGGCGCGAGGGCGACAGAGGCAGGACACGCACGCATCTCCTTCTTGCCGAAGAGGCCACTGAGCAGGCGCGAGACGGAGAGACCCATGGTGGCGAGGAACGGGGTGGCGGGTGGGGTGTGGAGAAGAGGGGCGACGCGCGCGCGGATGGAGACGGGCGAGGCGACGGACGGCGGGCGGTGAGGGACGAGAGACGAGAAGCACGGCCGGCGAGCGTGCGTGTCTGGCGCTGGTGTGCGGCGACGCGCGGCGGCCGGCGATGCTCACACGCGCGCCACGACGAGAGGCGCAGGCGCAGGCGCAGCGTGCGGCGGTGGGCGCAAGCACACACGCGCACACCGCACCACGCCTTCGATGCGGCACGCACCCGCGATATGCCTCGACCTGCTTCAGCTCCATCTGCAGACGCCACCCTTTGCACTCCAGCACCACCGCTGACCTCGCCGCTCCCGCTCGCGCGGCGGCACGGCAGGCTGAGCTGAGGCATGCCAGCGTCCGCGAAGCCCCTTGCCGCCATCAGCCGAGGCGCGTGACCGGGCGCGCCGCGCTCCGCTGGCACGGCCGCACGCCACGTCGCAGCTGCGAGTGCGACGGCGGCATTCGCGCGCCGCTTGCCGGCCGACTGCGTCTGGCGTTTCTGAGGCACCTGCACGTGCACGCCCTGATGCTCTCATCTGCGCTCGGCAGATGGTAGGGGGCTTGCTTCAGAAGGAGGTGAGCGTTGCAGAGGATGGCACAGGTGGTGAGAGCGAGCATAGGCCGGGCCGGGCGGTGAGCGCGAGCCGCTCTTCCACGATGCACGCACACCAGCACGCGGGCAGCTGCACGACATCCGATGGCATTCATTCGCAGGAGACACAGCAAGAGCAAGCAGCAAGAGAATGTGGAGACGAAGCGAAGGAGCGGCGAGCAGTGCAAGGCTCGGCGCCGCCCCATTATTGAAGTCCCAGGTATGTAAGAAGGTCCATCGGTCTCGGGTCGCCGCCATGGCTGCGTCGGGCTGGAGCGGCCGCGTGCGCGCAGCTTTGGTATGGGCACCCATGTGGGAGGGGAGGGGATGGAGGAGCGGAGGTCATTGAACACGAGCAGAGAGGGAGAGCGTCGAGGCGAATCAAGGGCCGGCAAGAAGGGGCACACGGCACGACACGGGGCAGGACAGAGCAAGGCGACGAAGGGCGCTGCCGGCGCGATGGAGCAGGCAGGCGACGCGCGGCAGGCGGCGCGGGCCTCAGGAGCGACGGCGTGGCATTGCGGCGTGGGCGAGGGATGTGGTCGGGAGTGAGGCAGGGCGGACTTGACAGCCGCGCCCATGCGTCGATCTCGCAGCGGCGCCGGCTCGAAGAAAGCCATGCGCCGCTGCACGTGACGCCGCTGCACCCTTGGCGGCCTGCTGACAGCGCCGCTTCCTCCACTCACCGTTCCCGCTCCTCAGCCCTCATCACCTCACAACCCTCGCCATGGCCGCCTTGACGCCGCTGCGCGCATCGCTCGGCGCACTGCGCCGCGTGCCGTTTGGCGTGCGCGCCCTCGCCACCGCGCCGCCCACGCCCGACGTCGGCAGCAGCAGCAGCGGCAGCAGCACGGCCGGGCCCTCGTCAGCCAGCACGAGCGCGACGCCGCTGCACAGCCCGCCGCCGCCGCCACCGCTGCAGCAGCAGCCCAGCAGCGGCGGCACGACGCATTTTGGGCACCGAACCGTGCCGACGGAGAGCAAGGAAGGGCTCGTGCGCCAGGTGTTCAGCAGCGTCGCCGGCAGCTACGACGTGATGAACGACGCCATGAGCCTCGGCGTGCACCGCCTGTGGAAGGACCACTTTGTCAAGGAGCTCAACCCGCGCGGCGGCATCGAATGTCTCGATGTGGCGGGCGGCACTGGTGAGTCAGGCCGGCAGCACGGGCCGGCGCTGGCAGGCGCGGCCAGGCGGGCGCAGGCGAGCACAGACAAGGCCAGGCGGCGCCGGCGAGCACAGACAAGGCCGGACGAGCACAGGGCGTCAGCCATCCTTGCGCTCCCTGTAGTGGAGTGCAGCGTCGGCGTCGTCTTTCAACTGCTTTGCGCTGACATCGCGCCAGGCGACATTGCACTGCGCCTCCTCGACCACGCGCGCACGCAGCACTCGGACCGGCAGACGCGCGTCACCATCCTCGACATCAACCCGTCGATGCTGCGCGCGGGGCAGCGGCGCGTGGCGCAGACGATGTACTGGCACACGCCGCAGGTGCGCTTTGCGCTCGGCAATGCGCAGGACCTGCGCCTGCACCTCGACGCGCCCCCACCGAGCTCGCGCCCGGCACCCAACACGCCGCGCCTGCCGCCGCTGGAGCACCTGCAGATCGCGGACGAGAGCATCGACCTCTACACCATCGCCTTTGGCATCCGCAACTGCACCGACATTCCCGCGGCGCTGCGCGAGGCACACCGCGTGCTCAAGCCCGGCGGCATCATGGCCGTGCTCGAGTTTGGCAAGATCTCGACGCCGGGCATCAGCGAGTGAGTCGGGTGTGCGAGGCGCCAGTGCGGCAGCGTGTGGCTCATCCCTTCGCTGCGACAGCCTCTACCGCATGTACTCGCACGCCGTGCTGCCCTCGCTCGGCGCGCTGCTGGCGTCGGACCGCGCCTCGTACCAGTACCTCGTCGAGTCGATCGAGCGCTTCCCCTCGCAGCCCGAGTTTGCGCGCATGCTCGCCACCGCCGGCTTTGCGCTGGCCGGCAGCGACGCGGCGCGCGCCTACGGCCTCAAGGGCTACCCGCGCCAGGGCAGCGTCGATGGCGACGAGAGCGTCGTGGGCGCGTGGGAGGACCTGAGCCTGGGCGTCGCGACCATCTGGAAGGGTGAGTGCGGCCACGGTCATACCCTTGCGTGTGCTGACTGTCTGCCCTTGTCTCGCTGCTTGCTTGCCTAGGGTGAGTCGGCCTGCCGCGCGGATTGCCGCCTGCGTATCACCGATGCTGACGCCATTGCCCCCCGCAGAATGAAGCTGTAGCGCTGTGCCGCGCGTGTATGGCAGTGACCGGATCAATTGTAATACAGTTGGAGACAAGACGGATGTGTGGAATGGCGCGAGACGGGCGAGCGGGATATGATGGCGAGCAGAGCAGGGGCGGGCAGCTAGTACATCTCAAGCGACTGGCCCTGTGCAGTGGATGAGCGGTCAGCAATGTGCGACGCTGGTAATGCACTGCAGAAAGCAAGAGAGGTGGAGGAGAGAGGAGAAGAGATGTGCCCGCTACTCAACGAACCCATCGGCGGTGCTGATAGCCGACCAGACGGGCAGATACGAGGGGCCGAGTCACCGTGGATCTGTGGCACGAAGGTTGCCGGACGCAATCAAGGACCATGGCGCCGCTCCGCGCCCGCACGCTCTCCGCGGCCACGTTCACCACGTGCAAGAAGCAGTAGGTTCCGGCGCCGAGAGAGCGCACGAGATGATGCGGGAGACGCGGGAGTTGACTTGGGCCGTGCCAGAGGAAGGGAGGGGACGGGGAACAGGAAAGAGACAGCCACTGCGCTCCGGAGCGGCAGCCATTGCACTCCAGAGCAACAGCTGCTGCGCTCCAAACATTGGCTGATGCTGAATGAGCGGCAGCAGCTGCACCAAAAAGCAACGGCTGCTGCACCACAGAGCGACAGCTGCTGCAAGCGAAAGCGACAGCCGCTGAACTCCAGCCACTGCCTCGAAGGCGGCAGCTGCAAGCCAGAGTGAGGCATGCGCCATCTGCGACTAAGACACACGCCATCACCAAAGACCAGGGCCAATGCACACCCGAGCCACACAGACGCCGTGCCGCATACTCACATCGTGCACCTCGTCTGTGAAGAGCGCAGCGCCCGTCAGCACCACCGCCTGCACACGTGCACCACGCGCCACTCACAGTCGCTGAGCGTGATGTGGTCCTTGAACACGGTGTACCACTTCTTCAGCTGGATCTTCTCGGGCACGGTGCCCGTCTGTGCGGCGATCATCTTCTTGAGGTCGCCGATGGTGTCGTCGGGCGAGCACTTGACGCGCACTGCCGCAAGGTGTGAGCCACGACGCCGAGGCCAGAGAGCGGCAACACGCACCCTTGCGCCCGAGACGGTCGTTGCAGATGACTTCGATGAGGCGCGGCATGGCGGGCGTGGGTGGAGCGGCGGCCGGCGGCAGGCAGCAGAGGGCGTCGTCGTCGTCGTGCGGCGGGCAGCAGCGCCGGCGCCGCGAGGGCGAGGGCCGTGCTGTGCGCTGCAGAGAAGGAAGCCGTGCCCAGCCACACGCGCGAACATTCTGCGGCTGCCTGCGCCACGGATTTCACACGCTGGACGGGCTCGCGCGCCGCGGCGCGTGCGGCGCAGCGCCACGACGTCAGAGCGCAGGCACGAAGCCAAGCTTTTGCTCACCGCATGCCTCCTCCCTTTCAGCTTGCGCAGCCCATGCGCGAGACGGACAGCGTCTGGCGCATGCCGTTGCTCTGCAGTATGCGAGGCGATGGCCGTCTGGCTGGCGTGGTGGCTGCTGCTGGCTCGCTGAGCATTGAGGAGCCAGGCGGCGGAAGCAAGAGGACGGGCCGCTGACGAGGCATGCTGCATGCTGAGCGAGGTGGAGGACGACGTGCGCCTTTGACCCTGAGGCACGTTGCACCGCTCGAAGACGCTCAGCGCTGAGGCGTTGAGCATGCCGGACGGCAGCATGCGGCTGAGCAGCTGGCTTCTGCGCTGCTGACGCTGATGCTTCGCTGCAGAGCCGATGCGATTGCTGTTGTGGCTTGGCCCTCGCGAGTTCGCGATGCAGGCAGCCCAGCGGCACGCAGCGGGCGCGGTGTCTTGGCTGCTGCGCGCCTCTCTCGCTGATGTCGGGTCCACGGCGCGCGCCGCCCGGCACGCCGGCTTCCTTCGCTGACGGACTTGGAGCGATGTCTGGGCCGCCTTCTCTTGCTGCTCTGCTTTGCTTCCTCACCACCATCTCCCACCTTCGCCCGCCATGGCGCTCTCCTCGCTCGACCCCTTGGGCCTCGTCTCGCTGCTCTACCAGGGCATGCAGCTCATCCTCGCCTGGCTCTTCGCGCCGCTTCCGCCGCACGCACACGCCCACGTCCAGAAGCCGCTCGGCCGCGTCGCCGTCATCGGCGCCGGCATCACGGGTGTCTCGTCCGCCGCCCATCTCGTCGGGCACGGCTTCGACGTGACGCTCTTCGAGGCCGGCGACCGCTCCAACCTCGGCGGCATCTGGGCCAACGTCAACAGCAGCTCGGGCCTGCAGATCAGCTCGCTCATGTACCGCTTCCACCCGCTGGTGCGCTGGACCAAGGGCTATCCCAAGAAGCAAGAGATCCTCGACAATGTCACGCGCGTGTGGGAGACGTATGAGCTCGAGGAGAAGACGCACTTCAACGTGAGTGGCGCCGGCCGAGATTGGTCCTGCCTTGTGCTGATGCCTTGCGACAGACCAAGGTCACTTCCGTCACGCGGCACCGCAGCTCCAGCGATCCCGAAGAGCGCGGACACGGACGCTGGATCATCAACAACGACGACAGCGTCGTGTACGACGGCATCATTGTCAGCGTCGGCACGTGCGGCAAGCCCAAGTGGCTGCAGCTGCCCGGACAGGACAAGTTCAAGGGCAAGATCGTCCACTCCAGCCAGCTCGACGACGTCGAGCTGACAGGCAAGAAGGTGCTCATCATCGGCGGCGGCGCGTCGGGTGTGGAGGCGCTGGAGCTTGCGGTGGAGAAGAAGGCGAAGCAGAGCATCATCCTGGCGCGCAGTGACAAGTGGATCATCCCTCGCTGTGAGTCTGTCGCCGCAACCTTGTCCACTGCAGCACTGACGCATGTGGGCAGTCACGATCGTCGATGTGCTCCTGGCACTGCAGCCCTTTGGGCGGCAGACGCGCTTCTCCATCATTCCCGAGTTCCTGCTGCGCAAGCTGCACTACCGCGACCTGGAGCAGAAGATGGCGCCGTACCACAATGGCTTCTTCACGGGCACGCCCATCGTCAACACCTCCTGCCTCAACCACATCCGCCAGGGCAAGGCAGACTACGTGCGCGGCGATGTCGTCACGCTAACGGAGGGCGGCGTGGAGTTCAACAAGCGCAGACGCGAGCAGAAGAGCGGCGATGAGGGCAGCAAGATCCACTATGATGCCGACGTGATCGTGCTTGCGGCCGGCTTCGAGAGACCGTCGATGGACTTCCTGCCCAAGGATCTCTTCCCCGAGGACTACGAGCGCCCCAACATGTACCTGCAGGTCTTCAGCGTGCAGGACTGCAGCGTGCTGTGCACCAACTCGACGTTCAAGGATGCGGTGGGCACGATTGGCAACTGGCACATTGGTGAGCAGCGGCTGCAGGCTGTCGTCCTGCCGCAGCGATGGTGCTGACCTGTCCGCCCGCCAGGCATCTACTCGCGTGCCCTCGCTCTCTTCCTCATGGAGCCCTCCACGCGGCCCGTGCCGCGCGACATGCGGCTCTGGGTCGATCTCATCCGCTACATCAAGCAGAACGCGCCCGCCGGCGGCCTCGAGTTCTTCACCTACACCGAGCTCGTCATCTGGCTTGTCTCCTTCCTCTTCTTCCGCGTCAGCCGCATCAAGTTCTTCTTCTTCGTGTGCTTTGGCCTGGGCTTCTGGGCAAGGGAGGAGAATGGAAAGGGAAAGCCGACGGGAAAGGTGAGTCGAAGGCGCATATCTCTTTGGTCGCAGTTCAATGCTGACGTTGTCTTCCGCCTCGCAGCCGCACTTCCGCCTCTCGCTCAGCAAGCTCGTGCCGCACTTCCGCTCCAAGATCCACAAGCCCAAGCAGCTCGGCGGGCCGATCTCCGCGAGCCGGAGCAAGCAGAGCAACAAGCAGTCCTAGAAGCTTGTGCACTCGCTTGGCGTGGCTCTCTCAGGCATTCGCTGTCCCGCTGCTCGTTCGTTTCGCACACACTTGTTACCAGGAGGAGGAACTGCATCATTTCATGCCACTCTCGACGCGCTATGGCCTATCTCTAGCCAGTGCCTCTCTCAAACACTTCTCCACTCTTCTCTCGCTGCGTCGTGGCGGTACTCTCACGCCCTTCTCTACCGCCCACGCATGCATCTCATCCGGAAAGTCCGTGATGATGCCCTCTGCGCCCACGTCGTGCATTCGGTCGGCGGTCAGCACGGCGTTGACGGTCCAAGGCAGCACGTGCACGCCTAGCCGATGCGCTTCGTGCGTCATTTGCGCGTCCGTGAAGGGGACATATGCTGCGTCGCCGGACTCGCCGGGCGCGCCATGCAAGGGCGAGACGATGTCGGCGCCCAGAGAAGCGGCGGCTTGAGCAACGCGCAGAGAGGTCGTATTGCCGGGCTGCGCATCGAGAGTGTGGCCGTCGAGCCAGAGCGAGGCTTTGTCGGCTGGGAGCGTGTGGATGAAAGGCGCGATGAGCGCTGAGGTGCACAGCGAGGGTGTGGAGAGTTTTGAAAGATGGAGGGTGCGCCAGTAGAAGGACCTGTAGCGAGAGCTTAGAAGAGAGAGCGAGAGAGAGTAGAGAGGGTTACGCACTGGAAGATGACGCGATCGATCACGTCGTGCCGCTTGAGAGTGTCGAGAATCACCTGCGTGTACTTCTCCGCGCTGAACGTCTGTCCATCCGCCTGCCTATCAGCATCGTCTCCTTCGCGCTGAGCGGGTCTACTCACGCTGTTGTATCCAGGCGGCTGCACCTTACTCTCCACGTTCCACTGCAGTCCTCCTTTGGGCGCGACGCAGAGGCCAAACTGCAGCACTTGATCCAGCGTCTGAATGCGAGCGCCTGGATGTGCAACTTGTCGAGGAAACTCAGGCAGCGTCTTGCCGCAGTCGAGCGCCTTGATCTGGCAGAGACGTCAGTAAATGACTGCGGCGGCAAGCAGAGACCTCACCTCGGCGTACGTCAGGTCCTCGAGTCGTTTGCCGACTGCATCACCACTGCACTTGCTATCCAGCGCCCTCTCGTCATGCCAGACGAATGGCGTCCCGTCAGCAGCGAGCGTGACGTCGAGCTCCAGCGTCGTGACGCCCGCCTTGAGGCCGGCTGCGAAGGCAAAGAGCGTGCTCTCGGGCGCGAGGCCACGTGCGCCTCTATGGCCTTGCAGATCGAAGAGCGGCGCAGATGCGGGAGAAACTAGGAAGAGAGGACTGGGCACTGGCAGTTGGTGGAAGAGACAGAGCAGAGCGAGGAAGAGCAGCAGCGCAGAGAGAAAGTAGGAGAGCCGCGAGCGCTTGGTCCGAGCGTTGTGCGGCTCAGCGAGCCAGGAAGCATGTGTCTGGCCCATGGCGCGCTGAGCTGAGAGGTGCGGCGGACCAGCTAGCGAGTTCGCATGTCCCGAAGTTGCCGTGCAAGCTTGTGCCTGGCAGACTGGGCCTTGCGAGCGTTGAAGAGATGAGAGGTGAGAGAGGCGGAGCACAGGCCGCCCCTGAGCGCTTCGGCGCCAGCATGTGCTGTTCCCACGCTGTCCTCGCGGGCGGCCTGCATGACGTCGCGCGCGGCCGCGGCGCTTGCGGCTCGGCGGTCCGTGCCGATGCAAGCGCCGCCGAGCCCGATGGCTTGGCTCGCTTCCACCACCACCTCTCAGCTCCATCCACTCACCTGCTCGGCACGATGAACAACTACCTCGCCAAGTTCCAGGAGGCCGCCTCCAAGGTCGGCGTGCAGGTGCGTCGGCGGCCCATGCGCTGTGATCCGGGGCGATGCACAGGCGCAGCGCGGCGCGGCGCAGCCAGTGGCTCAGCGACGCTCCGCTGCTCGTCTGCTTCCGCCGGACTAGTCCAGAGCCGAGCATCAAGCAGCGCGGCGGGCGGGCTGAGATCTGAGCTCCGAGTGTTGAGAACTCAGGCGGGCGGCGAGCACCGCTAGATTCAAAGGGCCACCTGAGGAGGCGCGAAGCCTGGGAGCTCCACTTCGAGCCTGTCGCTGCACTCTCACGTCTACGGAGCGGCCAGCTGACTGATGCGTCGCACAGGCAACGGCCTTTGCCCAGAACACGGGCCGCCAGATCAACGAGCAGGCCAAGCTGGCACAGGCGGGCTTCTCGTGAGTACAAGCGCCTTGCTCTCGGCGCGGCACGCGGAGCAGAGAGGGGCAAAGCTACCAGGGTGGACCGGTCATGCAGGGAGAGTAGGCTGTCATGCGTGCAGCCAGAGGTCCCGGCGCTCCACTCCGGCCTGACTAGAGGCGACAGTGGCGGCCACCAGATGATGCGGGCAGACAGTCGAGGCGGAAAGGAGAGGGAGCAGCGATGCGCGGGCAGAGCAGCAGGAGTTGTGGTGCAGCGCTCTCGCGGCCGAGACGACAGTCGGCCGCCGGACCGCTCACAGTCCGCCAGCTGGGCGAGAGAGACGGCAGTGGCCACGGACTGCGGAAATGAACGCGAAAGCGGCGTCGGTGTGGCTCAGGGACCCATGCAGCACGAAGCACTGCTCATGCCATTTTTACTCCACACAGCCTGCCAAAAGAGTGCGAAAAGGCCGCAAAGATCCTGCAGGCTTTCGTCGGTGAGTTGCGCATTGCTCGTGCGATCTCCGCCTCGCGGCAGCCGAGCTGACGCCGATACTCTGCTCCCCAGCAAACCCGGACCACCCCGACTCGGCGCTCAACTCCATTCCCAAGGCTGTGCTGCAGAATGCCAAGGGTGTGTAGACCTGCTCACGCCGAGGCGCGGCGATGCACGCACGCATCTGATGCCGCTTCCCGCTTGCAGGCCTGGCAGTCTTCAGCGTCGTCAAGGCTGTGCGTATGCCCAGTCTGCCCTGACCACAGCCCGCTTTAATGCTCACGCGAGTCGCACAACAGGGCTTCGTCTGGTCCGGTCGTGCCGGCTCCGGCGTCGTGGTCGCACGTCTCCCGGATGGCAGCTGGTCCGCGCCTTCGTGCATCGCGACCGGCGGCGCCGGCTTCGGTCTGCAGATCGGCGCCGAGATCAGTGACTTTGTCGTCGTCATGAACAGCGAGGATGCCGTGCGTTCCTTCGCTCTCGCAGGCAACTTGACGATTGGTGGAAACATGAGCGCGGCTGCTGGACCGATTGGCGTGGGCGCAGGCGCTCAGGCGGCACTGGCACACCCGTGAGTCGCACGTCTCGAGGTCAGCGGCTGTCGAGCTGACATACATCTTGTCTGGCCGCCGATAGCGCACCGATGTTCAGCTACTCGCGCAGCAAGGGGTGCGTCCTAGCCGTTCCGCTGCTCGTCTCTCGGCGACGCTGACTGCAGTGCATCGCGCCACAGCCTCTACGCAGGCATCAGCCTCGACGGCTCCGTCCTCGTGGAGCGCAAGGATGGTGCGTGTGCTCTTGCTCTTTGCGCCAAGCTGCCTCCATCTCCCAGAGGCGGCGAGACGGAAGGCTCTCGTCCTGATCGCCTCGTGCTGACTGGGCCTTCCCCTCGCCCTTGCGAATCGCAGCCAACCGCGAGTTCTACGGCTCGCCAGTGCCCGCAGCCGACCTGCTGGCCGGCAAGGTCCCGGCACCCGAGGCTGCTTCGGCTGTGAGTCGCTGCGCGACTACGCAAGACATAGTCAACATGCTGACTGCCTTCGAATAGATGTACGAAGTCGTCGAGGCAGCAGAGGCCATCGACGAGACGGGGCTGCCGCAGCAGGCCTACATCCCCACGGGCCAGCCAGGCCAGACGCGTGAGTCGCTCGCACACCAGCCGCAGAAGCACTTGAGCTGATGCAACGCTCCTTCATGCGCCTCTCCCTCGGACAGAGCCCGTCTCGGCGCCATACCACGTCGGCGGCGACAGCGCGGCAGCGGCCGGCGGCGCGCCCAACACGCTCTTCGATGCGTGAGTTGCCTGTCGCGCACTGTTCCGAGTCAGGCGCTGATCGTGCGTCTTTGCCGCTCAACAGAAGCGCCGCGGAGCACAAGGCCTAGGCCCGAGCATGCGCTCGCGTGCCCTGTCCTCCTCCCAGCTGCGTTCATACTCTCGTCACGACCACATATGTCCGTGCTCGCGACCCGTCTGCCCTTATGACCATTCTCGCCTCAATCGATGCGCGATCACCTTGACGCAGCTGTTCGTGAGGATGCTGTCATTGCCGGGCCACTCTGGACGCTGGAAGGCTCGGGAAAGCAGAGAGAGGGAGCAGCGTGGGGCCGGAACAGGTGACTGGATGCAGAGAGAGGAGGCGGATATACAGCGGGGCGGCGGGCACGTGTGGCAGAGGCACGGGTATCCAGGAGCGGAGAAAGGAAGGTAAGGCGAGCGCGAAAGGAGTTCACAGGGCCAAGTCGTCGTCATCGTCCGACTCGACGACGGCACTCGTATCCGCCTCGACAGCAGCCGCAGGCGCAGCAGCAGCAGCGCCCTTCTTTGGCTTCTTGCTGGAGCGCGGCTTCATGCTCGGCAGGCGCTGCTCCTCGTCCTTGAGGAAGCGCGGATGCGCAAACGACGAGTGCGGGCCGTAGAGCTGCAGCGCCGTCGAGATGCCCGAGACGCCGCGCAGCCCGCCGGGGCGCTTGGCTGCCTTCTGCTCGGCTGCATCGAGAAGGCGAGAAGAGGGCACGCGCTGGAAGCCGTACAGCTGCGAAGGCGGCTTGTGTCAGCACGTCGATGCATCTCGCCCCCCTCATCTCCTCTTCGACTCACGTTGAGCTGTCGGACAAAGCTGGCGTTGTTCCCGTGCTTGAAGAGGCGCGGCAGCACCTCGGCGGCAAACTCATTCGCCACGTCCGTGTCCGAGAAGAGAATGATCGAGTCGCCCGCCTCGCTCCAGCGGATGTACTGCGCATAGAGCTCGGGGTGGCACATGAGGTACCAGAGCTTCGAGATGAAGGCACTGCAGTTGGCGGCGCCTCCGAGCCGCTCGCGGATGGCGTTGACTTGCGTCATCTCCGGGTTCTCGCCGGCCACCGACGTCGTGTTGGATGCGGCGACAGGTGCAGAGCTGCGAGGCACCGAGGAGCCAGTCGCTGGCGTGGTGCTGGCCGTCTCGGGCGCCGTGCTCTCATCGTCGGACTCGGCGCCACCGCGCGACTTACGAGCAGCGCGCCGGGGCTGGCTGCTGTTTGCTGAGCCGCGCGAGCTGGCAGACGTGGACAGGAGAGAGCGCGAGGGCGTCGAGCTCGTAGCAGCCGCGGCAGGAGGCGAGAAGGCACCGCCTGCCACTGCTGCGGCGCGCGACGCCTCATCGCCAAAGGCATATAGCGGCGGTCCGGTGCCCGTGCTGACGATGCGTGGTGATGCGCCATACAGACTCGAGCCTGGCGTGCCAGCGCCGAGCGACGAGGCAGGCGGCGTACCTACGAAGCCCGCAGAGCTGGGCTGCTGGCTGCTGCCTCGTCGGTTGATGGGTCTGGCACCCGCCGCACCGCTCGGCGAGTATGCTGCAAAGCCACCGACTGTCAATGGGCTGCCCGCGCCGCCCGGACTGGTCGCGTAGGGATGATGCCTGCTGAGCGCGAGAGCATGCGCGCCCGCACTAGGCGCATGATGACCGTGGCTGTAGTGGTGGCGTTCCGAGCTATAGCCGCGCGCGAGCGCCGAGCCGCCAGGCGCCATGTGTGCGTACGCTCGCTCGAAGGAGGCAGACATCGTCGTGGTCGGCTGCGGCGTCCACGGCGCTGCTTGCTGAGGCGTATGCGGCGGCATGAGACGTGCAGAGAGCGCAGAGGCGCCATTGCCGTTGGGTGACGCATCGACACTGGGCGCGCGACGACCTCGGATCGTGGCCTGGCTGGCAAGCCCATATGCGCCGCCTCCGCCGCCGTCTGCATCGTCCAGTAGCATCTCATCGTCCGTCTCGTCGTCATCCACCTCGCCCTCGAGGGCAGCAGACGATGAGAGTCGCGGCGTGCCCTCGGGCATGACGGTTCGCTGTCTCGAGCGCGAGCGCGAGCGAGACGCCGACGCGGCAGCCGCACGCGACACGTAGAGGCCGGACGAGGCAGGCGAGGCACTGCCATTGGCGGCCTGCGTGTACGAGTAGCTGTTGCTCGCCAGCGGCGGTGGCGGACGCCGACCAAAGCTCAGACGCCTTTGCTGCGCTGCCGTAAGCGGACCGCCGGCCGAGGAGGGCAGCGAGCGAGACTGCACAGCGAATGCCGAGGCCGACGAGCCACTGAGCGGTGGGCGCGAGGGTCTCGAGGGGCCGGCACCACTGCCGTTGGGAGACGACGAGACCTCGGAACTGCCGAGCGTCATGCGCGAGAGCGTCGCGGCCGTCCATCCGGGACTCATGAGGCGACGGGCGCGCGCGGCGTTGGCCGAGAGCCGCGCTGCGCTCGAGGCACCGCTGCCATTCGACGGCGGCAGCGGCGGCGAGGGCGGCGTAGGAGGCGCCAGACTGTCCACGTCGCCGTCGCCATTCTCGAGGCTGCGCGCCTCGAAGCAGGGACTGGAGAAGCTGAACACGCCTGCTGAGTCGTCGGCATCGCCCAGAGGTGCCGGCGTCGCAGACGTGTAGCGCGTCGCCTGCAGTCGCTCCGAGGCCGCGCCGCCAGTGACCGAGGGCGAGGCGCCCGAGACGCCGCGCGGCGACCAGCCAAAGACGTCGTCTGCCTCGTCCATCTCCATGTCGTCGGTGACAGAGTCGTCGTCGTCGTCATCGTCGTCAATGTCGCCGCCGCGCTCGGCGCTGGTGCGGTACGAGGTGGAGAGATAGGGCTGCAGGCGGGCGCCACTGTTGCTGGCGGCACTGCTGCGCGACGAGGCAGAGAGGCCAAAGAGGTGCTGCGCGGAGGTGCGCCGAGCGTCCCAGGAGCCGGCGCCCGAGGATGACGCGCCGCCCACGCTGCCGGGCGTGTGAGAGAAGGAGCCGAGTGTGGGAGTGGTGCCGGGCTTGCTGGGCACAGCACGCGCCGCGCCCACGGGCGCCGCGAGACCGCGCGAGCCGGGGGCCAGGCTGACGCCGTCGGGCGGCGTGGGCAGCTCGGCAGGCGAGTGCGAGCTGGCCGGCAGCGATGCGGCGCCTGCAGGCGGGCTGGCGGCCAGCTTGGGAATGGCCATGGGCTGCTGCCGCGGCTGAGAAAGGCGTGTCAGCGCGCGAGGCGAAGCGGTGCTGCGTCGCAGCAAGGCGGCGAGCAGTGCATCGCTGACAGCTCGCCTTGGCGGCACGCACCTGCTCGCCACTCTGGTCGTCCATGTCTGTGTCGCCGTCCGCGGCGCTGCCAGACAGGCCTGTCTGTGCCACGGCGGGCACGCAGAAGCCCGTCTGGCGCTGCGGACTGCGCGTCGGGCCGCGCGTGCGTGGGGCCACGGTGGCCATGGCGTGCGGGAGCAGGCGTGACGCGTCGGCAGGCGGGCTGGTCGAGTGCGAGGGTGCTCAAGGAGAGCCGTGCTCTCAGCTGCGGTGCTGCGAAATGCGGAGGAGCGGCGGTGCGGCGAAGGGCACGGAGCGGCGGTGCGGCGAAGGGCACGGAGCGGCGGTGCGGGGCTACGCGCTGCTGCGCGTTGGAGGACAAGGACGCGTGTGGCGGTGCTGCTGGAGGCGCGAGGGCAGCCGATGCGGCGGCGGCTGTGAGGGTGAGAGGGTGAGAGAGGTGCGAGGCTCGTCGATGCTGGCTGCAGCCTGGCGACGCGTGCGTGTGAGGTGGGAAGGAAGGGATGGAGGAGCTGAGGCTGGAAGATCGGCAGCGAGTGGGGCAGGGGCCGCCGCCAGCACGCCTCCATCACGCCAGGGACGCGTGCGCGCGCGCGCGGCGCGGGATGCCGAGCGCCCGTGCAGCAGCCAAGCGTGCGCCTGTCACCACAGACGCAGCAGCAGCAGCGCCGCCATAGATGGCGGCACGCGCGCCGGCACAAGCGGCGTATCAGCGTGGGCCCACCGGACGCCGGCACCTGGCCCGTCTCGCACCGCGGCCGCCTCCTGAGCCGCGTTGCCCAGCCTGCAGCCCCACGCGTTTCTTCTCGCCGCCGCATCGCCGCGCCCGCTGCATGCAGCTGCGACAGCGCCGTGCAGCAGCGGATGTGGGACTGCGCAGGTGGCTGGGCCCTGATGGGCGGAGCCGGCCGCTCGGGCAGCCTCAGCACGCAGCTTGCAGCACCCGCGCGCAGCGATAGGCCGCATCGCCGATGCGTTGTCGCGCAGCGTGGGTCAGCCCAGAGGCCCTGATCTGGACCCGCGAGGCGCGCACAAAGAGAAGAGCGCACGCGTCCCACCTGCTCCTCTCCCGCTTGCCTCTCATCCACAGCAAGCACCTCAACGGACGCTCTCCGAGCACTATTAGAGCGGCCAAGCTTCGCACACTTCGGCATGTCGTTCCGTGATGGTGGTCTGGCCCGGCGGCCGCTCGGACTTCGCGCGCACGTCATGCTAGGGATGATTGAGATTAGGTGGAGCAGATGAGCCAGGGGCTGTGCCGTGCCGTGGCGTGCGGTCTAAGCGGTCTAGATCTTCGGGATGCTGCGAGAAGAGAAGCGACCATCAGCTGTCGATCGGGCCGAAGAGTCGTCTCGCTGCTCACGTGTACCATCTCCACTCCACGCCCTTCTCTCGCGCCTCCCGCTTCGCTTTCCGGTATTCCAGCCACCACGCCACGGCGCCGAAGCAGCCGCCGCCGATGACGAGGGCGCCCGTGAAACCGATGAGGCGCGCAAAGCCCTCCTGCGTCTTGGCCTTGACAAAGGCGCCGGCCGTGGGCGTGCCGACGAGGTTGGCAATCGCGACAAAGGCGTACACGCTGCCGAGGCGCGCGCCGTAGATGCTCTGCGGCGAGATGCGCGCAATGTAGGCAGGCAGGAGCGAGACGAAGCCGCCTGAGCAATAGCCGTGGTCAGCAGTGGAGCGAGGCAGCGTAGTGGAATCGTGTCACTTACCGCTCAGCAAGCCGTAGAATGCGGCAAAGCAGATGATGGCCGCATCGCCGCGCGCCGGCAGCCAGAGGGCGAGCACGAGGACGCCGGAGCCGAGCACCATCGGGATGAGCAGGTTGAGCACGCCGATGCGGTCCGCCAGCAGACCGGGCAGGATGCGCGAGGGGATGCCAGTGGCGTTGATGATCGGCAGCAGGTACTGCGACAGGCCCGGCCGCATGCCTTGCAGCTCGGCGTATTGCTTGATGAAGAAGTAAGGAATGAAAAGCGCTGTGAGGGATTTGAGATGAACAAACGCAGACAGGTGTATGGGAAGTAATGAACAGACCGTAGAACATGAAGAACGCGAGCGCGGTCGCTAGACAGAAGCGGGCATCGCGGAAGCCGCCGACATCGATGAACTTGAGGAACGACTTGGCAGGCTGGCGACGGAGAGGCAGTCGCGTGCGCATGGTGGCGCATGCGAATGCGAGGCAGGCCAGGTCGATGAACGCCATTGTGCGCACAGCCCAGCCGAAGCCGATGCGAGGCAGCAGGCGCTGCAGCGTGATCGGGTAGATGACGCCGCCGAGCGAGGAGCCGCCGGCCACAATGCCGAGCGCAAGGCCCCGACGATGCCGGAACCAGTGGCCCAAGATGGCCAGCGCAGGCGTAAAGACCATGGCGCAGCCGATGCCGAACAGCACGGCCTGGCTCAGGAAGTACTGATACAGCTGGTCAGGCTGGCAGATCGACAGCATCATGAGCGAGAAGACGATGAGGAGGCTGCCGAGCGGCATCAGGATCTGGAGAGTGAGTGAGCTTTCAGCATCTCTCCACCTCCCTCGCTCACGTCGAGACGCACGCTGCAGCCATACGAGTCGAAGATCTTGCCGATGAGCGGGCCGAGGCCGTAGAGACACGCGAGCTGGATCGCGCCCAGCAGCGCCAGCACGCTCTCGCCTTCCTGCGTGAGCCGGCTGGTGTTGTAGTAGCTCTGGAAGACGCCGTAGCTGTTCACGACGCCGAAGCTCGAGAAGAGCGTGAGCGTCGCGCCCGCCACGACGGTCCAGGCACGCAGCCCGCCGTCGGGCACGTCGGGCGGCGCGGCGGCATCGGTGGCGACAGGCTGCGGTGGTGCAGTGGACTTCTCCAAATGCGCATCGGCGCCGCGCTCGGAAGCGCCGAGCGTCTCGACTTCAGATGAGGTCGAGGGCATGCCGGACGCGTCTGCGCCGCCACGGCCGGACGAGCACTCGAAAGAGGGAGCGCGCCACCCGTGTGCCGCCTTGACGCGGTTGCGGTTCCGATGCGATGTGCGAGACAGCGCCAAGTGCTCGCTGCGGATGCGTGTGCTTGCGTATGCTACGTGTTGTGGTGGTCGAGAGGCAGCTTCATCTGTGCCAGGAGGTGCCGAGTCTCAAGGACGCCGGCCCCTTTCGCGGGCGAAGATGCGCCCGCGTGATGTGGAGCGGCTCGGCACGGCTCGCTCGGCCGCCGTGCCGCGGCACGAAAGCGAGAGGCGCAACAGCAAACGGCCGCAAGCGCCGCCGTGCGGCGCGGCGCTGCGCGCGCGCGCGGCGCGCTCTCCGCATGCAGCACCGGCGGTGACCGAATCTGGTACTCCCACGCTTGAAATGTAATGCGCCAGCGGGGGGATTGTATGCGCCCGCCAGCGCGTGTTATTCGCCCCGCCGCGCGCGCGCTGCTGGCACTGCTTCCTTCTCCACACTCGCCTGCTCCTTCGCATCCTGTCTCTCCACACCACCGCTCTCACACCGCTGCTCGCACCTCTGGCAACGCTCGGTCTCTCATAGTGCGCCCCGCCATCATCGCGCTTTCCCGCACTCGCTGAGCCAGCTGGCGAGAGGCGCTGCGCCGCGCCACGCCAGCCGCGGCCATGGCGTCGGAGCCTGCCTTGGGCAGCAGCGAGGCCTCGGGCAGCGCTGAAGCAGGCGCATCCTCGTCGCAGCAGCAGGCAGCTTCGCCACCCGCTCGTCCGCCCTCGCCGCCGTTCCTGCCGCTGGCCACCTTCCGGCTGCTGGCGCTCTCCTCGCCCGTGCTCGAGAGCTTCTTCTCCGAAGACCTGCCTGCGTCTTTCCATCTCGTCGCACCCCGGCCTGCGCCCTCAGCCACATCTGCCGCTGCCACAGCTAGCGGCAGCAGCAGCGCAGCAGCTACGCCCGCCCCTTCGCCTCGCAAAGCTGGTGGGCTGTCTGCGCTGCTCGGCGCCATGCTTCTACGCGACGACGACGAAGGAGCTGCTGCTGCTCGCGCCGCGGAGCTGCCTCCATCGGCGCTCACACGACCGCGCCCTTCATTCGGCACACGCACGCTCGACGGCGCACTCAAGGACACCGACCTGCTGCGCGACGAAGAGGCGGCGCGACGAGCTCGCTGGGCTTCTGCCAGTCCTGCCTCTTCCAAGCCGGCGACGCCCGCCCCCTCCACGCCCAGTGCAGCTGTCTCTGGCGCATCAACGCCCACACAGACGTCGGGCCCTGCGCCCACGCGCCCGACGCACAACAAGCGTCTCTCGCAGCAGCTGCGCGGCACCGACGTGCTCGGCACAGGCCGAGGCTCGGCGGCAGAAGCATTGCGCGCTGCAACGGCAGCACTGCAGGCGCCGCGTGCCGCGGGCTGGGGCGCAGAGGATGCGCCGAGAGAGGCGAGCGATGAGGAGGAGGAGTTCGCCGATGCGGTGGCCGATGTAGAGCCCAGCTTGGAAGGGACGCTGCCGAAGAGCACTGGCACCGCGCCATGAGGGCGAGGCGAGCATGTCGCTTCCTCTCCCCAGCCTGCTTGCCGCTCGCCGGCGCACCAACGGCGCAGTGAACGTCCGCGAGCGCTCATCGAGCCTCGAGAAGCGCACGATGCTACATCTTCACTCAGCATCGTTGCGGGTGCTACAAGCGACGACGAGCCCGCACACTCGAGCTACATACAGCGAGCTTTCGCGCCGGACATTCGTCGAGCCCTTTCACTCGCGAGGTGTTCTATATCGAGTTGCATTTCTACATCGAGCCACGCTAGCTCCAGCACCGCTCCTCAGGCGCTCAGCAGCTCCTTCTCGACCGCCTCCGCCAAGCTCGTCGTCGAGCCCTTTCCTCCCAGGTCGCGCGTCAGCTCGGCCGCGTCTCCACGGCCCAGCACGGCGTCGACTGCCTTGGAGATCGCATCTGCTGCTGCCTCTTCGCCGAGATGCCGCAGCATCAGAGCGCCCGCCTCGATCTGCCCCACGGGGTTCGCCACGTTCTTGCCCTGCAAGCGAGAAGTGCGTCAGCCTTTCTGTAGTGCTTGGACAGCAGCGGCGCAGACGCACCGCAATGTCGAGCGCCGAGCCGTGCACTGCCTCGAAGACACTGGGACTGCGGCGCGTCGGGTCGATGTTGCCCGAGGCAGCCAGGCCAAGGGAGCCCGTCAGCGCCGGCTGCGGGCGGAATTTGTCGCGTCAGCGCCTCCTCGCCTGGCCGCACCTCCACGCCACGCACCGCCAGGTCGGACAGGATGTCGCCGAACAGATTGCTTCCCACCACGACGTCGAACGAAGCGGGTCTTGAGACGAACGCAGCGCACAGCGCATCGATGTGCATGCTGTCGACGCGCACGTCTGGAAAGCGCGCACTCATGGCGGCGACGCGCGAGTCCCAGTAGGGCATCGTCAATGCGATGCCGTTGGACTTGGTCGCTGACGTGAGATGCTTGGCCGGGCGAGAGGCGGCGAGCGTGAAGGCATACTCGAGAATGCGCTGCGCAGAGGATGAGCGGCGGTAGAGGAGAGGAGGCAGTGCCGGACTCACGTCGACACCTTGGCGCGTCATGACTGTCTCCTGCACCACCATCTCGCGGTCCGTGTCTGCACCGAGCAAGGCCTATCAGCACTGCCCAGCTCCGAGCCAGTCCTGCCTGTGCACTTACCGTGGAACAGCTTGCCGCCCCTGCGAAGGCGCAGAGATGGTGTGAGCCAGACTGGCACAGCTCTGTGGGCGTCTGGGCGTACTCACATCTCAGTGTACTCGCCCTCCGTGTTCTCGCGCACGATGACCATGTCGATCTTGCCCGGGTCGCGCAGCGGGCACGGCACGCCAGGGATGAGGCGAGTGCCCCTCAGCTGCGGCGTTCGCTGTCAGCCGCACAGATCGGACCTGCCTAGCAGGGAGCGAGGAACGCACGTTGCAGTACAGGTCGAACGTGCGGCGCATCTGCAGCAGGCTGCCCCACAGCGAGACGTGGTCGGGCATGCGGCGCGGATCGCCGACGGCGCCGAAGAAGATGGCGTCGAAGGGGCGCAGCTGCTTCTCCCAGTCGGCCGGCATCATGCTGCCGTGCTTGTCGTAGCTGCAAGCCGAAAGGCAGCGCTTTCAGCCAGGGCGAGGTGGCAGGTGAGACGAGAGCACGCACTAGTCGCACGAAGCAAAGTCAAAGTCGGACGTCGCGAGGGCGAAGCTGAAGCGCTTGGCGGCGGCGGCCAGCACGCGCAGGGCCGCCGGCACCACCTCGCGCCCGATGCCGTCGCCGGGGATGACGGCGACGCGGTACTGCTTGCTGGCGGACTGCGACATGGTGGGGAGCGCGGGAGAGGAGGAGGAGTGGAGGAGGTGGATGAGGGCAAGAAGGAAGGACCGCGAGGCACGGCAGCGACCTTTATGCCGGCGGCACCGTGTGGAGAGACGCTGTCCCTCACACTCTCGGTGCGGCGCTGTGCGGCCGAGATGCGCCTCATTCCGCAGTGCAAGCCTCTCGCCCGCAGCAGAGCAGCATGTTTGCCGCAACTGCAGCGAGCGGAATGCGGAGTCGCTGCCCAGCGTGCAGCGCCAAGGCGGACGCGGGGAAAGCAGCGCGGCGGCAGCGTCGGACATGTCGGGCCGTGCGCCGCGCCGGCCGAGCCGGTCCGACGGCCGTGGGAGCAGCGCGAAGCACGGCGGCGGCGGCGCGGCGAGGGTCCGCTGCTGACTACAGAGGGGCAGGCTGCGGCTGCAGCGAGGCAGCCAACTGCAACCTCTGCCTCGACCACAGCCACCCTCAGCCACACACGTGCACCTCACGCGCAGCAGCGTGCACAGCTCTCTGCGTGCGCATACGCCATGGCCTCGCTGCGCGCCACACTCCGGCACCGGCCGCCACTGCGTCTTGCGCCGCCACCTGCCCGCAGCGCGCCAGCGGGCAGCAGCCGGCGTCTTGCGCATCGCGATGCCGCCTCGAGCAGCGTCAGCTCTGCCGATGCAGCGCGTGATGATGGCGCCGCCGTCGAGCAGCCGCTCACCGGCGCCGCCAAGCTACTGGCCGATGCGATCCTCGAGGAGGCCGCCGAAGAGCGCGCCGAGGCACTCAAGGAGGCCGCTCGGCGCGGGCTCGATCAAGGGCCAGTGTGGACGGGCGACGAGCGCGTGCAGGATGCCGTGCTGCGCATGCTCGTCGACAAGCACAAGCCGCTGCGCGTCAAGCCGAGCGGCACGGCGCACCCTGCAGATGCCAAGCTCGCCACGGTGCAGCAGCCGACGGCGGCAGTGCCCAGCGTGGCGTCGGGCAGTGGGAGCGGCATGAGTGCCTTGCTCGACTCGCTGCCGCCGCCGGGCGAAGACGGCCGGCGTCTGCCCGCTACGCCAGCCAATCGGCCTTGGCTGGCAGAGTACGTGAACCCGGCGTACATCGGCCGTGTCCAAGGCGACGACAGCAGTGGCAAGATCTACCGAGGTCGCCATCTGGCTGCTGGCGCGCTGGCGGGCTCGCGCAGCAAGAAGCTAGACGCGTCTTCCGTGCCGTGGGACGATCCGCGGGCTATGCGGCGTCTGCGAGACTCGACGAAGAGAGCGGAGCAGACGGGCAGGATGGTGCGTGCGCGCGTCGGGGCGCTTGACTACCGACTGGGACTGCGGCGTGATGCGCAGGGACGAGCGATTGCCGATGGAGAAGCGCAGCAAGAGCACCTGCTCCCCGATGAGGACTTCGAAGAGCCGCGCGACAATCGCTCGGAGAAGGAGAAGCAGGAGGAGCTGGTGTATGCCGGCGGCGGCACGGGCTACAGCTCACTCGCCAACGAGCGCATTCAAGAAGCAATGCGCAGCGGCGCGTTCCGCAACAACAGTCTGCGAGGCAGCAAACTACAGACTCTTGACGAGGAGAGCAATCCGTACCTCAGTCGCGAGGAGCGCCTGATGAATCGCCTCGTCAAGCGACAAGGCGCTGCGCCTCCATTCGTCGAGCTCAACTCGGAGCTGGAGGCGGCGCACACTGGCTTCAGAGCCAAGCTGATCGACGCTTGGGTGCGGCGTGCAAGCCGCATGCTTCTCGCCGACACGTCGCTCAACCATCTCTCGGCGCCCGGCATCGACGATGTCGCGCTCGAAGCCGCACTTCAAGAGCTGGCTCGCACGCATCGAGACGTCGAGTGGGAGCGAGCCGAACGTGCGTTCCACGAGGTCTCCGTCAAGGAGGTCAACAATGCCGTGCGCAAGTACAACGGCATCGCGCCGTTCCATGCGAGGAGAGCACTCATCACCGTCGAAGCGGAGCTGCAACGTGCTCTGACGAATGCGGCGCCAGCCCTGGTGCAGGCGCTGCGCGAGGGCCTGCAACTGCGAGGAGGCAGAGCTGCGCCGAGTGGCGCTGCGGCAGGCCATGGTGCGACGCGCACGGATCGCTCGGCGTGGCAGCTGTGGGGCGGCGCAGATCAGTCGAGCAGCATCGTCGACGGTCAAGGCGTCTCTTCGCGGGCACGCGAGGCGGGGAGTCGCAGCGCTAGCGACTTCGAGCAGGAGCTGACTCGGGGCGCCAGACGGGCGCCCGGACCGGGCCTCCTCGTCATGCTGCGACGCACCGTCGAGCGCGCAAAGGCGCTCTGGTCGTGATCCCTCCTTCGTCCTCTCCACCTCGGCCTCATCCATTCTCATTCAGTTCCCCACATCTGTACAGCACCTCTCATTTACACACGTCATCCAGGAGGCGTCCGCACGCAATCATACACGCGCTTCAAAGAGAGATGCAGTAAAGCTTTGCGAAGCAGAGAGCGGAGGGAAGCTTAGAGTAAGGAGGGATACAGCTGGAGGCTTGTGGATATGCTTGGAGTCAGAGAGATAGGAGGCGTGGGATGCAGTGCAGTGGAGCGAGCGAAGGAAGCAGGGAAAGGGCTAGCGAGTGCGCATCGCCTACTCCTCGTCATCCTCCTCGTCCTCCTCCTCGTCCTCCTCCTCCTCCGCAGCGTCCGTCTTGGCGCTCTTGCTGCCCGCCTTGCCCTCGTCGGCCGCCTTGCGCTTCGTGCCCTGCGCCTTGATCTCTGCCTCGTCCTCCTCCTCCTCCGAGTCGGCAGCCTCCTCCTCCTCATCGTCGTCCTCCTCCTCCGAGGCCGCGTCAGGGTCGACATCCTCCTCGTCCTCGTCCTCCTGCTGTAGAGCGGGGCAAACAGCGTCAGCGAATGCAGGTAATTCGACCCTCTGCAGATGAGACACGACAGCGTCTAGCTTCGAAGTGCTACCCGTACACGAGGGCAGCACGCTTCCACGCCCGTGCTGAGCACATCGTCGACACGCTCTCGCCACGCCAGCACAGCGCACTAAAGTGCGCCAAGCCGGCGCGCAAGTTGGCATGCTCGCGCGCTGCCAGCGCCACTCTTGCGGGACAGATGCAGCGGGTGTTGCAGGCAGTAGAGGCGACGCATGCTTCTAGGCCGCCATCCAGCGCAACATGCCGCCCGTCTCTGGCGTCTGGGTCTGCGGAGCAAGGCAGCGCCTCTCTCACTCGCCGCGCTGCCCTCCCGTCCCGGCCCACCCTCGACCCGCCGCTCTATTCACATACTCACGAAGCTGCCGTCGCTCTCGTCCTCATCGTCGTCGGCGCCGACGTTGTCGTCGTCGGCGATGGCCTCCTCCTCCTCATCGACCTGCTTGGCAATCTTGTCCTCGGCGGCCGCGGCGGCGGCGCGCGGCTTCTCGGCGTCGGCCGGTGCCGGAGACGTGGCTTTTGTGTCGGACATGGCTGGTAGATAGATAGATAGATAGACTGGAGCGGTGGAGTAGGGTGCAGAGGAGAGGAAGCAAGCGCGAGGCGGCGGCTTAAGAAGGTCGTGCGCCAGCGAGGCGCGCGCCTCCACGCGCGCGTGACGCGTACAGCGCCAGCAGCGCGGCCAGGAGGCGTGCTGCAGCGGCTCGCAGGCAGCTCGTCTGTCTCGCGTGCGCCCGCCGTGCCCGCCGCCGCCGCCGCTGAGGCAGCACCCGCGCGCACCGCCGTGCCCCTCGCCCCGTTGCGGCGCCGCCGCTGGCGCTCGGCACGGTGACGCGCACGTCTCGCCCGCCGCCGTCAGCGGCACCCTTCGCTGCCCGTAGATGCTCGCCCGTCGCTCGTGCTGACACGCAACGATGAACGCCAGGCCGCAGCGTCACATGAGCGCGGCGCACCGCCAACAGAGGCGTCAGCAGGCCGAGAATAGAACAGAACGCCCTTGTCGCCGTCCATCCGCCGTCCGGTGCTGATGCCGAGAGAGACCCTTCGGCGACACGTGCCGCCGCCGCTGCCGTCCGAGGTCGCTCCGCTGCCGTCTCGCGCATCTGGCGTCCTGCCATGCCATCCAGAAGCGGTCTCCCGAATATCTGCGCTTGAGTCGCACCCTCGTCCAGACTGCGAGATCGTCCGGCTGGCGACCGGCTGAGGCATGAGCGGACGATGGAGGTTAGCGCGGCGGCTCCGGCGGGCACGTGCACCGTCGCCGCTCCGGCCGCGCGCCTCCACCTCCGCATCCGCGCAGCAGCCCGCAGAAGCGGCGTCTCGCTTCGCGCTTCGGCCTCGGCGACGGCGCGGTGCCGCTGCAAAGCGCCAGATGCGCCAGATGCGCTCGCCGTCGGAGGTCGGAGGCGCCGCCGATCTGCATCCGCAGGACTGCACTTCTTCTCTTCCTCTCCACCACATCCACCCAAACACTCATCCAGCCAGCCATGTCGTCCGCCCAGCAGTTCCTCGCGTCGCTCACCAAGGGCGTCAACTCGCCCGTCTCCAACGCAACGTCGACGTCGCCGTTCGGCAACATCAGTCTCTTTGCCATCCCGTGCGTCTGCCGTCTCGCTCTTCCTTCTCCTGCTCACATGCTCTTCCTGCAGCGCCGTCTGGGTCGTCTCCATCGCCGCGCACTTCTACGCCGCCGCCAACGCACCCACCAGCGGCGGCTTCGACAACGTCTCGCCGCGCGGCTACCTCGCCAGCATCACGCGCAAGGAGAAGCGCACGCCGCAGGAGGAGCTCTACATCCGCGCCGAGGCGGCGCAGCAGAACGGCTTCGAGGTGCGTCGCTGCTGGCAGTATGTGCTCTGAGCAGTGTGCTGATCTCTGCTTGCAGAACCTGCCGTTCTTCGCAGCCGCCATCCTTGCCGGCAATGTCGCCCGCCTGCCGGGTGAGCATCTTCTCTCCATATCTGACACTGCAGGCTGCTCACAGTCACCTCGCAGTCGACTTCCTGAACCTCTCGGCCGTCGTGTACGTCGGCTCGCGCATCCTCTACAACGTGCTCTACATCAACACCACCTCGGCCTCTGCGTGTGAGTCGGCCCCTCGCACAAGCTCGCTCTCTGGGCCAGCCCACTCACACACTTCTTTGCACAGCCAACCTGCGCAGCGTCGTGTTCCTCACGGGCGTCGGCACCTGCTTCACGCTCTTCATCCGGTGCGTCCGGGACAGAACAGTTGGACACACGCGGCATGCACTGACGCAGCCTCCTCTCGCAGCGCCGGTCGTGCCTTCCAGTACTGAGTGTCTCGCACCCGCACCGGTCTCGCACTCCTCTTTAAGCAACAAGCGCTGCGCAATGTTATAGGACCAGATGGAAGCTTTTTTGCATGCAGAGTGGATAAGATGTGCAGGATGAAAGGGAAGCTAGAGGGGCGCGATGGCAGAGGGTCGGAAGATCGCGGCGGTGGTAAGAAGGCGAGGAAAGGGGGAAGTAGAATACAGTGAAGACGAACGAGAGGCGCGGAAGCGGGGCAGGGAAAGAGGAAGGAAAGGAGCGACGGGTCTACGCCCACACGTTCATGCCAAAGAGGCTGGAGCGGCGAGTGGCGCTCTTGGGCGGCGCCATGTACGGCTGCTCAACGACGTCGAGCGACGCCTTGCGTGCGCGCGGCCACGCGAGAGCATTGAGGCCGAGCCGCGACGGCGTGCGGCGCAGCGAGCCACGCAGCTTGTCGACGCGGTCATGCGCCGTCGTCTCGTCGAGCTCCTCGTCGTCCTCTGAGTCAGAGAACGACGAGACGGTCGCCGTCGTCGCCGACGAGTCGGTGCGCACCATGGGCGGAGGCATCGAGTAGCTGTCCGTGCTGCTCGCCGATGAAGCAGCACTGCTGGCGGAGCCGTGACGCTCCATTGACGTAGACGAGCGCGACCACGTCTCAGATGCACGGTGCAGCGTCGTGCTCTTGCGCCGCACAAAGGGACTCATGCGGCGCGACATGGAGCTGCTGGAGCGCGCAAAGGCCAAGTCCTCCTCGGCCTCGGCCTCGGCGGAGATGACGGAGCCGAGCGAGGCGACAGAGCCGTTGCTGCTGCGCAGATGGCTGATCGACGAACGGCCCAGACTGGCACTCCACATGTTGCGCTCCATCGCCACGGGCAGCGAGGGACGCGGACCCGTCGGGCTGAAGGCGACGATCTCCTCCGGCTCGGAGCTGGAGCGCTCGCTGCGTGCCGAGCCGGGCGGCGTCACCTGCGCAAACTCGCTGCGCAGCGTAAGCGACGACGTCGAGCTGCGCAGCTTGGCCGTGAGGCGAGCACGCAGGCCGCCGCTGGCCTGAGGGCGCGAAGGCGACGTGCCGAAAGTCGCCGCCTCGGCGCCAGCTTGCTGTGTGACACGCGCGACGAATGTGGCGACTGAGGCAGAGGAGGCGAAGCTCGTGCCAGTGCTCGACGTCTCGACCGGCGGCGGAGGCAGCGACTTGTCGGCCGGCGAAGGCGCACGCGGTGCCTGGCGAGGCGACTCGAAGGCGGTGGGCGCCGTCGGATCCGGGGTCGGCGGCACAGTGACGAACTGGAAGGCGGCGGGCGCCAGCTGCGGCGTGATGGACTCGCTCATCCATGCACCAAGCAGCGGGCGTGCGGGCGGCGGCGCATTGAGCTGCTTACGAGCCGACGGCGCCGCAACGCAGTGCTCCAGGCTGGCCATGCGAGCCGGCGTCTTGGGCAGTGCAGCATCCAGACGCGGACCTGTATGCCGACGGCGCGAGCTCGAGCCGCTGCCAGAGCGCGAAGAGCGCTTCTTGGGCGCTGTAGCTGCCTGCGGCTGCAGCAGTGCAGTTGTCGACACCGTTAGGTCCGTGGCGCTGGGACGGCGCAGGCTGCGCTCGGGACGAATCGGCTTGGTGGGAGAGGCGCTCGGCGTGGTCAGGCCACTGCTGATGCCCAGGCCCGTGGCGTCGCGCTGGATCATCGCCATCTCGTCGCCGGGAATGCACATGATGCCGGCAGCCGTCGAGGCAAAGCTCCATGTGCTCGTCGTCGACGTGCTCGAGCCGCTGCGAGTGCGAGCCTCGGCTGACGCCATGCGAGGGCCAGTTGATAGCGAGTGGTGTGCGCTCGCAAACGTCGGCTGGTCGGAGGAGAGCGTGCCCTTGGGCGACTCGTGCACATCCATCGCACCCGGCAGCGTCGGCAGCGTCGGCAGCGCCGGCAGCGGCTGACCCGTCAGACTCTGCCCATCGCGCTTCGGCGGCAGCTGGCGGGCGGCGCGGCGCGGCTGCTGCGGTTGCGGCTGTGGCTGCTGGCTCTGCACGGCCTGCTGCAGTGCTTCTTGCTGCACCAGCTTGCCGCGAGTCAGCGACGAGAGGCGCTCGGCCGACTTGAGACGCAGCGACAGGGCGCTGGCCTGCAGCACGACGGTCTGGCGTGCCGAGCCGGCGAGCGACATCATGGGGCTGGCGTCGGGCGTGCTGAACATCTCGCGCGAGCTGCGCGTCTTGCGCTTGTTGGCCGGAGCAGCGTGTGCACCGGCGGCCTCATCGTCATCATCAGAGCTCGACCACACCTCGAGCTCCTCGGCAAGGTGCGACGTGGCGCGGTGTGCCTCGTGGAACGGCGAGAGCGGCGAGTAGAGACTGCCCTTGGGCGTGTCGATCCAGCTCATGCTGCCCTGCGACGAGCCGGGCGACGTGTCGCTGCCGCCGAGTGGGCTGCCGGCATTGTAGCCGCCGTCGATGAAGCTGATGGCGGCATACAGCGTCGCGTCGTCGTCCTTGAGCTCGGGCGAGACGATGACGTGCTCGATCTTCTCAGCGCTGCTGGGACGCAGCGAGGCTTGCCGCGGCTCGCTACGCCGCGAAGGCCGTGGCGACGGCGTGTGCGGACCGGCGGCCTCGAGCGAGGGAGAAGAGCCCGAGAGCTCTCGCGTGCGTCTCCGGCTCGACTGAGCCTTGACTTTGGCCTCAAACAGCGTGCGGCTGCGGCGGCGTGCATGGCCAGGACGAGCAGCAGCAGACGAAGCAGCCGTGGCAGCGACGCTGGCCGTCGCGGCGCGAGCAAGCATGGCGTCCGTGTCGCTGAGCATGCGGCGGTGGCTGCGGCCGGTCTGGCGCTTCGGCGTGTGGAACGCCGCCTGAGACGCCACGGTGGGCGTGCGGTCCGTCTCGGTGGAGCTGCCTGTGTCGTCGACGAGCAGCCGGCTCGACGACGCACCTTGCCTCGGCGACCGAGAGCCCGCAGCCGAAGTGGTGTAGGCGCGTGGCCGCGCCGGCTCTTCCGGTGCAAAGCTGACGCTGTACTCGGGCGCGTCGTCGTAGTGCGTCGAGGTGCTGGCAATCGACGAGATCGAGTCGCTCGTCGGCATGGCGCTGACCGAGGAGGTCGAGGTGCGCAGCATGATGACGATGGGCGGCGAGCGCGTGATGGACTGGCCTCTGCGAGTGCGGGCGCTGTACGAGGCGCGCTGGAAGCTCTCAATCTCGCTGGCGAGCGGCGAGCTGGGCAGCTGCTCGACGCTGAACTGCGACGACTGGCGGCGAAAGGCCGGGCGCGTGGGCTGTGCAGACGGCGGCGAACGCTCTGCTTCGGGCGACTCGGGCCCGGAGAAGTTGTGCGGCGTCGAAGGTGAGTGCGAAGAGAAGGAATTCAGCAGCGCAGGGCTCTTGGTGTCGCTAAGCAGTTCTTCTAGATCGATGACCATGCCCGCGAGCGAGGCGGAGCGCGGCGACGAGGGCGAGTCCATCGTCGGCGAGCGGGGCGTGGCGCATGAGCGCGGCCGGTCGGCAGACGGCGCAGTAGGCGCGGAGCAGGCATCATTGGCGAGCGAGAAGCGGCGCGGCGAGGCGAGGATGGAGAGCGGGCGCAGCGAGCGGGCAGACGAGGCGCGCAGCGGCGTCGGGCGAGGCGCCGACGGGCGGTTCCAGGAGCGGACGTGGTTGCGCAGCACGGCGGGTTCGTGTTGCAGCAGGAACGGCGCCGGCGTGTTGGTGTAGGAGAGCGAGCGCGAGAGGCGGTGCGAGGCAGTACGTTCGGTCAGGGCGGCGGAGAGAGAGCGGGCGTGGGAGGAGGAGGAGGTGGGAGTGGACTGGTCAGCGCGGGCGCTGGGAAAGCGGAACGGCAGCGGCTGCACCGGTGCAGCGGCGGCGTCGAGAGACGAGCTCATGGCCGAGGCATGGGCTTCACGGAGCGGGGACGGGAGCGGGAGCAGGTGGTGGAGAAGAGGCAGTGCGCCCTGTTCGAGTGACGAGCGGCGCCCGTCGGCACAGACAGGAACATGCGAGCAGCAAGCAAGGAGCATGCCGCCGCCCACGCAGCCCTGTCACACACCCCTGGCCGCGGCGTATGGCGCAGAACACTCTATCGGCAGTGCCGCGCAGGCTCGAGACAGGAGGGGTCCACGGCGCGCCGCCGGCGTCGGCGCCACTGTGGCCCTCGTGCTGCGCCCTCACCGGAGCCGCGCACACCAATGCTGCGCCGTGGCGCACCGCGTGGATTGCGTAACGCCCATCACGCCGGATGGAGCGAGCGTGCCGGATGGAGGTGGTGGCCGGGAGGCAGACGATGCGCGCCGGCCGCGCCGCTGCGGTGGAGGCGCCGCGCCGCCCGCGCCAGAGGAGCCTCGCCCGCCGCCGCCTATTCTGGACCTCGCTGCACCTGCTCCTGACCTGCTCCTCTCCGCCGTCTGGCCACGTTGCACCTCTCGTCGCATCATACTCACGTGAAAAGAAGAAGGGCGGAGACGCTTCGTGGCGTGGCGGTCTGGCGGCGGACTGCGGAGGAGGCGAGGGACGTGGAGGAGGGATGAGGATGGATGGGCAGGGGCAGCCCTCGTCCGGGCTGCGATGACGCCGGCACCTTATACTTGCCCCTGCCTCTAAGTCTGCTCGCTGCCGCCAGGGCCACGGATGCGGGCGTGCCTCGCTCGCCCGGCCGGTGGCAAGCAGCGCATCGGAGCCGCCGCAGCCGGGCGAGGCGAGGGCAATGCAGGGTGCAGCGGCTGCGTCCCGGGGCGTGCTTCGACCGAGCACACGCAACGGCCGGCGCACGGAGGGGGCCGTCTATGCATGCCAGAGCGCGAGATGGCCTTCGCAGCTGCAGCTGCACCACCGCCCCGTCAGCGTCTATGCCGGCAAGATGAGCCTAAGCGCATCCCCCTGCGCAGCCATCCGCGCTGCAGGAACTTTGGCCAGGCACGCCCGGCGAGCTCGCGTGCCTCCTGTGACGATCGAACAGGACAGCAAGCCGTGCACCGTTTGCTCCCTAGCGCTGGCTCGTGGGTGCCGCAGCACAGGGCCCTCGAGGTGCTGCAGCTGCTGCGCTGCTCGTGCCGTAGCGCGCCACATCTCACCCGTCCGAGTGCAGCGCGCCAGAGCCTCTCGCGCGTCGCAGCCGCAGCCGCAGCGCGAGGGCGATGCACATCTGTTTGCACCGCCGTGCGTGCGCCGTTGGCGCTGCAGTCGCAGAGCAAGGGCCGGCGGCTCAGGCATGGGCGCAGGGTGCGGCAGCGCAGCAAGGGCCGACGACGAGGGGATGCCTTGGCTTCGCGCTGGAGCGAGCTCGGCGTCGCTGCGCTGCTGCTGCGTGCTGCTGCTGCTGCGCCCCCTTCGCCTCGGCCGCGGGCTGCCCGTTGCGCGCCGCAGCTTCGCACGCGCTCGCCTCCCCCTTGCGCTGGCGCCAACGGCCGGGGCGCGTCGCCACCTCCCGCGCGAGACGCTCCCTCCGCCTCGCGGCCCTCCCTGCTCCCTGCTCCTAGCCGCGTCGCCCATGTGCTTCAGGCACACACCCTTCTCGCCGAGCGACGATCGACAACGAATGCCTTGCGTAAGCGCCAGATCCAGTCCGGCCCTTAGCAGCGTCGCACAGCGGTGCGGCGATGGCGGTCGGCGGTGCCGCGCTCGCTGACGCGTGCACCGCCGGCGAAAGCACAGCCAGAGCAAGGCACGGCCGCCGGCCAGCGAGCTCGGCCAGCGGCAGAAGCTCCCTCTCGTGGGCGTGGGCGTCGGCGTCGGCGTCGGCGCAGCACCTCGGGCGAGTCGCGCCGTGCCCGATGGCGCACCCCGCCCCCTGTTCTCACGCTGCCAGCCGCCTCTCGCGCACGGCCAAGCATCGGCCTGCCGCCTGCACTGGCGCTGCATTCCGGCAAGTATCCTGCGTCCTTGGATGCTGATCCGCACTTCCACACTCCGCAGCGGCAAACAGGAGCTTCCTCAGGCATGACGACCCGGCGGCGGAGCAGGCGGAGCAGCGAAACCGCCGGGCGCGCCTGGCGAGCCGTTAGTCTGGCACCCCTTGCGGCGCGGCGAGGGTGCGCGAGGGAGCCGTCGACGCGGTGCCTGGGCGGCACGCAGCCGCCGCAGCAGCAGAGCATCAGCGTGCAGCGCCGAGCCGCCGCACCCTGCGGCCATAGCGTCGATGCGGTGCTGCACACTTCTGCGATGCTGCTCATCGTCGCCTCGCAGCATCCATGCGATGGACGAGGGTGCGTCAAGGGGCCGGCGGGACGAGAGGGCGTGAGAAAGCCCTGCGTGCTGCCGCCGCGTGGTCCCGAGAAACCGCAACCGCCCATCAGCTGCGCCTCGTCACGCGCGCCAGCGCCAGAGATGCGCTCCAAGGGTCGGGTCCAATATCCTGCGCATGCAGAAGCATCGAGCAAAGAAGGACCTGAGCATATTACAGGACGTGTGGAGTGCGTCCAAGGGTCGTTGTCCACGACACCTGACGCGTGTGACGGCCCTCCGGCGCACGTGTGTAGAGCTCGCTGCACGTCCGACGAGCTCAAACAGCACGTCAGACGCCAGAACGTCTTCGCAGTGAGCTTGATGTACGGAGGACAACTACATCAGACGTGCTGTGTCGTCTCGCAAAGCCTAATGCGCACAAGCGAGGTTATCCTAGCATCGTGCGTGCGGAGATGACATGCCTGGTGGGCTGCCTGGCTCCGACGAGCTTTGTCTACACGTGTCATGCCTCGGGCAGGTCGTGCTTGCACCGCGGACACTGCAGCTGTATGTGCTATGTAAAGTCAGCAGTGGAGACTTCTTCGGTCTCCTGAGAGGGCTTAGAGCTCAAGTGAGGCGCTGTCATCGGCGGCATCGAGAGCTCGGCAGCACGCGACGCGACGCGTCACTGCCGTCGGCTGGGCCGGCTCACCTTGAGCCCGTTTTTGCAGACGTAGCGCGACGCAAGAGTCGACTCTTTTGACGTCGATATGTCAAGAAGAGTCTCATGTAGCTGTGGATGCTGCTTCTGCTTGCCTCCAGCTAAGAATGCAGTGGACCCAGCGCACTTAACCGCGCTTGCGAGGCGCGGGAGGCACGTGCGCGCGGCCGAGGTGTTCCGACACATGGCATTTCATCGGCCGCGTTCCGACGTCAGCAAGGTCTCGACGCCCACCTCGCAGACCCGCAGCTCTATCGACATGCTTCCAGTGCACGACCGAACAAAGCTTTCTGCGGCCTGGTCCGGTGGACGGCGTGTGGAGGAGCTGCCTCGGCAGCGCACTTGCAGCGCACACAAGAGCATCTGGTATCTCTGATACATTCACAGGGTGACAGAGCGAAAGGCCAACAGGAGCAAGCACGGGCAAAGAAGCAGCACTCGAAGAAACACTTCGCACGGTGCTCATCGAGCGACCGCCGACGATGTTGGAAAGCAGCCAGACGCAACTCAGGCACTGCGGCCGACGCGCCACAGCTGGAAGATGCGCGAGAGGAAGAAGTCGCGGAAGCGGCCGGGCATGTAGTACATGATGAAGGCCATCGTCGACTTCGCGCCCTGCAGTAACAGACATCAGCTGCGGCAGAGGGGATCATGCCGACGGGCCAGCACTACGCACCGTCACGAGGTAAGCACGCGGCCGCCGCTTCACCACCGCCTTGCGCACCACGGCGGCAAACTCAGCCGTAGGCGTGGGGTGGCCGAGCTGCGAGTACTGCGCACGGTACTTGATCATGTCGGCCACATTCTCGTAGCTCGACGACTTGGCGAGCTGGATCGTGCCCTCGCCCGCGTCGCCGATCGACGACTTGATCGCGCCGGGAGCGAGGATGACGACCTGAGACGGAGTCAGACGGGGCACCGAAGCTGCACGCCGCAGTAGCTGGACTCACGTTGATGCCAAAGCCAGCGAGCTCGGCGCGCATGCAGTCGGACACGGCGTGCACAGCAGCCTTAGACGCCGCGTATGCGCCGGCGTACGGCAGCGGGCACAGGCTATCGGAGCGTCAGCGGGGGAGCATGCGCTGGGGCTGTGACGGCAGCGACTCACGCCGCAGTCGAGCCGACGTTGACGATGGTGCCCGAGCGCTGCTTGATCATGTGCGGCGCCACGGCCTGCGTCACGCGCAGAAGGCCGAAGTACTGCCGACGGGGTGAGAGTCAGCGCGAGCGCCTGCAGCCCATGAGCAGGCACAGGCGTTGCCAAGCGGCTGATGCTGGCTCCGAGTCGCATCCATGGCGAGCCCGACTCTCCAGATCTTCGCCGCATCTCTTCGCAACGCCTTCAGCACACTCACGTTGGCCTCAAACGTCTGGCGCTGCCGCTCAATGTCCACCTCCACCACGGGCCCGACGGCCGCATTCGTGCCTGCGTTGTTGATGAGCAGGTCGATGCGACCCAGCTGGCGCACCGCCTCATCGACGGCCTCGCGCACGCTCTCGGCGTCGGTGACGTCGAGGGCAAAGCGCCACACGTTGGGCGGCAGCGTCTCGAGGGCGCTCATCTTGCGCGCCGTCGCCACGACGCGGTGCTTGCCGGCGCCGGCAAACTCGACGGCCAGCGCGCGCCCGATGCCCGACGAGCAGCCGGTGATGAAGACGACGGGACGCGTGTCGTCGGGCGTGTTTGGCGTGGCGGACATGGCGGCTGTGTTGGTGGTGTGAGGGAAGGAAGGATGAGCTTCAGCGCAGCCTTTCAATTTTAGTTCCGCGTCGTGGGGCGCCCGGCTCGCCGAGCGCCGGAGCCGGACGGCGACTTCTTATGACGTGCGGCGCTGCCCGACTCCCGGCCTGTCACTCGACTGCACAGACCCCAACCTCGTCCAGCCTCGCACTCCTCGCACTCGACAGCTGAGCACGCTGTGGTGATACATGGATGACTATTGCACACGTCTCCTCAAGCACCCTCGACACGCGCATGCATGCCGTACACGGCGGCGCGCACGGCGTAGAAGGAGCGCCCGACGTTGCCCTCGATGACGACGGTGCCCTCGCTCTCCTTGCGCACCGTGACGCCGGGCGGGGCGGCCGCCTTGCTCTGTGTCGTCGCAGACGTGCCGCACACGAGCGAGCCCTCGCCGGCGAACTCCGAGGCCATGCGGTGATGCGTCGCCAGCGCCGCCTTGAGCGTCGAGAGATGCAGGTCGCCGATGAAGAGCGTCGGCGCCAGGTCGCTCGCCGGGCGCTCTCGCTTCGACTTGACGACCGCACCGTCGGCTGCCGCGTCCTGTGCGACGGCCTCGAGGGGCGCCAACGCAGGTGCCAGCGGCTCCAGCGTCGGCACGGCGCTCTCGGCGGCGTAGCGCACCGTGGCACGCAGGTGCGCCACCTCGTAGTCCTCGAACGCCGACAGGCGCAACGAGCCCATGAGGCCCTCGCCCAGGTGCAGCGTGTAGGCGTTCGTCAGCTCGCCGATGCGAGTGACTTCGCCCAGCGCCGGCGCGTAGATGTCCGCCGTCATGCCGCGCACGGCGGCGAAGGCCTTGAGAGCATCGTTGCGCGCCGCCTGTGCGCCGCCGACGAGCAGCAAGCGTCGTGGCAGGAGCTGAGGCAGGAGCGTCTTGAGCGCACGGCCGTCGGCCAGGCCAGACATGTCGATGAAGGCCACGCGGCACGACATGCTGAGATGCTCGATGTGCGTGACGATCTTGCTTGGCGGCGCCTTCGGGCCCTCCTTCTCCTTCTCCTCCTTCTCGAGTCGTCGTTGCCGCGCCTCGGCCGTCTCGGCTCGTTCTGCCGCTGGCAGTCCGTCGCCGTCTGGTCGGCTCGCCTCGATCTCGCGCCGGCGCGAGAGCCAGCGAGCCACGTCGATCGTCTCGCCGTACGCGTCCACGCGCCGCTTGCGCTCGATGAACGGGAACATGCGATACCGCACGCCGGTGCCGTGCCGCCCAGCGTTGTTGGCGCCACCGGATGCGCCGGCACCAAAGAACGTCGTGGCACGGCCTGCTGCACCGCGGAGGTACACGTCAAAGGAGAGGTCCGAGCCGCCGCCTTGCGCTCCTTCTGCCGTCTCGCCGCCCATGGCGCCGGCGCCCTCGCGCTTGCGCTTGCGTCCAGAGCCGGGCTCGGCGTACGTGTCGGCCGCCTCACCAGCACCCTCGTCGCCGGCAGCAGACGAGGCGTCCGAGTCGTCCGAGTCACTCTCATCGGCCTCCTCATCGGCCTCGAGTCGTCGCCGTGTGCGAGCGCGCAGTGCCTGCTGCGTGGCGGCGCGCTCTGCTGCTAGCCGCTCTGCCTCGTTGTGCTTGGCGAGCTCTTCGCCTTCCAAGGGCACGCGCAGGTGCAGCTGCAGACGCGAATGTCAGCTCAGGCCTTCGCTCGACCTGCACAGCGACTCACCTGAATGTCACAGCTCTGGCCAATGACCACGTCCTTGCCCACGCTAGCCTTTCCGAACTTAGCATTGGCCTCCTGCAGCGTCTCCCACTGGTCGTACAGCCAGCGCGACAGCGAGCCCGGATCGCCGCGCTGCGTCAGGATGACGGCGTCACCAGGACTCTTGGCTGCTCGTGCCAGCAGCACGCGGGCCGGACCATGCGTCGCGGAGAGTGGCACGGCAAGCACGACCTTGGGCGCATCTTGCGGCACGGCCTCGTCCAGTGCCGCCAGGGAGGAGAAGATGCGCAGGTATCTGCGACGATACTATCAGCGCCACGAGAGCTCTCGCGTAGTCTCGCGCAACCCACTTGAACTCGAGTGGGTTCGACGGCTGCGCATTGCGGTCGCCTCTCCGTCCGCGTCCCTCATCCACCTGCTCGCCAGCCTGCGTGGCCCACGACTTGGTGGTCCACTCCATGAGTGCACGGGCACGCTCGAGCAGCTCCTTGCCTGTCCGCGACACGAGACACAGCGGGAAGCGCGCGTGCGGGTATGCGAATGCCCAGTGGGCATCGAGCAGCACCAGGAGCTCGAGCAGGCGTGCTGATGCGTCGACGGGCAGCAGTACGGAGTGGCCCGCGCGGATTGTGTTGTGCACGATGTCTGGCACGAGAACGCGGATCAGCCCCGACGCCGCAGCGCTCTCCACAGCCACTCACCTAGCAATGCTGCATCTCTGTCCTTTCGACGCGCGTTGACCACCAGACTGCGTTCAACATCCGTGACGAGCACATCGGCACGGCGCACCGCATCCAGTGCACCTGCGCTGCTGCTGCCCGGCGGTGGCGCGCCTGCGCCGGCTGATGGCGAGGCAATCAGAGCGGTGCCATCCAGGTGCCGCTCGCGCATATGGTTCCAGTCGAGCGCCAGCAGCAGTGTACCAGCAGTCGGCGAGCGGATTTTCCAGAGCGTGCCGCCGAGACTGTGGCCGGCGGCGTATGCCGTGAGGATGACTCCCGCGCACTTGCCTGCTCATCTCGCGTCAGCCTAGAGGAGTACAGCAAGCGTCGCTGGGACTGACCATCAAGCTGCGTCGGCTGCAGATACCGCACAGTGCGCACCGACTCAAATGCCTCGTCGACCTCCTGCCGCGTCGGCACGCAGCGCTGCCAGCCACCGGGCAGTGGGCTCGCGTCCGTCGCCTCCATCTCATCGCGCCAGCCGTCGGCCGCTTCGAGGGTCGTCAGGCGGCCCATCGTTGCCGTGGGCAGCGAAGCAAAGGCGGGACACCGCAAGCCGAGACGAGCCCATGCCCAGGCGTAGAGACCGATGTGCGAGAGAGTCGAGTGGCAGAGCAGCACGAGATCAATCGAGGGCGCGATCCTGACGGCAAGGAGGCGTCAGCAGCGGGCACGCATTGCGGCGCTCACAGGGCTGCCGGGCGTGCACTGCCTCTGCCGCGGCCACACTACTCACTCGAGCAGCAGCGTATCCAGGCCCTCGCCCTGAGCGCGCCGGGCCAGCTCTTCGCCCTCGAGGCGCGGCGCCTGCTCCTCGGGCTCCTCCTCGCGCTCCTGCTTGACGGGCGGCGAGCTGCCGGATGCCTCTGCCTCCTGCGCCTTCTCCTGCGCCTGCACCGCAGAGATGCGCGAGAGCTCAAAGATGAGGCTCTCAGGTGCGCCGGCGCCAAGGAGGATGCGCACGTCGTCGATGTCGAGCAGGTACGCCAGGGCCTTTGGCCGCTCGACCTCGGCGCCGGCCGCGGCGTCGCCGAGCGTAAGGCTGGCGCTGCCCGCCTGCGCGGGTGCCCACGGCACCGAGAGGGGCGTGAGCGTGATCATGGCGCCCGAGCTGCAGCGGTTGCGGTGGCCAGGGTGACGGCGCCGACGTGGGGTGTGAGGTGTAGGAAGGCAGCCCGCTCTGGCCAAGAAGCGAGACCAGCCAGGCGCGCGCGGGACTCGGGACACGCCGCCCACCAAAGCCTGTGGCCGCTGAGGCGCAAGCCGCCCAAGTGGAGCACCCGTCCACCCTGCCCTCGCCTCCCACGCCCTCCTCATCCCTGCTCTCGCACTCTTCTTCGTCCATAGCGCTGCACGTCTGCCGGTGCCATGCCGCGCCTCACGCGCCTCACGCATGTCACCGCCTCGGCCCGCTCCGCCCGCCTGCGCTCCCGCAGCGGCGCAACGGACGATGCTCAGGCACCCGCACCCTCTACGAGCCAGCTGCCAGCCGCAGAGCCTGCATCCGAGAGCGCCTCGAGCAGCGCTGTGAGCAACACGCTGGAGAGCGCACTCGATCTCTGCTCGCCCGAGCCCGAGCCGCCGGCCGTCGACCACGGCGACGATCCGGGCGCCGCGCGCCGCAACCGCCTCGCCCAGAGCGCCGCGAGCGCCGTGCGGGCCAGCGGCGCAGCCTACGAGCGGCGCAGGCGCCAGCAGGCCAGTGCTGCGGGGCCCTCGGCAAGCAGTAGTGTGCCGCGAATCAAGCCGGATCCGGAAGTGAGCGAGGCCGCGGCCGAAACAGAGCCGATGGCGGGAAGTCCAGACGAGGCTGCCGCGCCTCCTCTGTTTCGCGGCGAGACGCAGGAGCCAGGCGTGGCAGGAGAGCGCCCATCAACTCCTCCCAGAGTCAAGGCAGAGCCTCTGCTCGAAGATCCGATATCGCAAGATGCCGCCCAGACAAGTATGCCACCTCCGCGGACGCCTCCAGCCCGGCGACGCAGGGGCGGCACTCGCGCGCTCAGCTCGAGAGCGCCGACGGACGATGCCTCTCTGCCTCCGGAGCCGCGAGGGGCGAGTGAGACGGCGCCGCCTGAGGAGGAACCAGAGAAGGAGATCCGCGTGCGTGACTTCGAGTGGCCACCTCACTACATCGAGCTTGAAAAGACGTTCAAGGTGAGTGTTCGTAGCGCGCTCCTCGAAAGCGCCCCTCATCCCTTCGCGCTCAGGCGCTCAATACTGTGTATGCCTTTTGTTCCTCGCGCAAGCACCTGGCTACCACGTACGACACCCTACGAGCATCAGTAGAAGGCCTGTTGAAGCGGTGAGTCGTGCTTTCATACGCTGACTCGATGAGTTCAGCGCTGACGCCGCGTCTCAGCCCACTCGAGATCTTTGACCTCGCACAGCTCAAATCGCTCTGCCCAGACCTGATTTCGCTCGGCTACGTCGATATGGAGGCGCTCTCTCTGCATCTCGAGGGCCCAGTGCCGACCGGGCGGGAGTTTGGACGCTCTCGGGCTGCGGACCGGCAGGCTGTCGACGAGATCTACGCCGCGACGGCGCGCGACATCGCCGCTGACCAGGCAGCAGCGCTCGAGGAGACCCTCGACGAAGAGCAGGCACTGGCGGAGGGCGCCACGTCGGCAAAGAATGGGAAGCGCAAGGAGCGCGAAGACTTCGTGTTGCTCTTCGAGTTCAATGACGGCACGCTGCTTGGCGGGCCGAAAGCTACGCAGCGGGGCCGCTTTGGCATGCGTCGCGGTCCCGCCCAGGGCCCACCGCGGTGAGTCCAGCTGCTTGCTTGCTCTACGCGCCAACTCACGCGTCACGAGCAGACAGATGGCGAAGGAAGACCCGGCCAAGACGGCTCGCGGCATGCGCAAGCTCATCGAGAAGCGGCACTTCAAGTTCGAGCAGGCCGTGCTGGAGCTGCTCTGCGCATGCTTGGCAAAGGTGAGCCCGTCGAGATCCAGCGTGTCGGCCGATGTGCTGACACTACAATCGCAGAATGAGGACCCAGTGCAGCTGCTCATCAGCGCAGCGCACGGCCACGTCCCAGTCGACCCCACCCACAGCGCCGGCGATCAGACCCTCGGCGACACGCCGCGCAAGCGAAGGCTCCGCCTAGAGCATCTCATGGCGCATCCCGAGGAGCGCTCCAGTATCACAGACGTCATCGAGGAGCTCAAGGGCACCAAGTGGTGGCGCGATCAGATCGTGCCCGGCGGCCAGCGCACCATCCCCGCGCGCGAGGCGGTGCATGAGGGGCTCACATTTGCGCTTAGCCAGAGCATCGTCAATGCTCTCTGGGCAACGCGCCAGATCGAAGAATTCTATTTGCATCAGGCGGACGCGCTCAATGCACTCGAGGAAGGGCACAACGTCATCGTTTCAACGAGCACGTCGTCCGGCAAGAGTCTGATCTACCAGATTCCTGTGCTCCGCGCGCTGGAGGAAGACCCGAGCTCGACGGCCATGTACATCTTCCCCACCAAGGCACTCGCGCAGGACCAGCGGCGCACGCTGCAGGACCTGCTGTTCCAGTGCGAGGGGCTCGAGGAGACGATCGTTGCCACGTACGACGGCGACACGGACAAGTCCCTGCGTGCCGACGTGCGCGAGCGCGCCAGCGTCATCTTCACGAACCCAGACATGCTGCACCAGAGCATCCTACCGGCCGAGTCGCTGTGGCGACGCTTCCTGCGCAGCCTCAGGTTCGTTGTGGTGGACGAGCTGCACTGCTACAACGGCCTCTTTGGCGCACACGTCAGCTTCATCATGCGCCGGCTGCGCCGCATCTGTGCCGCACTCGGCAACCGGCGCGTGCGCTTCGTCAGCTGCAGTGCCACCGTGGCCAATCCGCGAGAGCATATGCAGACGCTCTTCGGCATCGACGACGTCGAGGTCATCACGCAGGACGGCTCGCCTGCCGGCGCAAAGGAGTGGCTCATCTGGAACCCTCCGCTCATCGACCCCGACGATCCAGCGCAGGGCCGCATCAGCACCTACGCCGAAGTCTCGCAGCTCTTCCGCCACCTGGTGCAGCGCGGCGTACGCACGATCGTCTTCTGCAAGGTGCGCCGTACATGCGAGATTGTCATGAACCAGATCCGCAGCGACCTGCTGCTCGACGACCGCTCCGACGTGGCGCAGCGCGTCATGTCCTACCGCAGCGGCTACTCGCCGCAGGACCGCCGCAAGATCGAGACGGACATGTTCAAGGGCTCGCTGCTCGGCATCGTCGCCACGAGTGCACTTGAGCTGGGCATCGACATTGGCTCGCTCGACGCCGTCATCATGGTCGGCTTCCCGTACTCGGTGTCAAGCCTACGACAGCAGGCCGGCCGCGCCGGACGACGGCAGAAGGACAGCCTGGCTGTGCTCGTGGGCGACCCGTTCCCGCTCGATCAGCACTACATGCGCAACCCGGAGGAGGTCTTCTCGCAGCCCGATGCGGCGCTCAGCGTGGATCTCATGAATGACTTCGTGCGCGAGGGCCATCTGCAGTGCGCTGCTGCCGAGATCCCGGTGCATCCCGAGGAAGATGCGCCGTACTTCGGCGCCGACCTTGGCGTGCTGTGCAAGACGCGCCTCGAGTCGGACGGCGCGGGCTTCTATACTGCGCGCAGCGAGCTCCTGCCGTTCCCGGCCAAGGAGGTGGCCATACGCGGCGCACGACAGGAGACATACATCTACGTCGACGACTCGCCCGGCCGGCGCAACGGACCGCGCGTCATGGAAGAGGTCGAGACGGACCGTGCCATCTTCGAGGCGTTCGAGGGCGCCGTGTTCATGCACCAGGGCCGCAGCTTCCTGTGCAAGGAGATCAGCCACGACACACGCATCGCCCGCATGGTGCAGTCCGACGTCAACTACCACACCCGGCCGCGCGACCACACCGACACGGACGCCGTCGAGACACACCGCATCCGTGCGCTGCGTGGCTCGAGCTCGCGAGCCTACTATGGCCATGTCCGCATTGAGACGCGCGTCTGGGGCTACTTCAAGGTGGACCGCCGCGCCAACATCCTCGACTCGGTCTCGGTCGACTGTCCGCCGTTTGTGCGCGACACCAAGGGCCTGTGGCTCGATGTGCCGCTGTGGATCATCGACGCCATGACGGCCAAGACAATCAACGCCGCAGCGGCCATCCACGCGGCAGAGCACGCGCTGCTCAGGTGAGTGGGAGGCTGCCGTACTGTGCTCCAGCCGAGCTGACTGCGCCTGTACAGCCTCACGCCCATGTTCGTCGTCAGCCTCGCCGGCGACGTGCGCACCGAGTGCAAGGTCGCCGAGCGCGAGTATGCGCGCAAAGCTACCACCCGCAAGCGACCTGCGCGTCTCATCTTCTACGACACGCCGGGCCAGAACGGCGGCGTGTGCGCCAAGGCGTTCGAGCATCTCGACGGGCTCATCCGCATCGCTGTTGGTGAGTTCAGTCGCGCGGCTCACGGTCACACCGTGCTGACGAACGCGCACAGCCGTCATCGAGGGCTGCCAGTGCGTCGAGGGCTGCCCGTCATGCGTCACGTCGCAGACCTGCGCACATGCCAACGTCGTCACGTCCAAAGTCGGCGCGCTGGGCGTGCTGCGAGGCCTCATCGGGCTGCAGCCTTTCGACGTGGACCTGCCACAGCAGAACGAGCCTGGCCACGCCGAGGGCAATCTCGCCTCGGCACACGCCGTCGGCCACACCATCTGCGAGGCCGTGCCCGTGCGCGCGGCGTCCGACGTGCAAGTCGAGCTCGTCGACGAGCATCTGCCACCTAGCATGCTCAACTCGCTGCAGCGCCTCAAGCAGGAGGCGCAGGACTCGCACCGCAGTGACCCGTCAGAACGACCCACGCCCGGCCGCTCGCGCATCTACGAGGAGAGCGTGCCCCTCCCATGATCCGGCCTTGGTACCCCGTCTCTGCACTCCATCTACCCCATCTACCATCCCTCGCAACCACGCTCATACCCCTCTGCCCTGCCTGCGAGTCTTAGCAACGAGCGCAAGCGCCCGCAATCTTTTGGACCAAGATGTGGTTGTACATGTTGCGCGGCGGAGGTCGCGGCCGCCGCGGCATGGTGGCGGATGGTGAGAGGCGTAGAGCGTGCCGCGTGTCGGCACGTCGGTGCAAATGATGGCCGGGATCGAGCGTAGCAGAGGCGAAGAGAGGAGCGAGAAAGACGAGGCGAGCGCGAGTAAGGACGCAGACCACGCTTAGGCGTGGCCGGCACGGCGCTGCTCGGCAATGACGTTCGTCAGGAACTCCATCTTGCCCTTGGCACGGCGGAGTGTGCCGAGGCGCCGCTTGATGAACTTGCGGGCACGCTTGTCCTGAGAGGCGGAGCCTGCTGTCAGCACGCTGTTGCTGGCCGCTGATCTGCTGTCTTGTCGGCCCCACCGACTGCAGTACTACTGCACAAGACCGCCGACAGGTCCGACAACACGCTGCAGTGCTCTATCGCCGCTGCGCAAATGCTGCAGCCCTCTGCTCAACATTGTCTGTCCTGTCCTGCTCGGCCCGCCACGCTGCCACACCCCGCCAGCGCTGGCCCTACACCACCTGTCCCGCCTCCTTCCGCAACCTCCAGTGCTCTGTCCATCCTTCTCCCCTCCCGGTTCTCTGCCCCTTTCGTCTCTCCGCTCTTGCGCCCATCCGCCCGCCCAGCTGCACTCACCTTGGAGTTACGGATCAGCTCCATGGCGCGGCGCTCGTACGGCGCAAAGCCAACCACCTCGCGCACGACGCTGTTGACGACGGTGTTGCGCTGGCTCTGCGCACCCTTGCGGCGCGAGGCCTTGGGCGCGGGGGCGCGGCGCGTGTTGACGTGGCCACGGGCAATGCCCCAGACGAGGCCGGAGCGCGGCGCCTCGGGCTGGTGGGCGGGGTTCGACGAGTTCGGCATGTCTGGGAGCGGCACAAGAATGAGCAACGGCGGCATGCGGAGCGGGTGCGGCTGCTTGACGGCGGACGCAGCACGGCGGGCTATTCACTAGACAAGGATCTTGAGGGGGTCGATGTGGACGAGAGGGCCGCACGCCCGGCGGTGCTGCTGATGCCGCGCCGCCGCCGCCGCAGCGCCGTGCCTGGCGCGCGAAGGCGAAAAGCGGCCCGGCGCGGCTGCGGCCACGTGGCGCGCTGCCAGGCGGAGGCGCGCGACGGCTCTCCTCGGCCGAAGCCCAGCCGCGTGCGACTCCGCCACCCCGCGCTCTCTTCCCAACTTGTGATTCTGAATTCTGGCCTGCCAAGGCTGTGGAGGCCCCTGCGCTGGCTGGGAGCAACAGAAGAGCGACAGCCTCAGCAGCCACAGCCTCGCCAGACGCTCTCATACCCCCACGCCTGCCTCTCATGCCATTCACGCCCATCACCGCCGCGCCGACGTTCCGCACGCTCGAGGAGGCCGCCGAGGGCGAGCAGTCGACGCCGGCGTCGTTTGCCGCACTGCCGCCCGTGCTGCGCCTCCGTCTCGACGGCGTGCTGTGCCGCATCTCGCCGCCGCTCGCCGGCAGCAGTGGCAGCGCCAGCAATGGCAGCGGCAGCGCCGAGAGCCAGGCGAAGGGCTCGCTGTGGGTCACTGATGCGTGAGTGTGTGCAGCGCCTGTGCCGAGCGCTGCTGTGCTCACCTCCACCCAGCGCCCTCTCCTTCATTCCCGACACGGGCGACGGCTGGGCGCTCGACTACCCCACGCTCTCGCTGCACGCCGTCTCGCGCTCCTTCCCGGAAGGCATGACGCCTGAGGCGTCGGGCTCCGCCGCAGATGCAGAGATGGCGCACCCGGCCGGCCCCGGTTGCGTGTACTGTCAGACCGACGATGCTGCGGGCGACGAGGAGGCGGACGAGGACGACGAGGACGCCATGCGCGAGCTCTGGCTGCTGCCGAACAGCCAGTCGGAGCGTGAGTGCGCGCGCCATGATCGCTGCTGATGCGTACTGATAGCCCTCGCCGCTGCAGTGGAGCCGCTGTTCGCTGCGCTCTCCAAGGCTGCCTCGCTGCACCCCTCTTTCGGAGGCGCCGATGCTGCCTCGGGGCATCCTTTCGCCGGGCTCGGCGCGTTCGGCACGGGCGCACCAGAGGGCGCAGAGGAGGGCGAAGGCGCATTCGACGATGCCGAGGATGACGACGAGGCAGCAGCGGCAGATGGCGAGCTGAGCGCCGGCGGCAGGGTGAGGCAAGAGTTCCAGGGTCCGGATAGCAGGTACCGGCCGTACTAGTCGGGAAGAGGCGGGACGCAGCAGCATCTGGGACTCTGGGCAGCGGAGGAATGTGATTCAGTGAAGCGTCTTGTTCTCTTGCTGCCAGCTGCTGGTGAGCTCGCTTGTCACCAGAGCACTGCTGAGACCCATTAACCTCCGTGCACAGCGCACTCTGAACCACCTGGAGGCTCTGCTCGCTGCGTCATCCGCCCACGATGTGCAAGACGACGACGACGCGAGCGCGCAGGCTGGTCCATCGCGGCATCCTCCTGCTTCGCCGACTGCTTCATTCCACTCGTCGGACCCGCGACGCCTGCAGTCCGGCGGTCTCGACGTCGGCGAGGCGGAGGCAAGCGGCGCAACGAACACATTGCACTTGACTGCTCTGCCGCCGCTCTTCTTCGAGGAGATGGAGCTCGTCTCTGGCCTGCTCGACTTGCTCCACGCCCACGGCCCGCTCGCGAGCTGGCATCCGCTGCCGGCCTTCGGCCGTGCCATCGTCGTTTTTGAGCAGGCTAGCGATGCGGCAAAGGCAAAGGTGCAAATTGACGGTCTGCGCCTTGTCTTCGAGGATGACGAGGCTGGACCGATCAAGCGCCAGCAAGGCGATCGCTCGTGAGTACGGTGCGAGACTCGATGTCTCGCCTCAGCTGACTCTCTTGCAGGCCCGCCATCCGTGCCTACTTCGGCCCGCAGTCGCCACTGCACTACGAGGAGGCATCGCGTCTGCTCGGCGTGCCCGTGACAGACCGCAACTTCCTCATCTCACCGCCGGGCTCGCCGCCCGTTGGCTGGGAGCCGATCCGCGAGGACCCGCCAAACACGGCGACGCTGGCCGACGACCTCATCCGCGCTCTCGGCGCACTGCGCGACTCGGGCGCCAATGTCGCAACGCAGCCTGCTGCATCGGCGCCAGGCGCAAGCCGTGGCTCGTCTGGCCTGCAGGCGCCCAGCCTCGTCATTCCGCCGACTCGCACCGTAGCGCCGCCGCGCCATCCGCTCGCACCTCAGCGTGCGCCGCTGGCCGACGACGGCACCATCGCAGTGCCAGGCGTCACAGTACAGGCATATGATCCGGAGCCGGAGGAGCTCGACCCCAGCGCCAGGCCAGCACACTCGATCAGCAGTGTCAAGGCGACGATCGAGAGCATGCGCGGTGCCTCGCCGTCCTTCCCAGCTGCCGAAGACAACGCACAGACCGTACCCACTGCCCATCTGCCGGCGCTGGCGCTAGCCCCGGCGCTGGGCGCGGGGCTGGACGGCAACACGGGCAAGCGCATCACGCCGACAGGCCGCCCGCCGCTGGCGTGAGGAAATAGAGCCCGTCGATAAGTTTTGGGTGTAGCGCACAGCACGGGTCGAGAAGTACGGGACGAGACGTGAGAAACGCTGTCACGGCGTGGTCGTGCAGATGTCGGGTAAAGAGCGCGCCACGCAGCGCTCGCGGTGCGGCAGCGGAGACGTCCGCATTCGGCTCGTCTCTCAGAGCTGCTCGTCCGCGTCAGGCACCTCGAACTCCGGCACCTCGAGAAGGATGTTGCCGGCGAGCAGGTGCTCCAGCGGCTTGAAGTCCTCGAGTATTGGCTTGGCGAGACGCACGCGGCCCAGCAGCTGTTCGAACACCGCTGCCTCAGGCTTCTCTGCGTAGTGACCCCACTGATCGCGGTCGCTGTCGAGACCGTCGGGCACGGGGCGCACACGCGCAAGAGCGCGCAGCGCACGCGCCGCGCCATTCAAGTGCGCGACGGCATGTCCGACGTCGGGCGAGCCAGCGGCACCGCCGAGGAGGGCGACGACATCGTCGAAGCGCTCGGCCAGCTCCAGATAGTCGAAGCCGTGCGCCGTGTAATGCTGCTCCTGCCACGAAACACCAGCTCGGTTGGTGTCTCTGTCGTCGAAGACGACGGCGAAGAGCACGAGACTCCATGCCTCGCTGACGAGTGCCTGCGCGTAGCTGCGCACCATGACGGCGACCTCCGGGCTTCGCTCAACGATACGAAGCAGACAGCCCGCAAGCGAGGCATCGATGGGCACGTTGTGGGTGATCGGCGAGAGCCGCTCCCAGATGGCCTTGAGCGCGAAGACGTGACGATGCGTCTTGATGTCGTCGAACTTCTTCTCTGGATCGCCCTCATGGCTCGCTTCCTCCGCCTCCACCAGCTCATCGTAGAGGGCACACAGCACGGGCCGGAGGACAAGCCAGCGCAGAATGCTAGTGTCTGGAAGCACATGCGACTGTCAGCCACTGCGCCGAGACCGGAGCAGCCTCAGCACTTACGAGCGATCGCCGCCAGCTCTGTCGTCGGAACGAAACCGTCCACGTGAGGGTACGGCGCGACCCGCTCGGTGTCGTAACTCGTCGAGCGGTAGTAGTCGCTCTGCAGCCATGGCACAAGAGGCTCGTTCTCGTTGATGTGGGACACGAGGACGTCGAACCCTCTGAAGCCAATGTCCGAGTTGAAGCCGTTACTGCCAAGCTGAGCGAGCCACATTCGGTTGCCCGATCTGCGAGAGGCTTGAAGGCTTTTGGCGATCAACATCGACGTGTCTGCTACCTCGATGAACTTGGCTGTAATGTCGATCTCGTCCTGATAGTCCTCCTCATCCTCTGCGGGCGTAATGCTCGAGACAGCTTCGGTCTGCAGCGCGAAGGGGTTCATGCTGTCGCGAGGGCGCACGAGTCAGCAGAGAGCACACGTTTCGCCCAGCCAGTGCATAAAGCTTACCGTTCGAAGCGCAGCGCCTCGCACCAGAGCACCTTCTTTTCCCCCTCCGTCCAGCCTGCAGCATGGTCGGTCTCGTAGCCGTCGCCGTATCCAAGCATGGCGCCAGCTCGCACGGCGGCACTCGCATGCGTCAGCACAGCGCGCATGTCGCCCATGAGCGAGTAGAAGTGAGCCTGAGGAGCAGTGTCAGCACATGCAAGAAGAGCATTGCACGTCAGATCTGTTGCTCACCTTGAGAAGGCTGGCCAGCACATCGTTGACCGTCGTCTTGGGCGGCCGCTTCCAGGCCTCGAGCGATGCGCTCGCGCGCAGCCAGACCCACACAGGGTCAAGCCAGTGCTTTGCCTCCTCAGCATCGATCTCCTGGCTGTCCTCGTCGTTGGCCGACTCGAACGTCGCCGTGTGCACGCGGCCAATAGCCAGCTTGCGCTGCGCCGGCAGCGCCGACGAGAGCTGTGAGGCGTGCAGCGCCAGCAAGAGGCAGGCCACGAGCTCGAGCGGCGGGCCCGCCGTCATGGCTGGCGCTGCATCGGGGCGGCCGTGTGCGCGGCCGAGCGCCTCGCTGATGCGCCGCCGGGTCAGGCGCGAAAGCGGCAGCAGCGGATAGAACACCGTCTCCCACAGCTCGACGAGCGACATGGCGAGGTGGTAGGGCAGCAAATCTTCGGGCCGCGTGATGCCTTCGCCGACCGAATGAGCAGGCCACGGCAGAGCGGCCGGCAGCACTGCCGGCACGGATGCAGACGCTGCAGGCGAACGGGCTCGCACTGAAGCCGGCGAAGCAGAGCTGGCGATCGGCAGCGGTGCAGCGACGCGTGCGCCACCTGCACGCACAGCCAGCTCGTTTGCGATCTGGTGGCTAAGCTGCAGCAGCGTGGAGACCGAGAGGCCCTCGACAGAGAGCACATCACCGGCATTCGCAGGCGCGCTGCGTGCCGCCACCACGGCGCCGCCATTGCGCGCGCCACTCGAGGCTCGCACATCGCTCACACGGCGGCGCTGTGCTGCCAAAGTGGCCTGCTCCGTAGCCGGTCTGGCGGAGGCGGAGGCAGCCACCGTGGGCGGCGACATGTTTGACGGCTCGCCGCCGCCGCGCGTACTCGAGCCATTGCTGAGGTTGATTCTCGTGCGGCGGAAGCGTCCGCCGGCCACGTCCGATGCCTCGTCGACGACGGGCGCTGCGAGCGGCGCTTGCACAGGGACGAAGGGATTGTCGACGCTCGACGATGTCGCCGAGACAGAGCCCTCCGTCTGTCTGCCGCGCGGCGCGATGCGGATGCGAGAGATGCGGTTCATCGTCGGCTCGGCGGCGTCCTCGAGCTGCTGCGCATACGCCGGCTCGGCGCGCGGCTGGGCCTCGCGAGCCTCCGGCGCTGAGGCGCGAGGCTTGCGGACTTTCTCAGGCTGCGCCACCATGAGCTGCGGTGAGAGTGCCGGTCCGCGACGCAGACGGCCGCTGATGGAGCTGATGCGAGGACGCTGCGGCGCCGGTGCAGAGTCGGCGTCAGAGTCGGCTTCGGAGCCGGACTCGTCCGCGTCGGGCGTCGTCGAGGTGGCTGAGCGGCCCTGCTGCGTGCGGCGCCCGCCGCGCCCACGGCCACGCCCGCCGCGTCCTCCGCGTCCGCCGCGACCGCGTCCGCGTCCACGCGCCACCGAGACGGGCGCAGCCGCCGCAGCCGCCGTAGCGCTCTCTTGAGCCGCCGCCGACGTCGACGCAGCCTCGCGCGAAGGACGGCTGCGCTTCCTCGTCGTGAGCTCGGGCTCCGGCGCCGCTGCAGCAGGCGAAGGGACCTTGCGCGTCTTCTTGTGCACGATCTTGCCGCTGCCGGCGACGATGCTCTCGCCGCCGCCGACGCTGTCGGTGACGCAGTCGTCGGGCGCGCCGCGCCTCACACAGCCATCGCACGGGATGTGTGGGTCGTCGCGCGAGCGCAGGCACTGAATGAGATGAGTGGTGTGAGCCAAGACGAAGCAGAAGCGTAATGAGGAGTTCGGCGGCTCACGCGAGTCTTGCGCGAGTGGCACCAGTTGCAGCTGCGGCGCATGGCCCCAAAGGGAAAGGCACCGCCGCGAGAGTACGTCGGCGTGCCATCGGCGCCATAGCCGGTGTTGGCCGGACTTGGGGTGCGCTGAGGTGCGGCGGCTGCGGCCCGGGAGCTGGAGGCGACGGCGGGCGCGTCCGACGGCGAGACCTTGACCCGGCTGGCGCCGCGTCCGGAGTAGCTGGAGTCGGCATCGGCGTTGCCCTGCGCCTGCGGGTGGAGAGTGGTCAGCTGATGCTATGTCATTGAGAGCAGACGACGACGCACGGGAGCGCGGGCAAGGCTGACGGTGCGCATCGCGGCAAGTGAGAGAAGGCGGCGGTGTCTGGCGCGGTCCGGGCGCCGGCGAGCTGTGCACGGCCGCTCAGGGGTCTGGAAGCCGCAGCTGGTCGGAGCGGGCGTGCGACGGGCTGCTGGTGGATGCCTGGATGTCCTGGCAGCTCGTCGTCGGGAGGCAGGAATGCGCGCGCCGACTGAAGAGGTTGGGCGTCGCGGCGCGGTGCGCGATGCCGGCGGAGGCGAGAGCGAGGCCTCCGGAAGCGCCAGGCTTGCGGCGAGCTGCTGCGCGGGCATCGGGCGGTCAGCGGGGCCGGCGAGACTGTGCGCGCGCATCCGCACGCACGATGCGCTTGTCTGTCAGGCTGCGCGATCTAGCGCTACAGGCACAAGCGGGCCTGGGACGCAGCGAGGAAAGGGAGACGTCCCAGGTGAGAGGGGGCGGTCGCGGAGTGAGATGAGAAAAGTGCTGCGCCGCGGCTCGTCACGAGCGCCGCCGCGGCGCGCGGCGACGGGCGCCACGCGGGAGCAGCAGCGCAGGCACGCACGCCGTGTGCGCACCAGAGCAGGCGGTGCGGTGCCTTCGCAGCCGAGGGGCCAATAAAGTGCTTGTTGGCCTCTCGCACACGCACGGAGGCCTGCCGCCAAGCGCCAAAACGGGGCTGAGCGACAGTAAGACGAATGAGCTGGACAGCCGGTGCAGTGCTCGGCCGAGCCGGTGAGAGGGTGTGCGCTGACACTGCCTGCTCGCAGTGCACCGCTGGCCAGGTCGACGAGGCCGCGCTCGAGCCCCTTTCCTGCGGCAAGAGCAGGGCCGGTGCCGGCACTCTGCGTCGTCTGCCAGTCATCGGTGGTGCTGCGCTTCCTGCTGGCTTGTGCACCTGTCCAGACCTCGGGACAGTCTGCCTCCGCGTTTGCATCGCACTGTCAGCCTCCAAGCGACGACGGAACTGTGTGCGAGTGCGTGGGTGTGTGGGATACAGAGCGTGTCGCAGGAGATGTGGGTCGAGGCAGAGAAATAGAGAGGACCACGCCGGCGCACACATACGTACGCATGCCACGGCGAAGGGCTGGGTTTGGGGTAAAGTGACGTAGACCGGAAGCGCGGGACGTCGAGCGAGAGATTAGCTGCGGGAACGAGGGGAGATCCGGGAAAGCAGCTCTCAAGGGAGGCCCATCTCGTCAGAGCGCCGCACCCACTCCTGCGCCGCGCCCTGCGATCGGCCGGCCGTGCAGCGTTGCCCTCGCCGTCGGCGACGCGGCGGCACGTTCCAGCGCCGGCGATGCGCCATTGGTGGAGCCGGGTGTCGCTGCGTTCGAGGCGCCTGCTGTCGCTGGCGCGGAGGCCGGATGTGCGTGGCCGTGGTCGAGCTCGGCGAAGCTCTCGGGCCGCATACGCATCCAGCGCATGCGTGGCCCGCTCTTGGCCATCTCGCTGACGCGGAAGCCGTAGATGCGCGGCGTGTACAGCCGCGAGGCCGGCACCTTGGTGCCCAGCTGCGACGGCAGCAGCGTGCCTGGCCGTGTGGCTGGCGAGGCGGTGGAGGAGGAGGCGTCGGCGGAGGCAGAGGCACTCCCGCCTGCCTCGGCACCGTTGGCGAGCGTGGAGGAGACCGAGTCAGATACGCGCGACTGCGGGTTCAGCGAGGCAGAGTTGGAGCCAGCCGGTGCGATCGGCGAGGGCGCGAGATCGCGATAGGACTGGAAGAGCAGGTGCGGGAACGTGGTGCCGAAGAACGCGCCTGTGGGAGCGCAGAAGGCCATGTGAGCGCGCACTCCAACCAGCGTGCCACCTTTCACGTACCGTCCACGCCGTGGAAGCGGCTGCTCGGCGGCGAGTAGTTGTCGATGCAGTTGGCGCAGAAGAGCTGCAACGAGGGCTGGATCAGCGAAGCCGCAGCGAAGCGGTGTCAAGCCAGCTACTGTGCGCCGCACTCACCTTGACAGTGTCCAGGCCCGGCAGGTCACTCCGCCCGCACGGCAGCACCGGGTGCGAGTGGCAGAAGACGCGCGGGCAGTAGCCAAAGTGCCCTGACTCGTACTTCTCCACCTGGAAGAGGCGCAAACAGCAGTGCGGAGGTCAGCTCGGCCCATCCACTCGAACAGCAGCGCACGCACCATCTGTTGCAGGCCCTGCCGCGTGAGGATGTAGCGCTGGTGAATGAGGCCATACAGCAGCTCCGCGCTCGACTCGACGATCGAGACGTCTGGGATCTTTTGCGAGTCCTCTTCTGGACGAGAGCGCAGCGTCAGCACATCCGCGATGCTGTCCAGACGGCGCCCCGCGGTCTGCATGCCGCAGCCATTCATAGCTCCGCGCCGCAGCGACAGGGCGACTCACGCGGCTCGACGTCGAGGATCATCTCCAGCGCCTCCTTGTAGAACGGCACGAGCGCATTCAGGCCCGTCAGGTTGAAGTCATCCTCCACAAATTCTTCAGCCACCTCGGCAAAGTACTCGTGGCCGGGCAGCGAGCAGAACCACGAGATCCACGTCAGCGAGTCGGTGCCGCTGTCTGTTTGCGACTCGGACTCTGTGCGCAGGGGGTCAGAGACGGAATGCGCAGCCCTGCAGCGCGGCCCTGCTCTCAGCAGCTAGCTACCACCAGCTGCAAAGCTCCCAGGCAGGCCCTCCTGCAGCCAGTACGCACCGTACATCTCCTCCTCCTGCTGAGGCACGCCCGTCTCGTCGTCCTCCTCTTCCTCCTCCTCTTCCTCCTCGCCAGCTTGCCGCTCGTCGTGTGCGAGCGGGTCGTCATCGGCGATGGGCTCGCCGCCGGCCCCGACGCCGGCGCCGGCCAGTGCGCCGGATGCAGCAGCCTCCTCTGCCAGACGGCGCGCGGGCTGTGCCATGGCGAGTGCGCGGATCGGGCGGTGCGAGAGAGGCAGGCTCAGAGGGAGCGGGCGTGAGAGCGGCGCGTGCACGTGCCGGCTCGGCGGCGGGGTGGGATGGGCAGCGATGGGGCAGCAGCGGGCTGGGTTCTAGGCGGCCAGGCGCAGCAGGCGAGATGCAGCAGCAGGAGCGCCGGGTGCGGGGGCAGCGGCGGCGAGAGGGCGAGGGCGGAGGTGTGTGAGGAGGGAGAGGAGCAGTCTGGAGACGGCGCTAGAGAAAGGAAAGGGCTTCCAGGCCGGGCCTGAACTGCGCAATACAGCCGGCTTGCGCGAATACAACCACCGCCAAGCCGACTGAAAGCGCGCTGCTCCCACCCGCGCGCGGCCAGCAGCAGGCAGCGGCCCGCGATGGCACGTGCCGCGGCACGCGCGCGCCCTCCGCCGCCGCGGGGCGAGAAACACACCAACGCGCGGCGCGTGTCTCCTGGCCGAGGCCCAGCTGCTGCCAACACCTCCCACCTCCACGCTCTCAACCAGCCCACCAAGCCTGCCTCACTGCACCACTCCTCGCCGCGCGCATCATCCCTCCGTCATCCGCCACTCTCCACGTCTGCTCCTGACCGGTGCTGCAGCGACGCACCCGCCATGCCGCCTCGCGCCCGTGCCGCCGCGCGTCCGGCTGCTGCGTCGCGCTCAGGCAAGGGCGCCAAGGGTGCCGCAGCCTCAGCCTCGTCGTCGCGTCACGCTGCGTCTGGTATCGATGCCGTGCTCATCGCATCAGATGACGACGAGTCGGACGACGAGCTGGCGCTGACCGGGACCACGTCGGTGCGCGTGCCTCGCCGCGCTCTTGCCGCGCTGAGCGTCACGCGCCAGGAGCGCGCCGATGAGCCTGCTGCAGCTCCATCCGCAGCGGCTGCTTCCTCGTCGTCATCCGCATCGGCGCCGAGTGCCAAGAGCACGAAGTCGAAGAGCAGCAAGGCACCCACCAAGACGCGGCGGAAGAAGGACGCAGCCGCAGCGCAGCCGGAGCACACGCATGCACAGCCCACGGCGCCGAGCATGCCGGAGGAGCAGATCGCCAGCTACCTCGAGAACTACGATCTGGAAGGTGAGCACACGGCGATGCACCTTGGCTGCTGAGTGGCATGCTGACAGCGGCGTGCGTGCAGCTGAGCGGCGGCTGGAGATGTCGCGACAAGCACTGGTGCTGAGTGTAGAGACCGCGCGACGCCTGATGGGCAGCTACATCTCGCGCATGGCACGGTCGGCACGCAGCATGCGCCTCGAGGAGTTCATCACCGAGCACGGCGCACAGGTCAGTTCCGTCGTTGCGCGGCTGGCCACGACGGCCATGCGTGACGCGCCACACACCGAATGGAGCAGCGTCGCTGGCATCAAGCGCAGCGGCGACGAGGCGGCGGAGCGCGGCACAGCCAAGAACGGTGAGGACGCAACGTGATCGCAGTGTGAGGCTCTGAGGGCTGACGGCCGTCTGACCACGCAGCGCGACAAGCAGCTTCTGCCTCGGGCTCTGGCTCCAGCTCAAGCGCGAAGCCAGCGGAGGCCAATGCCGCGCCGGCACGGCCGAGCACTAGCATGAGCAACAAGGCACGTCTGGCCGCTGCACGAGCAAAGCAGGCTGCCGTGAGTCGCTGAACTGTGCTGCTTGGGCGGCTTCGCTCTGCTGACACGCTTCGACCCTCTCAGGCACGGCGGCCGCCGCCTTCCTCGCCTGCACCTTCGAGCAGCAGCGCGAGCACGCAAGTCCGGCCGCCGTCGAGCGCCGTGTTCGCGCCGCGGCTGGGCGCTCAGGATCTGGGGCGCAGCAGCAGCGTGCCACGCCTGCCGCCTACGCCCGCTGGGCAGAAGGGCCGCCTGGCACGTGCCGGCGAGACGGTCATGTGGCAGAGCATCAACGGCAGTCCCATCACCGGCGTCATTGGGCCAGACGGCGCCGTGCGGCCGCTGCCGCCGCGCTCGGCCATCGCACCTGCCGCAGCGGAGGACGAGAGCATCGTCGAGCTCGCCAAGGGCATCGATGCTGGCCTGCGCCGTCGGAGAAGCGGCGAAGCGGGCGGAGCGGGCGCACCATCGCCGCTGCGCTGGACAGAAGTGCGCACAGCAGCGTCTACCTCGTCGTCGCCGATGCGCAGCAGCGACACATCAAGTCTTGCGGCCCTCGGCGAGGACGCTGCCGAGGTGAGCGGCGAGCTGCCCGACGAGGAGGCGCTCACACGGCAGATCCTCGCCGAGGAAGCGGCCAAGCAGCGTTCGCGCATGGCATCGAGCAGCAACAGCAGTCTACGATCTGGCGGCGGTGCTCGCCACAATGGTGCGGCAGCATCGCGGCCGCCAAGCTCCTCCGGCAACAGCTCCGCCAGCCGGCCGCCTCTCTCGTCGCAGTCGGCGCAAGCGCAGCCGCGGCATCGCGTCTCGATCCGCTTCGGCTCGGGCGAGACGCGCGACGTGGCCAGCCTGACGAGCGGCGACGTGCTGCGCATCCCGCACGAGGAGCGCCAGGCACTGCTGCGCATGCTGCAGGGCATGAGCACCGAGGACTGAGCGACGCCCGACCCGGATCTGCACCACCTCCCTATACCTCTCCTCGCGCATCGCTGCGCCGACATTCTCGCCGATGCGATCCTGTACCATCATTGACTGAGCCTCTCGCAAGCAGCTTTTCGTCGTCACAGACATGAATGAGGAGCGCATGATGATTGCAGGCGTCCAATGCAGGGTGAATAGCGGGCCGAGACAGTAAGTAAGGGTGAGGTACAAGTGACAGAGCGCAGCAGCGCATGAGAAGAGGGCCTCGGCGGCTGCGGGCTGCGCAGCGCGGGCTTGGGTGCAAGAAGTCGAGATAGAGACCGGCTGGCGGGGCGCTTAGAGCTCGCGTAGGCTGACCGACTTCTGGCTGGCGGCGACGGCCGGCGAGGGCGCGCGCAGCAGGTCCGAGGTGCCGGCGAGGTTGAGGGCGCCGCGGAACGCCTCGGTGCCGGCGGCGAGGGTGACGCCGGCGAAGTCGTCGAAGGTGCGGGCGTAGGCCAGCTCGCGCTGCAGGTCGCCGACGCCGTTGGAGCCGGCGACGGGGGCGAACTGCAGCGTCGAGAGCGTGCCGAACGCGGCGCCCTGGCCGTCCATGAAGCCGCTGCCCGAGTCGCCGGGGATGCCGGGCGTGACGGTGTAGACGCCGTGCGACCAGCCGTCGCCGTCGGAGGAGATCTGCGTGCCGAACTTGGGCGAGAGGAAGGTGATGCCGCCGCGGAGGATCGAGTTGCCGTACGACACGACCTGCTCCAGGTTGGCCAACTCGCCCTGCCGCTCGCCCGACGGGCCGCCGAAGTACGGCACCGTGGGGTTGACCTTGGCCACGTCGCGCGGGTCGATGCGCACGAGGGCAAAGTCGTTGAAGGCACAGGCGTTCTCGTCGGTCTCGCCGCGCGCCTGCATGCGCGCCCACGAGTTGTACACCATGCTGCCGGGGAACTCGGCGCCCGTGATGGTGACGGGCGTGCCCTCGGGCAGCGTGCCGCTGGTGCAGCCGTTGGTGCCCGTGCTCTCGCCCGTGCCGGAGCAGTGCGCCGCCTGGCCGATGTACACGTCCGAGCCCTGGTAGAAGATGAAGTTGGACGTGCAGCTCTGCAGAGCATGTCAGCGAGAGGCAACAGAGAGAGCTGCGACGCCGAATGACTCACGCCGGCCGTCTCGGTGTTGACGCCCGGGTGCACGGTGGCGGTGGCCTGGTCGGCCCACGCCGGCGCGCCGGCCTGGCGAGCGAGCATGGAGGGTGCGGCGACGGGGGCGGCGAGGGCGCCGAGCGTCGAGGCGGCGGCCACGAGGGCGGCAGAGCGGAAGATGGGAGCCATGGTGTGGAGGGGAGGGTGTGGAGAGGAGAGGATGCAGGAGAGAGGAGATGCGGACGTCGGCGAGGAGCAGCTGGAGACGCCGTGCTTTATACCCTCGCCACTGGCCACGTTGAGCGTGCTGCTGCCAGAGGATGCGTCGAGGAGGTGTCACCCGCCCATCCGCTCGGCACTCGCTGCCAAGGGCTTCGGCGCCGGCACGGGGCAGCGCAGCACCTGCCCGGTTTGTGCGGGCTTAGCGTGTCGGAGCGGGCCCACGGCTGCTGCAGGGAGATGCTCGGGCGGTCGGGCCATCGCAGAGCCTGCGCCGAGCGGGAGAGTGGCACCATCTGCGCCGGCTGCCATCGCGCAACAGGCGCAGAGCACGGGCGGGACAGGGAGGGCGTGACGCACCTTCGCAGGCGCAGCGGCTTCGCTCCACCAGCAGGCGTGCTTCTCGGGACAGCATCAGCGTCTCACCTCTGTTTGCTGTGTCCTGATGCGCCGTCGCCGTCGGCAGCTGCCGCACGCTCGGAAGCAGCGTGTAAGTGGCAGGCGCGTGGGCGAGCTTCGCACTCGCCGGCGCCTCCCTCACGGCCGGTGCGCCGGCGCTACGGTACGCCTAGCGCCCTCGCCCGACTTGGCAGGTCGGAGCTGCCTGGCGTCAGCGTGCTGCGGCCATGCGCCGCCCGCCGGCCCACGAGGGCAGCGAGGTGCTGCAGCGCTGCGCTGGCGGCTATCTGCGCTGAGCGCAAGAAGCGCATCGCAGCCCACGAGGCCCGAGCTGCGGCGCGGGAGCCGAGCAGGCGAGGCACCTTGGTGCTAACGCAGCGCCCGCACCGGCGTCCGGCCTCCTCGCCGAGCTCCTTCGCCCAACTCCGCGCCGCTGCGAGTGCGTCACGAGCCGCTCGGCGGCCGGCGGCACGGGTCCAGCTGCTTCCACTTGCCCAGCTCAGACAGCGAGATGTGCCGCGCTCGGGCCCGCAGAGTGCCTGCTTGGCAGACGTAGATGCTGTGGCGCGGCCATAGGGCGCTCCGGCTGCCCAACGGCTCCACGCCCACGTCACGGCGTCTTGCACCGCATCCGCACCCGTTCGCTGCGCGTGCGCGTGGGCTCGTGTCAGATTCTACCTGCTCCGCCTTGCTCTGGACAGTGCCACCCTGCCAAACTTCCCGAGAGGCGGACAGCTGCCCCCTGCGCATGTGGGCGTTCGAGCGCAAGAGGCTCAAGCGATGCGGTGCGGGCAGAGCGCACAGGCGGCAGACAAGGTGGCTCTGAGACGCAGCCGCAAACAGAGGCTGAGCCTTTCCGCCGGCCAATGCACCCGCGTAGGCAGCTTCCATGCCAGACCACGCCAGCCGCTCGTAGCGCAGCTGAGGTGGGCTGCTGGCGTCGAGGACGGGGAGAGCTCGGGCAGGCGGAGTTGCAGCAAAGAGGCCGCGTGCTGCCAAGACGCGCTTCGCTCCCGTAGCGCCAAAGCACCTCGGGCGAACGCCGCAGCAGCGCCGAAGCGCAGCAGACTCAGCGCCAGACGCAGGGACGGGCGTGCGGGGAAGGTGCAGCAAACAGATCGAGCTGCGGCTGTGAGGCACATGGCAGCATGCAGGTGCTGTGTTTCACGCTCACATCTCGCAGCACCGGCGGCCGAGACGGCGATGCGCTGCAGTTGCACGGTGCACGGCTGCACACCTTCGTGGGGTGCAGCTTCGCTTGCAGTAGCGTAGCAGGAGAGGTCGGGCCACACGCTACGCCTGACGGTGCCCAGAGGGCGCCCAAGAAGCTCGAGCTCGTCGTCGTCTGGGCGCCGCGCCTCGGCAGACATCATTTCCCTCATCGCGACCCCATCGCGGCGTCGTCGGCTGGTCCTCTCGATGCCGAACAACGCTGGTGTGCTTCTCTTAGCCTGGATGCTGGTCTGCGGACTCGTTCTGAGCTCTCATGCCTCTGACGTGTGTTGGCTGTCTCGCTGAGACTCAGACCAGGCGAGGCCGCGCAAAGGCATGACGCAGGGTGAGCGCGCTCTTCCTCGACGCTCGCCAACATGTCAAGGCGATGGTCTCGACGGAGCAGCCCAGTAGGAGCATCATTGATCCAGGAACAAAACGAAATCGGCCCTAGCGTCGCCTGGCCGACGACAAAGGTGCCTGGCGCGGAGGCGAGCGAGCGCTTCTGCGGGGTAAGGACCGCGCAGGCTGCCTGACGCTCGCTGCACCCGATCCTCGACGGTCTCACCTCACGCAGCTGTAAGGGCGGGAGATCGCGCTTTCATTCGACAAGGCGGGCCGCACCCTCGCTCGTGGCGCCGTGCACGAAGCGCCCCCACTCCCAGCCTGCCTCTGGGCGCTTCACGACGCCCGCCTGTTCGAGCGTGTCGAGCGTCGTCTGCAGTGTCGCCTGCGACACGCTCGCCGTGTGTGTGCGCTGGCCCGTCGTGCCAGTCTTCTCCATCTCTGCATCGTTGGGACGCGCATCGCCCGCCCAGCGCACGCCGGCGAACCAGGACGCTACGTCGGCGGCCTCGTAGCCCAACTCGGCGCGCACAAAGGCCTGCGCTGCGTCGCTGTCGCGGCTGAACTCGGTGATGCCGGAGGCGAGACGCGCGAGGAAGTCGTCGAGCAAGGCGCGCTGCTCGCCGGACTCGAGCACCGTGTTGCGCGACGCTGCAATCGTCCAGCTCGGCCACGGCGTCGGCACGTTGCCGATGAAGCGCACCTGCAAGAGCGTCAGCGAGCAGCAGACATGCCAGCCACTCTGAGCAACGCACCTCGCCCGAGTCGACAAACGGCTTCGTCGTGAACCACTCCCACATGAACGCCGCCGTCTCGGGCTTCTCCAGCTGCGTCTCGCTGTCCTGTTGCGGCGCGGCCGACGTGCGCATCTCGACGGCGCCGGCACAGAGCGTCATGAAGGCCTCGATGTAGCGCACCTCGCTGCTCGCTTGCGGGTCTGCAGCGGCCGAGGCGCTGAGCACGGACAGCCACTGCGCCGTCTCGCAGGGGTGCAGCATGGCGCACGGCACGCCGGACAGCGGCTGGTCGCCGATCGAAAGGCGCGACCACTCCGCCGCGCCGGGCTCGGAGGCGGCGAGACCGGCGGGCAGCGAGGTGGGTGCACCGCTGTTGCGCAGCAGAAGCGCAGAGGCCTCGATCTGCTCCAGCGAGAGCGGACTGCCTTCTGTGCAGGAGGCGTCAGCTTGTCATGACATGCATGCTCATCGCGGCAACGCACCGCTGGTGTGCGCCTCGAGGTACAGCACCGGAGCGCGCCAGGTCGACGAGTATGCCACCGTCTGCGTCACATCGAGCGGGCGTGCCTCGCCTGCACTGCGGTCGAGCAGCGTGAAGCGTCGCTGCAGCGCGGGCGTCTGTGAAGCCTCGGGTCAGCACAAGCAGTCGGCGCATCTGATGGAGGGACTCACCTGCCCAGCGTGGAGCTGCCAGCCTTCGGCATACACGTGCGCGCCCAGCGCAGAGCTCTTCCCTGAAGCTGCGTGCCGCTCCACATACTCGCGTGCGCCCTTCTCAAACGACTCCTTGCTGGTGTGCCCACTGTCCTTCACTTGTGCCGCCTCGCCCGACGTCTCCTTTGGCGCACTGGCCGGGAAGTTGACGGCGTTGCGCAGGCGCACGAACGTGTCCTGCACCTTGAACGGAATGGCCTCGACGGCGCCCTGTGCGTCGAGCCAGCGCTGCTGCAGCGCCGTGACGCTGGCCATGACCATGCTGCCGCTGCCTATCCGGCTGATGCCGATGGCCTCGCCGCGCAGGTCGCTGATGCTGTTGTAGCGCGCCGCGTGCGGCGACGTGCCGGTGATGACGGCCCTGGCGGCGATGTGAGCGAAGCGTGGCCACAAGAGGTGAGAGCGCTGTGCCCTACATGCACTCGCGCAGCCTGGCGGGGCCTGTGCTGCCATCCCTCGACGCCGTGATCCTCTGCCGGCATGCAGCCCTTCCCCTCTCTAGCCTCGGGCGTGACTCACCAGTTGAGCGGGCTGCGTACATAGCTGCCCACAAGGCGATAGTCATCGCGCCCCTTGGCCAGCGGCGCGATCAAGCTCTCCGTGAGCGCCACGGCAACATCGATGACCTGTCCGCCGGCGCCCGCGGCCTCGAGCGACGAGAGCATCTGTCCGGTGCCCGACGGCTGCGAGACGAGCTCGAGGTGCTCGGCGCCCCATGCCGAGCGACCGAGAATCAGCAGCGGCGAGGAGAAGTGCTCAGGCACGTAGCCGACGCGCAGCTTGGTGATCGGCATGGTTGAAGAGGATCAGGTGGATGTGGAGCGGACCGAGGAGCGGCTGGAAGATGGGCACGTCCGTGCAGGGCCAGCGCCGCTCTCTCGCACGGCACGCGCTGCTCCCACGCCTGTCAGCCGCCGCCTCAGCCTCGCGAGGCGGCCACAAGGGCTGCCGTGTGGTCTACGGACATGCATGCTCTCCGTAGTCGCTCCTTGTTCGCCCCCAAAATGTTCCTAGGCGCTTGTTCTGGTGGGTGGATGGGGTGACTGAAGACTGTCGTGCTTTGCCGCCGCTCAGCTGAGCCGTCGAGGTGGACAGCGTCTGCCAACCACGACCCAGCTGATGAGTTCAGCGCACAGTAGCCTTGTCCTCGCTCCACCGCCAGCTCTTCTCGTCTCTTGTCCTCCTCTTGCGCGACAAGTCGTCCTTTCGCAAGGTGCTTATCAGACAGAGTGCTTCCAGTGGGTGCGGCCTGTGCAGCAGAATGCACTCGGGACGCTGCCGACATCGCCTTGCGTCATGCGGTGCACTTCGGTTCGCTCTGAGACATGCGGCTCTCGCTGTGCCTCCTCGCTCCTTCTTCTGCTCGCCGCTGATAGATGCCTCGAGGTGAACACGCTTGCAGTCATCATCGCAGCGTCGAGATTCTCTCTCGTGCGCCCCCTCGCGGCAAGAAGATAGGCCGCGGCTATGGCGGCGGAGGTGCGGAGCCTGGAAGCTGTGACAGGCGCAGGCACAAAGAGGGGGCGTGTGACGGCTGCGCCCGGCGTGCCTGCGTGCTTGCATCGCGCACTTTGCGTGAGGTGATGCGAGAAAGTGCGGATAGGGGCTGCGAGAAGAAGCGGAAGCAGCGGCTGTCCCTTCCCGCCGTCTTGAGAGCGACATCGCAGCGGTGCGAGCCATGACAAGCGCTGTGTTGTCGTCCATCCGCACGCCGGCACGTGTCTCCGACTCGGCACGCCTGCGGCTGTGGGGAGAGGCTGTGATGAAGGAGCGGATGTGCGGCCTCCGCCAGCCGTGCCGCATCACGGCGGGCAGTCGGCTCGACGCGCCGCAGCAGCTCGGCAGCCTTCGCCTTGCTCGATCTTGTGCTCGATAAAGTGCACGAACAAGCTCAGCGCGGTGAACGCCGAGCGCCTTCTCTACAAGGTCACGACGGCGAGCGATACTTCAGCGTGCTGATGACCGCCTCGTGTTGGCCGCGCGCCGGAATAGGGACGGCAGGCGCAGCAAGGCGGTGCATCTCGTGACGCAGCGGCAGCGTGCAGCTTCGTGCGTGTTATCGGGATGCCGCGCCCGATGCTGCCGGCGGATCAGATGCGCCGCCATCAGGGGCTGCGCAGAGGTTCGCGAGGCGAGGCGAGCTTGGGGCGAAGATCTTCTCTCTCTCTCGAGCTCTGCTCCGGCTGCCAAGCGGACCTCGCTGCGCCGTCAGGAGGGTGGTGGAGGCGTGGAGCTTGCAAGCCAAAGCCGCACCCGCCGGAGGCCGAGTCGGGAGAAGGCTTCCAAATCTAGGCTTCTCGCATCGAGCGCAGCCGCGCCGAGCCGGCTCTTTCTTCGCCATGTCAAGTCAGGGGCAGCGGCGTGGGGGGATGTGACAGCCGGCGGGCCTGCCTGCTTGCGTGCTCGAAGAGGCGCGCAAGTGCTCCCTCAGGAGGAGGCGGACGCCGAGCGCCGGCGGAGAAGGGGCGAGAGAGCAGCGCTCTCGCTGTCTCTGCCGCTGCTGCCGAAGGCGAGCGAGCGAGAGCCGGAGCCGGAGGAGAAGATGCGGCCGAGAGACGGCGCTGGCAGAGCATCGCTGCGGCATCCTGGCAGCACCGGCCGCAGCGACCCACACGCTCGCCTCGGCGTGTTGGGTCCGGCAAAATGCACACAGCTGCAGCGCTGCAGCGGTGTGCTCAGCTCACGCTGCTGCAGGGTGCAGGGCACGCCACGAGGCAGCTGGCGTCATGCGTGCATGGCGCAGGCATGGCGGGCGTGAGAGCGCCTGCGAGAGCAACGTCGAGCACGCCGGCGGAGGAGCGGAGCCGCGCGCCAGCGCTGGGCCGGGCGCGCGCTACCTGGGACGGCGCCCAGCAAGACTGCCTGCTGCTGGCGGCCTGCTGCTCGAGCTCCTCTCGAGATTGCGTGTGCAGCAGCACTGTGCGTGTGCTCTGTGAGGAGGAGGCGCACTGTGCATCGGCATCAGCAGCATGCAGTCGAGTGCTGCCCGGCCAAGCGAGAGAGAAGAGCAGAATTGACGGCGGGCCGGCCAGAGGGCCTGAGGCGAGAGGGGCGCCGGCGCGTTCCCGGCAGAAAGGCGCCGAGGCGCGCGCCCGCAGCAGCAAGGCTGCTGTGACACAGCACGCAGCAAATAGCGGGCAGCCGCAGAGAGAGGAGCAGCTCAGCAGCACGAACGCTTCGAAGGCGGCTGCGTTGGCTCTGGGCACGGGCTGGGCAAGGGGTGTGCGCCGCCGGGCCGCTCGCAGCCTGCCGCGCCGCGCCGGCGCTGGCACTCTCTCGCGCCTCGCGCTGCGCTATCGACATCAATCAGCACGCATCGCATCGCAGCGCAGCGGCAGCCGAGTCAGCCGCTCAGCACGCACGCGACGGTGCAGCAGCACAGCATGAGATGCTCCATGGTGAACTGTGCGTGCGTGCGTGCCTGCAGGCGGTTGCAGGGTGCTTGCTGCACGCCCAAAGTTGAGCGCCGCGCGCCCGCGAGGTACGCCGGCGAGAGGAGGGCGGCGGGCGTCGAGAGAGCGCTCGGCAGGGCGCCGCCGCCGCCGGCAGCCCGCTGCAGCTCAGCAGCAGGCCCGGCCGCAGCCCTTCTTCTGCCCGCTGTTGCACCATCTCCTTGTCCGCAACCGCCATCTCCCATCTCCCATCCCCAGCGCAGGCCGTTGTGCGAGTCACAGCCCTGCCGCGTCCCTCGCTCTGCGCTCCCTGCTGCACGCGCGCGTGCCCTGCACCCTGCGCCAGCGTGACTCGCCGCCGCCCAGCACCTCCTCGTCCGCCAAAAAGGCCGCCCTCATCTCGCTGAGCCCGGCCCTCGCCTCCCTCTCTATTCTGCATCTCGCATCTCGCATCTCGCCGCACCCTGCCCTCCGCACGCTTTGGCCCGCATCTCACCCGTGCGCCCGCCGCAGCCGGCGCCGATCCAGCCACCTGACGCTGCGTGGCGCTTGGCGCCGCTGCCTTGCTTGGCGCGTGTACCGCTGCCCCGCGCCGCGCCGCCCTCCACACCTCGCCTCGCGCACAGGCGAGCGCCGGCCTTCGCCCGCCATGCTGGCCCGCCGCGTGCGGCCCGCACCCCGCTCCTCGGTGCCATCGTCGCCCACGCACGCACTCGGCAGCCAGCACGCTCATGTAGCGGGCGCCGACGAGGAGGTCGAGGTGCTGCCGCCGCACTTTCGTCCCTTTGCCCTGCGTACCCCCTCGCACTCCTCTGCGCACTCGCCGCGCACCGCCGACGTCGAGCTGTCGTCCCTCTTCGACGACGCCGGCCCGCCGGCGCGCGGCCGCTCCAGCGCCGCGCGCCGCTTCTCGCTCGCCTCGGCGCGCCGCTCGCAGAGCCGCAGCGTCGACATGGACCGCGACCGCAGCACGGGCCGCCGCGACCTCGACGAGCTGCTCTGCTCGTCGTCGAGCGAGGACGAGGACGACGTGGCGGCGGCCGCTGGCTACCACGCCCTCTCCGCCTCGACACTCCGTCTGGCCGAGACTCGTGCGCACAGCATGAGCCCTCGCACCGCCTTTGCACCGCTCGGCAGCAGCGTTGCCGCGCCGCTGCCCGAGGAGGAGCTGCTCGACGGCCTCGCCACGCCGACGCCGCTCGCCGGACGGGCGCCGCCGCCGCCGGCGCTGCTCTTTGCCCGGCGGCCCTCGGCGTCGCTCGGCAGTCCTCCGCTGCGGCACTCGCCCACCACTCTCTCTCGTCGCTCCTCGGCCAGCGGCGCCGCACGCATCCCGCCGCTCTCGCTCGGCACCTCGCGCCGTCACTCTCGCGAGAGCAGCATGGAGCTCAGCGGCGCCCACTCGCGAGCAGCCAGCGGCAGCAACTCGCAGACCAGCTCGCTGCTGCGTCTCAAGCTCGGCAGTCCGGGCTCGCCGCCGTCGAACCGCCTCTCCGTGCCAACATCGCCGTCGCAGCTGGCCTCCTCGGCGCCCGTCGACACGCGCAAGCGCAGCAACACGGGCCCGCCGACGCTCTCGCTTCTCCGTCCCTTGACGCCGCTCACCAGCCCGACGCTCGTCTCGGCTGCCAGCTTTGCGCCTTCGCCGCAGCCGCACAGCGCACCGCTTGCCGTCTCGGCCCTCTCGCGGCCGCGCTCGCGCATCGCCTCGGTCGGCGGCACGCAGTCGGCGCCCTGCACGCACAACTCGTCCCCGCAAGCCTCGCCGTCGCCGGCTCCGGCCTCGCCAGCGCGCTTGCCATCGTCCTTCTCGTCCTTCGCCGGCAGCTCGCAGACGCTGCGCCGCGCCAGTCTGCTGGCGCAGCAGCGGCCGTTCGGTCCACAGGAAGGCGCCAGCAGCAACACCGCCCCGGCGCCGTCGTCGCCGTCGGTGCCGAGCTCGCCACCTCCGAGCCAGAGCATGTCGAGTACCAGCAGTCCGCCCATCGCCATTCCGCCGCCGTCGCGGCCGACCGAGTTCCTCGAGGGCCCCTGGCGGGCCTCCTCGACCGAGGCGACTGCCGAAGAGGCCGATGAGGCCGAGGACGACTCGATGCGTCTTTCGCCGCACGCGTCCACTGTGATCGAGGCACCCACCGCGGCGCCCGGCACCTTTTCCGACCCGGCGCCGGCGTCCTTCTTCTGGTCGCCGTCGCCGTCGATGTCGTCGGTGTCGGAGGCACGACAGGCTCTGCCACGCATGCTCTCGCTGCCATCGCTCCGGCTGCGCATGGCGCGCTCGACGAGCTCGACGTCGTCGGCGCTCCAGCCGCGCTCGACGCAGGCACACTCGCTCTCGTACTCGTCGTTCTCGGCGGCATCCAGCGCGCAAAGCACGCCGACGCTGGGCAAACGTCGCCTCGGCTCGCATCCCGAGCGCTCGCCGTCGTCGAATGACCGTCGCACGGCCGACCAGCCAGAGACGCCCGAGCGCGGCAAGCGTCGTGCCGCCCGTGCCCGCCGAGCAAGAGCTCCGCCGCTGCCGCGGCGCCGCAGCGTCGACGGTGCTGCCTTGCGCTGAGCCAAAACACACACTCTCTCTCGTGTCCACGATTCCGCTTCTCTGTCGCCGACGTCTCCTGCTCTGCTTCCCGTCATACACTGATCCCGTCTGTCGCGCCCTCATGCCGCTCCCAAGTCTCGCCCGTCACGCTACTCTCCGCACTCCCATCAGCACCGCGTCCAAGCCCATACATTCTCGCGCCTCGAAGCACACACCTACTCATCCATCATTCTCTCTCACAATCTCACATTCGTGGCAATCGACTCAGTTCTGCACGCTGTCCATTGTGCTGTGTCGTGACGATGATGATGCGTTCGCGGCGACTTTGTGAGCGTAGCGTGGAGGGATGACGAGGGTGATTGGGGAGATAAGACGGGCGGACGGTAGGCCGAGATCTCACGCGCGCGCAGCCGCCTTCATGCGCCGTCGTGTGCCGGCGGCCGTGCCTTGAGCCGGGACCGGCGCAGCGCGCCGCGCCGGCCGGGCGGCCATGACCTTTGGGCGCCGTAGTGTGCGCAGCGTTCCTTCTCCCCACCACAACCTCCGCGCCAGGCCTCACAGGCCTCGCAGCGGGCACAGGCGCCCCTTCAACAGCTCTGCACAGTTGCAGCTGCCGGCCATGAGCGGCCTGCCCAGCCTGCCGCTGCCGCTGCCGCTGCCGCCGCTCTCGCGCCGCGCGCGCGCACTGCGCCGCCATCCGTACATCGCCGCCTCGGCTGCGGCCGGCGCACTGCTGGCCGCCGCCACACTCGGATGGGCGGCGTGGAGCTGGGTGCAAGAGGGGCGCGAGCGGCGGGAGGATGGGCCAGTGGCGCCTGCGTCGGTGAGCACGCCTCGATGAAGCTACCAGCAAGCAACGCGAGGCTCGCCGAGTCGCTGACGCTTGGCCTGCGCAGGACAACAACACACCGAGCTCGAGCAGTGCCCGTGCGGCACGGCCCAGCTTGACGCTTGCGCTGCCCGCCAGCTTCGCACGCACTTCCGCCTCGCTAGCGCATCTGCGTCTCTTCCTCGAGGCACTGGCGCCGGCATTCCAAGTGCATCTGCTGGCGCCACCACCACCAGCGCGAGCCGATGGCGCCCCGGCGCCCGACGCTGGCGTCGAGAGTGTCGCACGGCTCGCTGACGAGCTCGCGGGCGTCAGCGGCTACGACACGCGCCGCACGCTCGAGTACGGCACGCACGAGGGCCGCATGGCTCTCGTGCGCGCTATCGCCTGCGACGCCCACGTCGAGCTCTTCGTCTGCGCCGATGACGACGCGGCACCTTCGGCAGCGAGCAGCAGCGGTGCGATAGCGACGGACACATACGTGGCGGATCTGGAGCGCCTGCGCAAGTCGTCTGCGCGCATCGTCCTGCTGCTGCTTCCGCCGCTCGCCTCGCTGCGCGCGCCCGACGGCTGCGCTACGCCGCCGCACATGACGCGCACCCAGGTGGATGCTATCGCCAAGCGCCTGCGCACCTCACAGACGCGCGGCGCCGCTGTCAAGCTCGTTGACCTGCGCGATGCGGCCGAGGACGATGATGAGGACGATGAGGCACGGAAAGAAGAGCGCTGGACGGAGGGCGCGCGCCAGGTGGCACTGCTCGCCAGCGGCTGGCGGTAGCACGAGCCACGGCGCGCGCGCCAGGTGGCACTGCTCGCCAGCGGCTGGCGGTAGCACGAGCCACGGCGCTCCTCAGACGGGCGCAGCTGTACAGTAGCAACGCTGGATGTAATTGGTTCGTGATGTGATGTGGGTGCAGATGATGACGGGGCGGCGCGTACGCCAATGCAGGGGAACGGTTGGGAGCAGAGCATGAGAGGTGGTGGTGTAATGAGAGAGATGGAGAGCGGGTCCGGCGGGGAGCGCAACTACTGCGAGGAGTCGCTGGATGTGTCCGCTGCGCTGGCCTTCGTCTCGGCCTGCGCCTCGGGCTGCGCAGGGAAGGGCGAGTCGGGCCGCCACATCTCGAGCTTGTCGTCCTTGTCCCACTGCAGCTTGTCCTCATGCGCCAGGCGCGCCTGTCTGCGCAGCTGCAGCTGCATGCGTGTCGCCTTCTTCCACTGCACCTCGGGCTGCGCCGGCGGCTTGGCCTCGCTCGTCTGGCCCGGCGCCGTGGGCATGCCGGCAGCCGTGCCGGCGGCGCGCTCGGCCTTGAAGCGCGCCAGCGCCTCGGGGTTTGAAGCCAGCTCCTCGAGACGCTCCTCGTCGCGCGCATTGAGCGAGTCGATGTTGGGCAGCGAGAGCTCGTTGAAGATGCTCTGCCGCGCGCGCACCTTGGCCAGGTTCTCGCGGATGTCCGCCTCACTGAGAGATGCACACGGCGAGATGGCCCACTCGACATCCCCTGTGACAAGGCGCGAACAGTTAGCTCACTGCGCAGGATGCTTTCGCCGAGCGCGACCCACATTGGACAGGTGGCAGCTCGGCACGCGCCCGGCGCGACGGCTCGTCGTCGCTGCGGGCATCGACACGCCGGCCGGCCGCAGCAGAGAAGTCGACGGGGCCCTGCACGAGCTGCCCGTCGAGATAGCGGTCGAGCAGCACCTGCAGCTGCACGATGGTGCGCGGTGCGCTGACGGAAGGCTCGGCGGCGGGAGCGTCAGCGTCTGACGCGCTCTCCTCAGAGGCGGTCTCGGCGCTGGTCTCCTCGGTGGCAGTCTCAGCGCTCGGCTCCGGCCGGTCGGGCTCGACGAAGACGTCCATCAGGCTCCGAGGCCCCGGCGACGTGTCCAGCGTGATCTTGAGCGGCTCGTCGGGGAAGAAGTCGGTGGCGGCGTCGAGGATCTCCTCGAGCATCGCGACGCTGAGCCGGAAGGCCTGCTCGGCCATGTCCGTGTCGCCGAAGAGGCGCCGCGCCATGTCCTCGAGCGGCACGTACTGAAAGCCAAAGATGCTCGACGTCGAGTGATAGGCGAGGAAGATGCCGTCCATGTGGCCGATGCGCGCCTGGAAGTAGTACTTGAGGAACGCCGAGCGCACGAGGTCGTACATCTCGCGCTCGAAGCTCTCGTGCGCGCCATCCAGCTGGCGGATGGCGTAGCCGCCGGCCTCGACCCAGTTGGCGCGGTCCTGCCGCACGGCAGCGACGGCACGCGTCTTGAGGTCGAACGTGCGGCGCGGCAGACGCTCGTCGGAGCAGTCGAGCTGCGAGCGCATCACGAGGTTGCGTGCGCGGGCGTAGTGGTACGCCTCTGGCCGCGAGCGTTCCTCGGGCGTAAGCTTGTGCGAGTTGACGCGCAGGTGCTTGGCGTACTCCTCCGGCGACTTGGTGAAGAAGTTCTCGAGCGCCTTGCCGAGCTGCGTGAGGATGTAGTTGCTGTTCTCGGCCTCACCGCTCGCCGACTTGTCCTGGTCGACGGCATAGCGCGGCGCCTCGCCCTCGGCGCTCGTCTTGCGCAGCCGGATCGACGCCGGCAGCCGCGCGCCGGCGCCAAAGTCGCGCGTCTGGCCCGCAAAGCCCTCGGAGAAGCCGCTGAAGTCTGGCCGACGCCAGTGCGAGAGGTGGAAGTAGATCTGCGAAAGGGCGCCGGTGAGACTGGACGTGCTGCCGCTGTAGCGGGCACTCTCGCGCTTCGTAATCTTCGCCAGCTCTGGGTCCGCCGAGGAGGTGACGTAGGGCGGCAGCGAGTCGTAGTCGAAGAGGTCCACGTCGGCGATGTGCCGCAGTGCCGGGTCGAAATTGTAGATGCCCGTGCGCGGCTCGCGCAGCCAGTGCACACCCGGGTTGAAGAGGACGCGCGAGAGGTTGTGCGCCAGGCGCGGCACCTGCATCTCGCGCAGCGGCTTGACCGGCTTCACCTCGACCTTGCTGCTCTCCAGCTTGCCGCCGCGCGCCTGCTGCCACTTGAGCGTCACCCACTCTTGTGCGCTCTGCGTCTCGCGCTCAAGATACTCGACGCGCTGCTTGTCGTCCTTGTCGCGGCGCCAGACCTCGAAATGGTGCGACGGCTCGGCGCTCGAGCGAGGGCGCACGACACGCAGGGCCTCGATCCATGTGCCCTCGAACAGCTCCGTGGCGGGCTGTTGAGATGCGACGCGCTGCGGACCGAGCGGCAGCCGCGCCGCCAGGTGCGGCGCTTGACGACCGTCATGCGCCACGCTGGCGACGGTGGAGGGCGTCATCGGCGACATGGCGATGCCTGACGCGCCCTCGGCTGGCGCCAGTGCGTCTGGGCCCCATGAGCCGCTCGGGCCCGCACTCGCTACGGCGGCAGGCTCGGCCGCGGCTGCCTCAGGGCTATGCTGCGAGACCTCTGGCGGCTTCAGTGCCGCCAGCGCCTCTTGTGCAGCAGTCTTGCGCGCAAGCGACTTCTCGAGCTTCTTGGCCGCCGCAGTAGCGCGCAGTGCAGCTGCTCGATACTGCACAGCCTGCTCCTCCAAGACGCGTGTCATGGGAGAGGCAGCAGCGCGCGGTGCTGCCAGGCGTGGCTGCGAGGCGGCGACGCGCGGCTCGCGCGAGGTGGATAGGCGCGATTCTCGCCGTGCGCGTGCCTCGATTTGGCCCAGAGCCGTCTCTAGCACCGTCCGCGGCTCCTGCGGCTTCTGCGCTTGCTGCGGCTCCTTTGGCTCCTGCAGCTGCTTGGCGCCTTTGCTGTCGCTTGCGTCCTCAGCGGCGCGCTGCGCCACGGACGCGGCATCTGATGATCCCGTGTCGGCGCCAAAAGCGTCCTCCACATTCATCGCGTTCTGCGCGGCGAACCGGGCTTGCGACGCGGCAGCCCTACTTGCGCGCTCGGCACGAAGCGCCTCTTCGACGGCAGGAGGGAGCAGCGGAGCAGCACTTGCGTCCACCGACTCGCCCCTCTCCAGGCGATCCGCTGCATCACGGGCGCGAGAAGCGTGGCCCGCTGCAGCTGCCATCGTGCGCTGCAACAACTCCAGACGCAGGGGTTTCGGGTCCCAGCCGAGATTGTTGACGTCCTCGGGCTCAAGGCTGATCGCCTGGTGCAGCACTGCGCGCTTCTTGTGCACCTTGTCAAAGTCAGCTGCTACCGCGCGCAAGGCCTTGACGGAGTCGGCAACTGCGAATGGAGGGCTTGCCGTGCTGTCGACAACGCCCTCGGTAGCGGCGAGCTTCTGCGCGGCCTCGAGAGACTGCTTCAGTTCAACTTGCATCTGTGCAACAGCGCTGGCTGCCTCCTTCTGCGAGCGGTATCGCGGCAGCGCGCGAGTCAGGCGCTCCCGTTCTCGCTCGGCTGTGGGCAGGCCCGACAGCAACTTTTCGCGCCGGATGACTTGGAAGTAGGGGCGCGCGCGAAGCCAGAACTTGTTGTCGACGATCATATCTGGGTCCTGCAGTTTGAGGGCGATGGCAAGATTGTCTGGCGACAGTCTCGGGTGCGGCAGCTTGAAGTACGGCCTCGCTGCGGCGGGCACCACGTAGTCGGACTGGGATTCGCAGCATTCTCTCCAGATCTCGTAGGCCTTCTTCGAGTTGAACGCGCTGCCCACGCGCCGCTTCGGTCTTCGGTTTGGCCGTGCCGCGACGTCGGCGCCGGCATCTGTCCGCGGCGCCCTGCTGCCAGCCCTGTCGTCGCCACGGTTTGCGCTCTTTTGCGCAGACCCGCCTGGCGCGCTCACAGCGCCGTCCGCCGTGCCACTGGCGTGCTGCGTCGCTGCGCTGTGCGTTTCACGCGAGGACGAGGCGCCGGCGCTGCGCGGCGGCAGAAAGCGCGAGCTGGACGCGCGCGCCGCCGAGGCGAGCATCGCAAACGGCGCTGCCGGCGAGATGCGGCCGCCCAAGCGTTGCGAGACAGCGGCCGGTGGCGGCGGCAGCAGCAGAGGCACGGCTTGCCGCCCGGCCAGCGCCTGAGACAGGCGCAGCTCGCTCGCCGCGGCCTCCGCCGCTGCCTCCCGCGCCGCCCACTGCGCCTTCTCCGCCACGGCGGCCGTCCAGAGGGCGCCCATGTCGTCGCGCAGACGCACAAGAGTGCTCAGAGTGTGTGCGGCATTTGGCGAGCATCGGCTGGCCGTGGCCAGGCGCGTACACAGCACCAGGAGCTGTTCTTCGAGCGGCACGCCACGCAACTCGGCCAGCCGTTCCGCGGCGGAGCGCTCGGGGAGCGGCAGAGGCAGCGGCAGCGGCGCGTGCCAGGCCCGCTCGGCCTGGACGCGATGGCACTCGTTGGCGACGATGCGGAAGGCGCGCTTGGCCTCGCGGGCGACATGCCGCGCCTGCTCGAGCGAGTCTGTCGGCGCGAGGTCTCCAAGCACGGGGCGAGCCTGCTGGCCAAGCAGTTCGCGGAGCCGCTGGCGCTCGGCGATGCCCTCAGACCACTGAATGCTGTTGATGCGCCCTTGCGGCGAGGGACTCTGAGAAGCCTTCTGGTCGGAAGCCTCAGGTGCCTCGGACTCCTCAGGTGTCTCGGAAGCCTCGGCTGCCTCCTGGCCGGCCTGCTGCCACTCGACGAGGCGGAAGACGGCATCGGGGGCAAAGCGGCCGCGGCGGGCGCCGGAGTCGCTGCGCTGGGCGTCGCGGTAGGAGAGCAGCGCCGCCGCGACGCGGTCGACGGCGCGCTCGCGGCGCTGCGGGCGCGCCAGCGGCGGGCGCGCTCGCGGCGGGCGCGCAGTTGCGGGCGGCGAGCTGCTCGACGCCCGCGCCGCGGCCGGAACGCTGCTGCGGGCGGCGGCTGCGGCGCGGCGCTGGAGCAGGAACATGCCTGCGGCGGGCAGCAGCGGCAGCGGCGGCGTGGGGCGCAGAGGTCGGGCTGGGGATGGGAGTGGAGAGCGGAGGGTGCAAGGCGCGCCGCCAGCCAATTCTTGTCAGCGCGGCGCGCGCACGTGATGCAGGACCGGCGGCAGTGCCGCGGGACTACAGGCGCGCCGTGGGAACGGCTCCTGGCGCGTGCACGGCCGCGACGTCCTTTCCTCCCGCCCTCATCCCCGCTCCTCCGTCCCATGTCGCGGCCCTCGACTGCCGAGCGCAGCTACCCGCCGCGCTCGATGAGCACAGGCGCCGCCTCGGCGCACATGCGCTCGTCCCTTGCTGCTGCGGCGGCACGCCCCTCGCCCGACCGTGCCGGCAGCTCGGGCGACGGCGGCAGCTCGACGCGTGCCGCCGAGGCTCAGGCGGCCGCAAAGGCGGCCAGCCGCAATGCCGAGACGACGATCAACCGTGTCACGTACAAGGTCAGTCAGCCGTGCGGCGCCAGCGATGCCCTCGGATGCGACAGGACGCAGCGCACAGGCTGCAGCGGCTTACGCGCTCGCGCCTCGCAGAATTCGACGATCAAGGCGCTCATCGACCCGACACTGCCCGTCGCCGATGTCATCCGGCAGCTGTGTGCCAATGCGCATCTCGGCGTGCAGGAGCCGCCGGCACTCTTTGCGCTGCGTGATGAGGAGGATGAGGAGCTGGTGGACGATGCGAACATGGCGCGCAAGATCGCGGCGGGCCGCAACTTTAAGTGAGTGCGCGAGGTGTCTAGCTGCATGGCGAAGCCTGAGCGCTGAGCTCGCTTCTACAGACTCGGCTCGTCACCGACAATCGAGGCAGTCGAGATGGTCGAGCGCCTCATGTCGCGCGACGAGCGAGCGCTCAAGCTCTCGACGTACAACCTGCAGCGGCTCATCCGCGAGTCGCAGTTCCGCAACGAGTTCCTGCGGCGTGGCGGGCTCGACGAGCTGGTGGACATCACTTTGACGCTCAACGGCGGCAACACGCTGGCGTATGCGCTCACGAGCACGCAGAATCTGATGGAGAGCACAGCGGATGGCTGGGACGGCATCAAGGATGGCTTCGTCGGCAAGGTGAGCCATTCGGTGCGCTGCTGCAGGTCTGTGTCGTGCTCACACGCTGCGCTCGCAGGTCGTCAACATCTTGGCGACGCAGGAGCGCATCAATGTGTGCCGCCCAGCCACGGCTATTCTGAAGAAGCTCGTCCTCTCCGGCCCTGCTGAAGCAGACGGCGCCGAGCAGGGGCGCATTATCGGCGACGGCGAGGCGAGCGGATCAGCCGCCGCCGCCAGGACCGCGCCGCATGCCTACCGCTTCGGCTTTGAGGCGGTGTATCACGAGATTGAGAAGGAGCCGGCGTTCCTCTCGACTCTGCTGCAGCGGCTAGGGAGTCCGGACACGACGCTGTGTCTGTACAGGTGCGTTGCGGCGTCCGAGGAGGGAGACTGCGCGTGCTGACGCGCCTGCACAGTCTGAGCCTCATCAACACCCTCCTGAGGCATGTCACCGACAATCTCTTCGACGTGTTCACTGCCGAGCTGGAGCGGCTCGGCGTCTCGAAGGCCGTCGCGGTGAGTGAGACGAATCGACATCGCGTGCGCATCACGCTCACCTTTGGCCCTCCAGCGCTTGATGGACTCGACCCGCGGCGAGGAGCTCTCGTCGACGATCATCGAGTACCAGAACAACGTGATCCGCGTGGCTCATCGCCGGCTGCGCACGCCTGTGACGCCCACGAACCAGCGACATGCTGCTGCGCTGTCATACATCTGGCTGCAAGCGCGCGTCACAGAGACCGTTGCGACGGAGAAGGACCCGGACGGCAACCACTCGCTGCCGGCCACGCCGGGCAGCGTCGGCGCTCGCTTCAAGTGGCGACGCCTCGGCTTTGAGAACGAGAACGTTACGAAGGAGTTCACACGCATGGGCTGGCTCGGCCTCGCGTGTTGCGAGGCCTTTGTGCGGTCAGACCCGGACGCCTACGCCAAGGTAGGCTCGCGTGCCGCGCGTCTCCGCTGCCTCCTGCTGACCCGAGCTCGCCGCTGCAGATCATCCTTGAGCAGATGAACCGACCAGCGGCGCGTCGCTGCCCGTGGGGCCTCGCTTCGCTCGAGGTCGTCGACATTCTGGCGACGCACTACGACGTCGACTCGGGCTACACGACCTCGACGGCCTTTCTGCCGTTCATCCTCTTCTTCTCCAAGGTGCACGCGCTCGCGCTGCACTTCTTCCTGCGCATGTGGAGCGAGTCCGGCGCCTCGCGCTCCGACTTTGCGCGCGTCAGCGCCCTGGTGCGCAGCCAGGTCAAGGAGGCGCTCAAGGACGAGGTGAACAAGACGTGGTTCGACCTCGAGCGCCACTTTGCCGACTCGGAGTACCGCACGGTGCGCGACCGGCAGATGCGCGAGCTGGAAGTCGACGACGACTTTGCCAACAAGGCCAGCATCCGCAACCTGCGCGGCCGCCTGTATCGCGAGAGCTACGAGTTCGTCAGACAGCAGCGCATCCAGTGCCTCCTCGAGGGCGCCTGGTTCCTCACACCGCAATCGTCGGCCGCGCGCGCCGCCGAGCCGGCTCCCAGCGCGGGCGGCGGAGGTCGAGCCTCGCGTGCCGGCTCTGCGCAGCCGCCGTCGGCTGTGCCAGCAAGCACCAAGCCGTGGCGCTTCTACCGCCTCAGTCCAAACAAGAAGTACCTGCACTATTGCGAGGCGACGGAGCGCAGCGCGATCCGCAGCGGCCTCGACGACCTGCCGGAGCGCATCGACCTGGCGCTCGTGGCCGACGTGTCGCTGCAGCCGCCGGGCGGCAGTGGTGCCGCCATCGCCGCAGCCGCAGCTGCCGCCGGCGTCGCGGCTGGCGCAAACCTGGCGTTCAGCCTGCTGCGGGCGCCCGACGTGAGCCTGGCGGACCTCGTGGCGCTCAACACGAGCCAGTTCAGCGAGTGGACCGACGGCCTGGGCATGCTGCGCGGCGAGGGAGGCGTCGTGAGCACCAAGGAGACGGCCGACTACATCCAGATCCTCACCGACATTGGCATGAAGGTCAAGCTGCTGGACCTGACCGGCGAGCGGGTGAGTGTCCGTGCAGAGGAGAGGCGTGATCATGCGGCTGACGTGCGCCGGTGCAGATCGAGGTGCCCACGTCGCTGCCGCCGGCGCCGCTGCCCGTGTCGACGGCCTTCTTCTTTGCGGACCTCTGACTGTTGTCGCCGTGGCAGCCTATCCATACCCTCGTCACTGCCTGCTGCCGCTGCCATCTGATGCTGAGACTGTGAGCGGCGTTTGCGCCAGCACCACGTGGTGCACTCGGGGGCCCTTGCAGCTGGCGCCCGGAGATAGGCTGCTGCTCGGCATCGGCTGTGCCGCGCTGTCTTCCGGGAACGCACCCTGCAGGCCGAGTCTGCCGGAGACCACAGCTCAGGGCTCGGCTCTGCTGCCGCTCTGGCTGCCGTATGCCGAGCAGCAGCTGCAGCAAAGCCGTGCCGCGCCCGAGCCGCTGCAGCGGAATGCTGCAGCTGGTTTGCCGGGTGCTGCGCCACAGCTGCGGCGGAAGGGGAGAAGAGCTATGACTCATAGCATCCTCTTCCCACGCTCTCCGCTTCGCAGTGCTCCTGCCAGCATCCTACGGTAGCCAGGGCGCGACGTTCTCGCCGGCTTGCTTCTTCTCCACGTCCTCCTCCAAGCCCCGTGCGCACCCAGCCGCCGTCCTCGCCGTCCGTCTCGCCGCGTCGTCCATCTGACCACGCCGCGTCCCCCTCTCCCTTCCTCACCCCCTCGCTCCTCGCGGCGTGACCCACACGCCGCTCTCTCCTGCGCTCATTCTCGCCCACTGCCGTCGCGCTCCAATTCCTCCCCTCGCCCCTCCGCCCACCTCGACCATCACCGCATCACCATGCAGCGCTTCACCCTCGCTCTCCGCACCCGCGCCCGCGCCGCCGGCGGCGCTGGCGCCGTCTAAGCGTGCGTCGCCGGCGCCCGACGCCGGCCTGGCCGCCTCGACGCGCCAGTGGCTCGCCAGCCTCGATGCCGCCTCGGCGCCGCCCGACAACTCATGGCTCGCTGAAGCACTGCGCGAGCAGCCACACATACCCGACGCTGCCTCGCAGCGCATCGACGACGACTCTTCCCAGCGCCTTGCCTCTGCCGCCTCGCAACAGCCCGACAGCCAACGCACGCTCCGTGCCGCCTCGCCGCCGCCGGCAGCGCTGTACGAGCAGCTCTTGCGCTTCGCCGATCTTCCTGCACCTGCAGACGGCGCCGCGGCGCCGCGATACTTTCTTGCGCCGTCCGTCGATGCCGCGCTGCCGGCCGATGGCGACGTCTCCATGAACGCATGGACCGACGACGGCAATACTTTCTCTGACGCAGCCACAAAGCCTTCGCCCTTCAACTCCTTCATGCCGCCGCCGGCGTTGGTGCATCGCAGCTCCTCGGGCGATGCATCCGCCTCCTTCTCCTCCTCCGGCTACTCCTTCGACGGCACGACGATCTCACCCGCGCTCGCTTCGGCCTTCACCTACTTCGACGATGCCTCCAGCACGTCGCCCGCCACGTTCTCCTCCACGTCCATCTCTCCCGCTCTCACGACCGCCTTTTCATCATTCGGCGGTGCCAGCTCCGTGTACGATGCCAGTCCGGCAGTGCTCGACGATCCACATCTCGATGCCGAGTTGGCAGCACTGTGTCGTATGCCGCTCTTCACGCCCTCGCTCGCAAGTGCAAGCTGCGCCTCGCTGCCCGCTCGCATCGCAGCGGCCACACCGACCGTCCCTTCCCCTCCGGCCACAGCAGCGCCGGCGCCGCGCAAGCGTCGTCTCTCGCACGATGCGCCGCTCGTCTCCAAGTCCAAGCCTTTACTTCCACTCTCCGCTCCGATCCAACCACGCAAGTACCGCGCACCTTCCTCCACCTCTCGTCTCGATGCCTTTCCCACCTCGCCCTCCGGCTCCGTCGCGCCGACCGCAGGCGGCAGCAACGACGATGCGCGGCGCCGCGCCAACACGCTGGCGGCGCGCCGCAGCCGGCTGCGCAAGAATGCAGAGCGCGAAGAGCTGCTCAGCCAGATTGAGGAGCTCAGGAATGAAGTCGAGACGTGGAAGCGCCGCTGCCTGCGCGCCGAGGGCGCACGCGATGCGCGCATGGCCGCTGCTGCCGAGGCCAACGCCATGGACTCGTGAGGCAGCTGCACGCAAGCCTCCGTCTCACCACGTCTTGCTCCCTCCCGCACACTTCTCTCTCTCCATTCCAAGTCTCGTTTCATTCCCTCTGTCGAATCCAATGACGCTCGTTCCTCTCCCTGTCTCTGTGTGATTATGATAGGCTTCATTGCGTGATGCGTGCTAGTTTCCACGTCGCGGGCGCGTGTTGGGCTGTATCTACATGAGGACGGGCCGCGAGGTGGTATATCTGTGGTTCATCGAGAGAACAGGGACTTCGAGCGCAGAGTGAGGTGACGGGAAGCGGCACCGCTGCTTCAGACATATAGACAGGTTGAGGACCGAGGGCGCCAGGCCCTCTTTACGAGGCGCTGCTGTGGCGCGAGAGCGGGCGCGAGGCTGCAGCGGGCGAGAGCGGCGCGCTGGACGTGCCCTTGAGCTCGTCGACGGCGCCGAGCTCCTCGTCGTTGGTGCAGTGTGCGCCGAGACGGATGTCGTCGGGCAGGAAGCGTGCCGGGTAGAAGGGCACGAGGATGAGCACTGCGAGCGAGACGGCTATGGAGGAAAGGTGAAGTCAGCTTCGGTGAGGCAAGCAGGCGCAAGGCAGCAAGGCTCACGCAGTGCGTCGAGGCAGTAGAACCACACCTCGACGGTGGCGATCGGGCCGATCCAGCCCTTGAGCATCTCGGCCGTGCGGAACGCCGAGCGGAGCAGCACGAGCAGCGACGAGAGCCAGACGGCCAGCAGGAAGAGCCGGAAGCGCGGCGTCCAGTGCGGCGACGTCGGCGGCGCGCGGCGCACGCGCAGCAGGAAGACGACGGCGAGGGCGTTGAAGGCCAGGTAGCCCTGTGGAAGTGTGAGCATGGCGCAAAGGTGGAGAACCGGCGAGCACACGCACCATCAGCTGGATGATGAGGCCGCCGACGACGATCCACGCGCCCGTGAACGTCGACTGCGGCGGCTCCTGCTGCTCGGCCACGGCGGCCATGCCGGAGCCGGTGCCTTGCAGGATGAGGCTGAGCACGTCGACGGTGACGAAGAAGGGCAGGATGCGGCGCGGCGCCACCTTGCGGGGAGCGTAGGCGGCGCCGAAGAGCACGAGCGCGAGGCCGCCAACGCTAAAGTGGGCGGCGGCAAAGAAGGCGGGCGTGAGGACACTCATGACCTGCTGTGCGATGTAGGCGTTGATGTTGGTAGGCTGGTAGTGGCCGAGCACGCGGCTGAGGACGGTGTGAGCAGGAGAAGAGGGCAACGGCAGGTGCTGCTGCTCACAGCGCCATGGCGGCGGCCTCGACGACGCAGCCAAACGCCAGCGTCGGCAGCCAGAGACGGCCCTGCTTGAGGTGCTTGACGCCGAGGAAGATGTGGGCGGCGGCGGCGATGGCGTACACTGGGTGTGCAAGTCAGCGGCAGGCCAGGGTGAGGGGCAGCATGGCACACCTACCGACGAGGAAGACGATGGCGGGCACGAGGTGCGGCCGGTAGCCGTATGGCCCGTGGGCAGAGACGCGGTCGAGCAGCTCCTCCATGGCGGCGGCGGCGGGTCAAAGGCGGCGAGGTGCGGCGAGGCAAGGAAGAGCGGGCGCTGGGCGAGAAGGCCAGGTGAGGACGAGGCGAGAGAGAGAGAAAGAGAGGCGAGAGCTGCTGGTGGTGAGATGGAAGAGGGCTGCCTGTTCAGCCGACGTTGCCTTTTGTACGTGCTGCCGAGGCTGCGCTCGGGCCTCATCAACACCGCAAGGCGGAGGAGCAGCTGCAACTGCGGCGCGAGGCGTACCGCTGCAGTGCCCGCCCTGATGCCCCTCTCGTCCGCGATGCTCGACCCAACTCAAGGGCGAAGCACTCTGACTCTGCGGACCGTAGCGCACCGACGCTTTCTTGCTCTTCTGCTCGAGCACAGCCTGCGCCAGCCGGCAGAGGCAGCTAGCGGAGGCGCGTTGCGGCGGAGGTGCCTCGCCCGGAGGAGCAGCCTCGCCCGTCGGGTGCGGTGCTGCCCTCTGCTCATCATCTCGACTTGCTTCCGCAGCACTTTCGAGGCTGCCTGAGCCACAGCAGGCGCAGAGGGGCCGTTCCGATGGCGTCTGAGGCGCCGGCCGGATCTCCGGGTCAGGAACGCACGCCAATCCCGCGGCGTGCCGGCGGCTCCGGCGCAGCTCCGCGGCGCTGCGGCTCTGCGCTGCCGCCCGCCGCAGACCCTCCCGGCACCACGCCGCCAGGGCCAGACGTCACGCCGCACCCGATGTCGGCCCTGGCGCCATCGCAGCGCCTAGCCTGGGACACGCCCCGAACGCTGGCGGAGCATCATGTTGTCTCATGCGGTGGCTGCGGCGCCGCCAGGTGCGCCTTCGCCTTGCACCGCTTCTCGTCCCGCCAACGCGCCTCCAAGAAGGAACCCGGGACTATAGACTCCTCCGTCTTCTGAGCCGCTGTGTTTACTCTACGTCCCGTGTGCAAGCTACACCCTCCCGGCACCTCACCTTCGTCAGCAGCGCCGCACGGCGCTGACACCGCCCTGTGAGCTCGACAGCAAGCGAGCGCATGCATCGCCAGCATGCACCAGCTGCGGTGTCCCGAGACGCACACAAGCAGCGTGATGCTGACTGGAGAGCATGCCAGACGGACGACGCCGCGTGCCTGAATGCGGTGTGTGCGCCAGCGGCGATGCTGTCCGCATTGCAACGGCGAGACGACGGGGAGGAGGAGGTGGGCGGGCGAGGCGGATCCGCGGATTTTGAGGGTCGTGGGAGCAGCATCTGGGCGAGAAGATTCGGCGCGTGTCCCCAAAAGATGCGGCCGAGTCAGGCACGCCATTCGCCGACCTGCGCCGAGAAGTGCAAGGCAGCGCCGACGCAGCACTCGACGCTTACTCCACCTTCCGCACCACCATCGCAACGCTCGCCCGCCATGCCGCCGACGACGCACGCTCCCTCGCCGCCCGACCCAGCCACGGCGCGTGCCGTGCCGCAGTCTGCTGCTGCGCCCGACGCCGCCGCCGCCGCCGCCGAGCATGCCGAGCTCTCCTCGACGCCCGTCGCCGTGCGCACCCTGCTCCCCGACACGGCCGCGCCGAGCGTCGACGACACAGCACGGCCGTGGCTGGTGCAGAAGTACGGCGGCACGTCCGTCGGCAAGTTCCTGCCCGCCATCGCCGGCGTCATTGCGCCCAGCTACCTGGCCACGCACCGCGTCGCCATCGTCTGCTCGGCACGCAGCACGGGCACAAAGGCCGGCGGCACCACCAGCCTGCTCCTCGCCGCCGCCGAGCAGGCACTGGCGCCGGGAACGCCCGAGCACGAGCTGGCCGCCTCGACGCCCACGCTGCCCGGCGCCAATGGCGGCGCCAACCCGTTCGGCCGCACGCCGAGCCGCGTGCGCCGCGGCGACTCCACCGTCGGCAGTCTGGCCGGCAGCGTCGACAGTCTCGACAGCGAGCCGCGCCGCAGCGCCAGCGATGCCACCGTCGACCGCATCCGCGACGAGCACGTGGCTGCTGTGCGCGCCCTCGGCCTCGCCTCTGCGCCGGAGCAGGCCCTCATCGACGACATCGAGGATGACTGCGAGCGTCTGCGCGACTTCCTCATGGCGGCAAAGGTGAGTGTGCGCTCCTTGAGAGGGCCTGGCCAGCACTACACATGATGCTTTTAGCATGTATTACCGGAGCCAGGTGTGCTTGCACGCCTGGCGAGAGGACCAGACAACTTCTACTCCTGATTCATGTGCTGCCCAAGAGGCCGCGCTGCTCTAGCGCTCTGCTGCCGCTCTGCTCTGGCCTATTGCCGCTATCCCGAGCTCGCGCTGACTCTGCCCCCGTGCTAGATCCTCGAGGAGATCTCGCCGCGCTCGCGCGACGTCATTCTCTCGATCGGCGAGCGCCTGTCGTGCCGCATCGTAGTCGGCGCGCTGCAGGCCGCCGGCGTCGAGGCGGAGCTGGTCGGCCTCGAGAGCGTCGTGGACGCCGCTTTCGTCGAGGAGCTCGGCGCCCGCGGCGGTGCGGGCGCCACTTCTGGCTCCGGCAACGAGCACGGCCTGGACCAGGCATTCTACGACCTGCTGGCGGCCAAGATGGCCGCCAAGGTCGAGGCAGCGCAGGGTGTGCCGGTGGTCACTGGTGCGTGCCCGTGTATCGCCTCTGTCTTGCACAGCGCTGACTTTTCCGCACAGGCTACTTCGGCAACGTGCCTGGCTCGCTGCTCTCGCAGGTCGGCCGCGGCTACACGGACCTGTGTGCCGCGCTCGTCGCTGTGGGCCTCGGCGCCGAGGAGCTGCAGATCTGGAAGGAGGTCGACGGCGTCTTCACGGCCGACCCGCGCAAGGTCCCCACGGCGCGCCTGATCCCCGCCATCACGCCCGAGGAGGCGAGTGAGCTGACGTACTACGGCTCCGAGGTCATCCACCCCTTCACGATGGAGCAGGCGATCAAGAAGCGCGTGCCGATCCGCATCAAGAACGTCGAGCGCCCGCAGGGCGGCGGCACCGTCATCTTCCCTGCGCCCGAGGAGTCAGGCGACGCAGCCGAGGGCGCTGCGCTGCGGCAGCCGCAGACGCCGAGCGTCAGTGGCGCCTCGACGCCGTGGGGCAGCATGAGCGAGAACTTCGGCACGGCGGCGGCGACGGCGCCGCAGCCGCGCAAGCTGCCGACGGCCGTGACGATCAAGGACGACGTGTGGGTGCTCAACGTGCACTCGAACCGCAAGACGCTCTCGCACGGCTTCTTTGCGCGCATCTTCGGCACGCTCGACGCGCACGGCATCGTCGTCGACCTCATCTCCACGTCCGAGGTGCACGTGTCGATGGCGCTCTCCTCGGCGCAGGCCAACCTGCGCCGCCCGCGCGCCCTCGACCGCGTGCGCGCCGAGCTGTCCAACGTCGGCACCGTCAGTGTGCTGCGCGACATGGCCATCCTCAGCCTCGTCGGCACGCAGATGCGCCACATGGTCGGCGTGGCCGGCAAGATGTTCAGCACGCTCGCCGAGGGCAACATCAACATCGAGATGATCAGTCAGGGCGCCAACGAGATCAACATCTCGTGCGTCATCCACCAGAAGAGCGCGCTCAAGGCGCTCAATCTCATACATTATTCGGTGAGTTGTGCTGCGAGGAGCCTTCTGCCGCATCGAGCTGACATCTGATCGTCACACAGGTTCTCGAGGTCAGCCCGACGCCGCCCAACCGCCAGTCGGGCACGGTGGGACGCTCCTTCTTCTAAAAGCGCGCACGGAGAGGACCATCCGGCGCGCGCACGATTCCCATCCATCATCTCTCCGCATAGACGTCACCTGCATCGGTCCCTCTCCTTTGCTCCTTCTCCGCTTTGTATTACCTGTCTCTTGCACAACTCATCCGCTACGTTCCAGCTTCCGCCGCGTGAGGTGACGCGATTCATTTGCCGGGGTGTGAATATGTGTGAGGTAGGTAACGTCGTGGTGAGGTCATGAGGGAAGCGACGGAGCTAGAGTCAGGGTCAAGAGCCGGGGAAGGGTGTGGCGACGCCACAGCTGCGCGGAGTCGCTGCCCGCTTTTCAAGAGCGCGTCGCGGACGCGATGGAGCGACGCTGCTCGAGGAAGTTGGAGGGATTCATCGCCGAGCCGGAAGGCTGCGCCTCGGCACGCTCATCGCCATTTGCCGGAGCGGCGTGGCCGTTCGCAGCTGCACGGCTCGGCGGCGCTGCGTCGGGCGCGCGCAGCGGCTCGTCGCTGAGGGGTGCCGGCGGGGCCGGAGGCGCGAGCGGCGCCGAGGCACCAGCGGCCGGTCGAGCCGAGGGAGCAGCCGTCGGACGAGCCGAGGGTCGAGGCACTGCTGTGCGCGGAGCGGCCTTGGCCTTGGCCTTGGGTGGCTGAGGCGGGCGCGCCATGACCTCGACCTGGCCAGGCTCTGCGCCGACGCTGCGACCTTCACCGGCCGCCGAGTTGGGTGCAGCACGTGCGGCCACAACGGCAGCCGCAGAGCTGCCCGCTGCAGCACCGGCGTTGCTTGGGCCAGCCGCAGAGCTGCCTGATGCAGCACCAGCAGCCGCAGGGCTGCCCGCTGCAGCGCCAGCAGCCGAAGAGCTGCCCGCTGCAGCACCAGCGTCGTCAGGGCCAGCCTCGTCTGACGCAGCGGCAGCCTGCGTGCGCTTCTTGTTCTTGTAGCGCTCGCGGCGCTGGCGCGCATTCTCCTTGGCGTGCTCGAGCTTGTACTCGTTGCGCGCGACGTCGAGGATGGCCACGGCGCGCGCAAGCGGCGTCTCGGGCCCATCCTCCTTCTGCGTCTTGTATGCCAGGCGCGCAGCCGCCTCCTCGCCGTAGCCGCGCAGCTTGAGACGGCGCATGCGCGCCAGGTATCCATTCTTGGCCTTGCGAATGTCCGTCTCGTCCATGCCGGCGTCGGCCATGGCTTTCTTGGCCGATTTGAGGTAGAGAAGACGGCTGATGGCGGCGAAGCGGTAGTCTTCGGTCGTCATCTCGAGGTTCGTGCGCTCGGCCTTGGTCAGCGGAGCGCCGACGACAGGCACCGTGCTGCCGCTGGCGGACTTGGCGAGAGACGGCGCGCGAGATCCGCGAGCAGGCGAGCTGCCGTTGGCGCGCGAGCCACTGCCCGAGGCCTCGCCGATGGCAGGCATCTGCTCCTCGTCGGACTTGTCGGACAAGCTGTCGCTGCCCGAGCCATCGGATGCATCGTCGCCGTCTTCTCCGTCGCCTTCGCCTTCAGCGTCAGCCTGGCGTCTGCGCATGCGCGCCAGGAATGCGTTGCGGTCGCGCTTCTCGACGATCTTGCGCTGGTACTGCTCGCGCGTGTAGATCTTCGGCTTGCGGCCGACCTTGTGCTCGCGCGTGAAGTCGTACGGCTTGCCGTCGGACGTGACAAACTCCGTGCCGGGCGGGAACTTGCTGAAGTCGAAGAAGGGGCGCTTGCGCGTGCGAGGACGGCCGGGCTTGCGCTTCTTCTTCGGGCCGCGCTTCTTCTTGACAGGCGCTGCGGGCGCGGCGTCGGCGCGGCCGTCCGGGCCCTCGAGACGTGGACGCTTGTCTCCGTCGGCCTCTGCATCCTGTTCGCCAGCCGCGCTGGCACTCGCTTCGGCCGTGCCAGCTGCGCTGCCGCGCTTGCGCTTGCCGAGAGACTTGCTTGTCGCCGCAGTGCCTGCGTCCGCGGGCACCGTCGATGAGGAGGCCTCGGCACCGGCCTGCGCATCCGGTGCAGCTGAAGCTGATTTGCGAGAGACGCGCTTCTCGACGGGACGATACTTCCACGGCAAGCCGTTGGGCAGCTTCTGCGGCGCCGTCGCCGGCTTGTCTCCGGGCGGAGGCGTCTTTCTCTTGCGGTGGAAGGTGGGCGCCAGCGATGGAGCCCAGCGAACAGGCGCCTTGACGTTGCGGCCGAGACGCGTCGTGCGAACGAGCGAGGCGTCGTCGGCCTCCGGCGCTGGCGAATCAGCCTGTGCCGCCGCAGGAGCAGTGTCTGCGCCAGCGGGCTCGCTCGCGGCCGGTGCCGCCACACTCGGTGAGGCTGCAGGGCCTGCGGCGCTGTCGACAGACATCTCCACATCATCCTGCTGCTGCTGCTGCGCGACGGGCGCGATGAGAGGCAGACGAAGAGCAGGCATGTCCTCGGCACCAGACGAACGCGAGGCAGTCGTGCCTGCGTCGCTGTCGAGGTCCATCGGTGCGAGGCGTCTGCTTGCAGCACCGCTGCGTCTGCCCACGCGCGCGGCACGAGGCGGCGTCAACGACTGCACGGGCGAGCCGCGAGCCAGACTGCGCGCCGAGCGGGCCTCGGAGGCACGGGACGAGCTGGCCTCGCGCTCGCGCTGCGACGAGGTCAGCGGCTCGACGGCAACGGAGCTGCGGGCGCTGGCGTTGCTGCGCGACGGCGTGTTGGGCACGCTCAGCGCGTTGCTGTCGGCCTGCGAGCTGCGAGACGAGTTGTCGCGAGCCGCCTTGGCTGCCTTGACCTTGGCACCTGCCTCAGCTGCCGTCGCGCACGCGATGAGCTGGCGGTTGGCAGCGGCCGTCGGCGGAGCCTTCTTGCCGCCGAGGATGCCTGCACAGTTGCCGGCTCCGCACAGGCAGCGTTCGGACATGGTCATCTCTGCGCTCGCGAGGGCGGGGGCAGCCACGTCTGCGGCGTTCAATGCACCTGCAAAGCTGCTGGGCCCAGCGAAGCTCGACATCATTCCGCCGAGACCCGAGAGCCCGCGGCCGAGCCCGCCGGACAGGCCGCCCGCCACGCTGCTGGCTGCAAGCCCGCCAGCGACTGCCTTGCGCGCCGCGAACGCTGACCAGCCTGAGAAGGGTGCTTGAAGGTCAGCTATAGCCAAAGCAAAGGATGACTGTTGCCACGCACCGTAGTCGTACGTCAGCTCATCGCCGGCCTTGATGTCGCGCAGCGCAAAGAGGCCGATCTGGAACTCGGCGTCGCGCTCCTCGTCAGAGCCGGAGATGAGCCACTTCTCGATGTAGCAGTTCGGGTCGCACTGAGGAAGCATGGTGAGCACAGGCTGCTCGCGGATGGCGACATGTCAGTGCGCACCGAGTGGTTGGCGAAGCGGGCAGAGTTGCCACGCAGGCCGCCGTCCAGCACCTCGCCGGCGGCGGCGTCGTAGTCGAGAAAGTAGAAGTTGCCCGTGTCCTTGTAGTACTGCGTCACACGGCGGCCGCACTCGGCCGTGTCGATGACCTCGCCGCGGTATTCGCCGATGAAACTCTTGGCGGGAATGTCTTGCGCCGCACGCAGGCCGAAGCCGCGCTCGCCGTACTGCAGGGGCGCAGGTCAGCTGATGCGCCGTGACACAGACGCTGCGCGCGACTCACGTAGGCCACGTCGGTCTTCGCTCCAGGGCGGCGGCCGAGGCTGACGTTGGTGCAGCGGTCGCCGCACGGGCACGTCTTCTCGCTGCAGACATACTGCATCATGCGATTCATGCACTCGTCGCCGCACGTGTCGCCCGGCTCGCACTGGCAGACTGGGATCTCGCCGTGGATGCGCTTGCGCGAGACCCAGCGGTTCGTCGAGATGAGGCCGTACGGCGGCGGCTTGCGCTTCGCCGCCAGCTTGTTGCGCAGCGCGTCTTCCTGCTCGGCGATGGGAAACGACAGACGAAAGTCGCGCGATCCTGACAGAAGCGTCTCGCCGTAGTGCACCGGCGCCGGGAAGGCCGAGGCACCCTGCTTGCCGCGCGTGCGCGCCGTGCCAGTAGGAGCTGGGAGTGACGCGCGTCCACGTCCGCGAGCCGACGTCGAGGGAGCGGCTTTAACGCCCGACATCGAAGCGCGCGCCGCACGCGGCGCAGCCTCGTCGGACGTGCTGCTGGCGTACAGGCCGGCATTGAGGAAGGTCTGGCAGGAAGCATGTGTCAGCCGACCGTCTCGAGCAAGCGACCACGGCACGCGACTCACCTTCTTCTGCCAGGCGCTCTTGGGAGCCTTGGCCGGGCTCAAGCCCAGCGCGTCGGCGTCGCCGTTGATGGCAGGCACGACAGGCTCCTGTGCGCTCGTGCTCGGTGCATGCGCTGCACGCGTGCTGCGGCTGCCGGCCTGAGGAGTCGACTCCATGCTGGCGCGGCGCGTAGCACGGCTGGACGCGCCGTACTGGGGCGCGGCGATGTCGGTGATGCGCCGGCGAGAAGCGCGAGGCGTGGCAAGCGGCTGCGGGGCGGACACTTCCTCTACTTCCTCCTCGGAGTCCTGTGCGCTGGCGCGGCCTGCGCTCTCGTCCTCCAACGAGTCGGCAATGCTGACCGACGAGGTCGGCACGGCATCGCGAGCCGTGGCGCGAGTGCCACGGGTAGAGCGCTTGGGGCGCTCAGGCGTCGGAGGACTCGGCGATGCGCCACGCACGGCAGAGGCGACAGGCAGCTTGGCCAGCTCGGCACGCCGCTCCGCGAGCGTCAGCGCCTCGGCGGCCGGCGGATACGAGACGCGTCCGCTCTTGCGCTTCGGGCTGAGGGCCGCCACCGTGGAGAGATCGTCCTCAGCGTCTGACGCTTCCGGCGCGGCGATCGTTGCAGCACTGGCTGCCGAGCGACGCGACGTGCGGCGCGCCGTCGACGTCGACGGCGTCTCGCGAGCGGGCTCGGGCGCTGCCGTGATGGGCGCTGCCTTGGCCGGAGACGCGTGCGAGAGACGCTGGCGAGGCGAGGCGGCATCATCCATCTCCAGCGCCTTGCGGCTCTTCTTGACGGAGCGAGGCGTGCGTCCGGCGATGAGCGACGTGTCGGCGGAGGCGGCCTCCATCTCGGCGCTGGCGGTCGCTGCGGCGCTTGCGCGAGAGACGCGCGCGGCGGGCGCGGCCGCGCTCTGGCGAGCCATGGCGCTGCCGGCGAGCGGCGGAAGAGCGTCTGGTGGTGCAGAGGTGCCGTCGGATGCGCGCAGACTCGAGCTGGAGTCGCTGCGAGCGGCCGAGCGGGCGCGGCGCGCGGCGGTGGGAAGGGGCCGGGGCGGGTGGAGGGGCGAGAAGGACGTGAGGTGAGAGGAGCGAGGGCGTGAATACGGGCGGTGAGCGGCGAAGGGGGATAGAGAGGAGCGATACAGACAGACTTGACGATTCGGAGAGGCCAGGCTGGGAGTGTCGGAGGATGTGGTGAGGAGGCAAGGAGGGCGGGGCCGCGGCGTGCGTCGCTTGAGCGTGTGCTGTGCTGCCCTGCCGAGGCGTGCCTCGGTGCCTGCCGTGCTGGAGCGCGCCGCGTCAGCCGCCGCGCGCGCCGGATATGCGACGAGAAGCGTCCGCCCGGCCCGCCCCTCGCCGCGAGAGCGCCCCAGAGGAGCAGCAGAGCCCGGCGCACTGCTTTGCAAATCATCAGCTAGCAGCGCGAACGGCGGCAGTCGCAGCGCAGCCCCGGATGCCGTGCAGTCTGCCGGCTCGCATGCTGCGCACCGCGTGCGGCCCGCCGGCGACGTCTGATGCGTGCCTCTGACCTGCCTGAAGCGGACAGACGCGAGAGTGCCGCGCTGGCATTGTTCTCTCATCTGTCTCGACTCTCAGAAAGATGATGCGGAGGTCTGCTCGCCGTGCGGACGACGCAGGCCATGCCAGCCGCCAGTCACACCGGCTGTGTCGTGCGTCCTTGGTGTCCGGGACGCCGCCCACATGCCACGCAGCAAGAGCGAGGCAGCATTGAGACACCCTGGTCTCTGCTGCGACGCTGCAGGCGCTGCATTTGTGGTCAAGTCATGCGCTGCCTGCATTGTTGCATCTTTGATGGGCACGCGAGCACGCCGCTGTGGCCATGACAGCGTCGCGGTGCCCCGACTGGCGACAGGCAGCCTTCTGAGCGCTTTGCTCGGACGATGGACGTCTAGTACGGCTGTACCATACTTTCACAGCGCTAGAGACTGGCTTTTAGAGCACTGGATGGTGCGGGTCACCCTGACAGAGCTCTCGGCCAGCTTGAGCTCGAGACATGACGAGCTGCGCCGCATTGCAGCACATCTCGCTAGACACTCAGAGTGGAGACGGTGGTGCAAGATTCCTCACAGTTGTGGAGTTTCAAGTTTTCTGGAATTGAGAGGCGCATGAGGAGGCCGAGTTGCAGCCAGGTGAACATCGGACAAAGAGAGGCACCCGTGGGGCCACGCGCGCTGACTGCACGTCTGCGCCTGCTTGTGAGCATGCCTTGCAACCATGGACTATGATGTACCTCAGCAGCGTCTGTGCGGCTGCATGGGTATCTCTGAGAATACTGGGCGCGATGTGATGATGCAGAAGGGCGGCATTGCTGCTCCCTGCGCATCACAAGGAGCAGGTGGGCGTGGAGGAGCATCACGTGGCGGCGCGCGGGCCATTTCTGACTACGCGCAGTCTCTGGCCGACCGCGCGGCAAGGGCGGAGTCGCACGCGTCTCCGCGCCCCAGGCGCACAGCGCCGCGGCGCCGAGCTGGCGGTGCGGCGCATCGCAGCCGTGCCGCCAATCCGGCGCTTGCCGCTGGCTCGAGGCCGTCTCTGGATGATCGCTGTCGCTTCTCCACCCCGACCTCTCCCCCTTCCCCGCGCCAGCTGTCCCGCATGGTGCTCCTCGCCTCTCCCGCACCGCTGCGTGCGGCCTCGCGGGCGATCCCCGCCGCCGCCGTCGCGGCCCCGCAGGCGCGTGGGCTCCACGACCTCGTCATCAAGCGCCGCACGGGACAGCCCATCGTGCGCGCCGGCCCTTACGGCGGAGGCCGGTGCGTGTGCCGGCGGACCACAGCCGCTGCCGCAGCTGCAGCGATGAAGCGGCAATGCTGACATGCTTCCCTGTTTGCGCTCTGCAGCAACTCGGTCAGCGGCCACGTCGCGACTGTGTTTGGCTGCACGGGCTTCCTGGGCCGCTACATCGTCAACCGCCTGGCGCAGAAGGGCACGCAGGTCATCGTGCCGTACCGCGACGAGGACGAGAAGCGCCACCTCAAGTTGATGGGCGACCTGGGTCAGATTGTGCCGCTTGTGAGTGTGCCGCGGCGTGTCCTGGCGGCGGGCGTCTGTCTGGAGGGTGGACGGCGATTCGCCGGCAGAGCAGGCCGGCTGCAGTGCGCCATCGCGAGCATGAGGCATGTGCGAAGAGGTCATTCGTGCCTTAGTGTGGACCAGCAGCCGGGAACAGCCGGCTGGCGCGGCAGAGTGGATCGCCTCGCTTGCAGCTGCCCAAGGCGACCTGTTCGCCCCGCTTGTGCTGCCTCGAGGCCGAACGCAGTGCTGCGCGACCGATGTACTGACGCCGCACCGCCAGGAATGGGACCTGCGCCGGGACGACCAGATCGCCGAGTGCATGCGGCACTCGGATGTCGTGTACAACCTCGTCGGGCGCAACTACCCGACGAAGCGCTTCAGCCTCGACGACGTGCACGTCTCGGGCGCGGCGCGCATTGCATCGCTGGCCGACTCGCTCGGCGTTGCGCGCCTCATCCACGTCTCGCACCTGAACGCCGACAAGGACAGCCCGAGCGCCTTCCTGCGCGCCAAGGCCGAGGGCGAGGAGGCCGTGCGCCGTGCCTTTGAGGGTGCCACGATTGTGCGCCCGGGCCCGATCTACGGCCACGAGGACCGGTTGCTCAACTCCATGGCCAGTGAGTAGTCGTAGTGTGCGAGCCGAGACCGGTGTCTCTGCGAGTATGCGACAGCTATCAAGCTGCAAGCTGGCTCGGCGCACTGGGACTACCAGCGATGTGCCGCGCAGCACCAGGGCACTTAGACAGCTCGCTGACCCTACGCTCACAGCCTGGCCGGCGACATGGCGCGTCAACTACGGCGAGACGAAGCTGCGGCCTGTGCACTCGGTGGACGTGGCGCACGCGCTCGAGGTCATGCTTGATGCCGAGAACACGTCTATGGGTCAGACGTTCTCGCTTGCCGGCCCGCGGTCATACACGATTGCCGAGATGATGCAGCTCGTCGAGGCGCTGACGTACAACAAGATTGTGCGCCCGGCGCTCAACGTGCCCAAGCCGATCCTCATGACGGCCTCGAAGCTGGCACAGCTGGCGTGGTGGCCCATGCTGAGCCCCGACGAGGTGACGCAGCGCTTCCTCGACTGCAAGCCCGACGAGCCCGGCACGAAGAGCTGGGCCGACCTGGGCATTGAGCCGGACCTGCTCGAGGAGGTCGCCATCATGTACCTGCGTCGCTACCGGTGCGTGCCCCCTCGCGTCTCGCCCGAGCTGCCCCGCAGAGCTGACCTGCTCATCTGCCGCACAGGTCCAACCTGCACTTCGAGACGCCCATCGAGACGGGCGGCGCACGTCTCAAGGGCGGCAAGCAGCGCTACCGCGTCATCGACTGAGTGCCTGCGGCTCCGTCGATGCGTGGCCTGGCGCAGCACAATGTCTAGAGAGTGAGGGTGGGGAAATGGCAAACGATCACAACGAGACCACAGCGACCCTAGCGTACGAATAGTGCTGCCGCACGCGACTGTTGGGGCGGGTTTGTGCAGACGCCGGTCGGCGACGTCGATGCCGCACGCACTGCGAGAGGGGCAACGGCCAATGCGGTGCAGCAAGCCGACAGACGTGGGGCGAGATGGGCAAATCGACGTGCTGTGAGGTAGCTCTGCCAGGCGCCGCCTAGGTGTCACTCGGTGACGAAGAGAGGCACCGTCAGAGCTCCGAGAGCGCCGTGCAGCAGCGAGCGGCACCAAGAGGAAGCGTGAGAGGATGCGCGTCGTCCCCGGCGCTGGCCTGCTTCGTCGAGGCCGGCGGGTTCACACCTGCTGCAGCGGCGCCTGACCGCAGCTCGGGGGCTCGCACACAGCTTGCGTGCTGATGCAGCCCTACAAGACTCTGGTGACTGCCTCGCTGGCCCGCGCCGCGAGTCTGAGCCGCCCGGTCTGCCGATGTGTGCACGGTCGACCAAGCCTGTGGCCGTGGTGGGTCCCGCCGACGAGGCGGGCAGCATCACGTGCCGCCTTGACGATGCGCATGGCGCTCGACAAGAGGCGGAGAGAGGGGCCGCGCGCGGGAGCCGAGGAGGAGGCGAGTAGCAAGGCTGCGCTCCGTCTCTGCTGGGGGGCAGCATCTCCGCGGCCTTGTGTGCTGTGGCGCACGCTACGCAGTGACCGAGCGCTCAGGGCCCAAGCTGAAGGCTCGAGGCATGCTGACGCCGCTTGAGCGCAGGCGGGCGCAGGAAGAACGCACGGCGCTGAGCATCAGGTTGCAGGGCTCGTGGGAGGGCGGGCCGGCTGCGCGCCGGGCCGGCAGCGGTGCGGATGCAGCAGCAGAGAGGCGAGACGCCGATGCCGGCGAGGCGCGCGCCCCTCGGCCTGCGCCTGCGATCTCTGCTGGCGCGCGCCGGCTCCGGCCCCGCCGCGCGCCGGAAACGAGGTCAGCATGCAGCGACGGCCACAGGGCGCCTCGTGGCAGGGCAAGAGCAGGGCCGTCGATCGAGGCCGGGCTGCCGTACAAGTACCCCGCCTCCGCACGGCGGGCACCCCGCACCCGGCCACCAGCACCCCGCACTCGCCTCTCAACGCGCGCCCTCTTGCTGCCGCCGCTCCGTGCTGCCCCTTCTCTTCCCACCGCCACCACACCCCGCTCGCCCGCCATGGCGCCCGGCCCCTTCATCACCGTGCCCAGCCACCTCAAGCCCGCCGGCACCAGCGGGCCGGACCTGCTGGCCATCGAGCGGCGCAAGGCGTGAGTGTCTGCTTGCAGTGGCATTGGAGGGGCGCAGCGAGCGGCGATGCTCGGCGGCCCTGCCGCATCTCACCCTGTGCTTCGCTGCTGACACCCGCGCACAGCTCCTTCGACACGCAGCAGATGGCCGAGTACCTGCACGGCAAGTCCTTTCTTGAGCGGCAGGCGCAGCTTGTCGAGCTCCTCTCCAACGACCCCGTGCTCGAGAAGAGCGGCCTCAACTACATGGGCCGCACCGACAAGTTCCGCTGGGCGCTCGCCAAGGACAAGCGCCTCGCCGTGCTGGCGCGCGAGCACGGCTGGGACCGCGAGACGGCCAACCATGCCGAGACGCTGTGCGACACGCCCGGCCCGTTCGGCCTGCACAAGAGCATGTTCATCACCACGCTCGACAAGATGGGCACGGACGAGCAGCGCAAGGTGAGCAGGGGGCCAAGTGTCGAGGTGTCGGCGCCGCGGTGGTGCGGCAGCGGTACGGGACTGTCTCACTGACGCACCTCTTTCAGGCGTTCCTTGAGCCGGCGCTGCGCTACGAGATTATCGGCTGCTACGCGCAGACGGAGCTGGGCCACGGCTCCAACGTGCAGGGCCTCGAGACGACGGCGACGTACGACGAGTCGACGCAGGAGTTTGTGCTGCACTCGCCCACGCTGACGGCGTCCAAGTGGTGGATCGGCGGGTGAGTAGCGCGCGCGCGCATGTGTGTGCCAGTCATGAGCGCCCCGCTCACACTGCCGCAGTCTCGGCCGCTCCGCCACACACGCCATTGTCATGGCCCGCCTCGTGCTCAAGGGCAAGATGGGCGGCCCGCACCCCTTCGTCGTGCCGATCCGCGACCCGCAGACGCGCGAGATGCTGCCCGGCTGCACGATCGGCGACATTGGCCCCAAGCAGGGCTACCAGTCGACGGACAACGGCTTCCTGCTGCTCGACCAGGTCCGCATCCCGCACTTCAACGCCCTCGCGCGCTTCGCCAAGATCGAGGCCGACACGGCCGTCTACGTGCCGCCGAAGAATGCGGCGCTGACGTACGGCACGCTGACGTGGGTGCGCGCCAACATTGTGCGCCAGGCGGCCATGGTCCTCATGCGCTCCGTGTGCGTGGCGGTGCGCTACTGCGCCATCCGGAGGCAGTTTGCCGACAAGGACTCGCCGAAGTTTGAGGGCGGCAAGCCGATCGAGACGCAGGTGCTCGACTACACGAGTGAGCACAGCGCGCGCGTGCCACATGAAAGGTTGCTCATCCCCCTCCTCGCGCAGTGGTGCAGGCGCGCATCTTCCCCGTGCTCGCCAAGGCGTTTGCGTTCCACTACACGGCCAAGTACATGTTCGAGCTGTACGAGCAGAACGTCAGCGGCATCGACCAGGGCGACCTCTCGCTGCTGGCCGAGACGCACGCCAGCTCGTCGGGCCTCAAGGCGCTCACGACGATCGAGGCTGCCGAGTCGATCGAGACGTGCCGGCGCGCCTGCGGCGGCCACGGCTTCTCGATGGCGAGCGGCCTGAGCTCATTCTACAACGACTACCTGCCCAACGTGACGTGGGAGGGCGACTCGTACATGCTGAGCCAGCAGACGAGCCGCTACCTGATGAAGACGGCGCGCAGCATCAAGGCCGACTTCGACGGGCCGAAGCGCTCCTTCACCGTCGACTACATGCGCCGCTACATCCGCGACCCGCAGGCCAAGGCCGACATTGAGTTCAGCGGCGACCTGCTCGACCCGCTGATGTTCATCAAGGCCTTCGGGCACCGCGCCGCCTACCTCGTGCAGCACGCGCTCGAGCTGCGCGACGGCGCGGCGAAGCGCAGCTGGAACTCGCTGCTCGTCGAGCTGTACCGCTGCTCCAAGGCGCACAGCCAGGCGCTCATCGTGTACAACTTCGGCATGGCCATCTTCAACGACAAGGAGCTCAACTCGAAGCCGGCACTGCGCACCGTCATGCAGCAGCTCTTCCTGCTGTACGCCTGCCACGTCATGTCCGAGGAGGGCGCCGAGTTCATGAGCAGCGGCTACATCACGCCGCGCCAGTACCACCTGCTGCAGGGCAAGGCGCAGGAGATGCAGGCCACCATCCGCCCGCAGGCCGTGGCGCTCGTCGACAGCTTTGCTATTCCCGACTTCCTCCTCAACTCGGCCCTCGGCCGGCAAGACGGCCGCGTGTACGAGAGCCTCTTCGACCACGCCGTGCGCGACCCGCTCAACTCGACCAAGTGGAACGTCGACATCGAGTCAGACACGCTCGACATGGACGGCACGCTGCCAAAGAGCCACCTCTGAGCAAGAGCCACCTCTGAGCCGCGCGTCGCTCTTTCCCGCGTCCTTCACGTCACTGTCCCGCCGCGTTCCGTCATAACGGCCTCCCTCATGTCTCCCGCACAGCATCCTTTCCTTCTCTGGTAATAGACCACTGTCATGCCTGTCTATGTGTCTATTGCGTGGCGCTGCGCAGCGGCTAGAGCTGCGCCAGGTCGCCGATGCTCTGCATCAGGAAGTCGGGCACAATCTCGGCGCCCTCGGCGTCGATCTCGGCCTTGGTCGAGATGCCGGTGAGCACCATGAGTGTCTTGATGCCGCCGTGCTGCGCGAAGGCAATGTCCGTGTCGAGACGGTCGCCGACGAAGAGTGCACTGCGAGAGAGATGGGTAAGCGCAGGCGGGCGAGAGCAGCAGCAGATGCCGCACCGCGACTTGTCGAACGGCTGCACGGCCTCGATGCAGTCGAGCATGGGCTGGTGCGGCTTGCCGACGATGAGCGGCTTGCGCTTCGAGGCGAACACGAGCGGCGAGGAGAGCGATCCGGCACCTGTCGAGGCGCTCAGCGTGACACATGCGACTCGCTCTGCTCGCCACTCACCAGGCCACGGCCCGCCCTTTGCCGGGAACGTCGAGTCGTCGTTGGTGAGAATGAAGTAGCAGCCGCCGCCCTCCTCGCCCGCCTTGGGCTCGCCCTCTGCGCCCTCGCGTGTGATGTGCTTGAAGGCCTTGGCGAGCTTGATGTAGGAGAGATGCATGTCAAAGCCACACAGCACGGCGCCGACCTTGGGATCGATGGCCTCGGGGCTGAGCAGCGAGGAGAAGTCGAGCGGCGGCAGGAAGACGTTGTCCTCCTTCGACTGTCATCTCGTCGGCGCATGAGCCACCCGCCCCATCGCGCGGACAGGTGCAACACTCACAGTGCCGCCGCACCACCGCACACCCACGGCATCAAGCTCCTCCTGGATGCCCTCCATGCCCACGACGTACACGCTGCGGTCCTCCGGCAGCTTGAGCACGTGCTTGAGGTACACGGCCGAGGCGTAGGCCGAGGAGAAGACGTCTTTCTGCAAGGGCGGGCGTCAGCGCGAGAGCTTGACTACGCCGCAGCCGAGGCCACAGCTCCGTTCGCGGCTGGCACGCCTTCACAGTGCCGGGCCTTAGCCTACATGACCCGTGCATGCAGTCGCTGCTCACGCCGTGCTGCCCAGAGGCCTGCAGCGCCGTGTCCTGTCATGCCAGCTGTGTCGCGCCCAGCGGCAGCATAGCTTGCCCGTCCTCTGCGCCCTTCAGGCCATCCGCAGCCAGCGTACTCACCGTCTCCGCCTCAATGCCCATCTTCCTGAACTTGCCCAGCAGCGCCTGGCGGCTCTTGCTGGCGTTGTTCGTCACAAAGATGACCTGCTTGCCGCGCTTGCGCAGCAGCGCCACGGCCTCGACGGCGCCGGCGATGGCCTCGTCGCCCGACCACAGCACGCCGTCGCAGTCGAACAGCCACGTGTCGTGGGCGTCGAGCAGCGCCTCGTACTGCGAGGCGGAGGAGAGCGTCTCGTAGGGCATGGCGCAGGAAGGGCAGGAGGATGTGGAGCGGAGCGGAGCGGGCGGACAGCGCGGCGCGCGTGGGAAAGCCGCGTGCGGCGTGGCTGGCGCTGCGCTTCGCATGCCTCCTGACTCGAGCGGCCTCCTCGACTCGGCTCGCCGGCCAACACCCAGAGCAGCGACGAAGCTCGATCACACACGGCAACGGCATGAAGGCCTGCGCATACTGCATGCAGCGCGAGTCACTCAGCGCCGAGCATGGCCCTGCTAATGGCATGCGCACATCTATGCATTTCCAGCAGGCACGACAACGCTCCAGCAGCAGAGAGAGGGCGGACGAGGTATCAGGCGACAGCATTGACGATCTGCGGGTAGGCCGATCGGATGACGTTGAAGAGGTGCGGGTCGCGGTTCGCCATCACATGCGGCTGCCACACAAGGGAGAGTCAGCGGTCTGAACAGCGTCGCACGACAGGCACAAGCACTCACGTCCTCGGCCAGCGCCACAAACAGCGTCGTCACGCCCGCATCGATGACGGAGCCGACGGCGAGGGCGATCGTGAAGCCCAGGCCGAAGGCGTACAGAATCTCGACGGAGATGAGACTGCCGCCGTTCTGCAGGTACGAGGGGCTCGTGACGCTCTCGTAGGCGAACATGAAGATGCCGCACAGCAGGCCGATGCCGTAGGCGCCCATCGTCAGCACTGTGTTGACGATGATGTCGTTGGCGATTGCCGTGAGGCCACGCTGTGGGGGTGTCAGCTGCGTGCTTGCGAAGAGCGCCGCACGGACTCACGTCGCGGACCAGACGCCACGTCTCCTTGGCGGCGGTGATGTACCCGTTGCCGTACATCGCGATGTTCGCGTAGGCGAACTTGTTGAAGAGCTCCGCCAGGTAATCGAGGCAGCCCTGCAGGACGGTCACAGCGTCAGCAAAGAGGCCAGGCGTTCGGCCGGCAGGCAACGCACCAGGCAGCATCCAGCGACGCAAGAAAGCGCCATGCCGACCATGTCGCCCTCCGCCGCCTGCTGCTGCTGGATGACGTTGACAATGGCGCGCAGAATGTCGAGGATGGCAAGGATGAGCGAGCCGAAGCACAGCGAGCCAAACGAGTAGGTGATTGCGCGCCGGAAGGAGGAGCGCGAGGCGTGCTTGACGCGCGAGGAGGAGTAGTACCACGAGCCAAAGACGCCGGACATCGTCGTGAAGGCTACGGCCTTGATGACCTGTGGAAGCAGAGCGTGTGAGACGGGCCTAGGTGGGAAAAGGAGGCCCTCAGACGCACCTGGTGAGTCCAGTAGAAGTTGAAGATGCAAAGCACGACGAGGCCCGTCACCGCGCCCGAGCTCGAGCTGGAACCGGCGTTGGACGACTCGGGCGAGAAGCGCACGTAGACGGCCACGAGGGTCCATGCGGCTGGGCAGACCTGTGAGCACGCAAGAAGCTGGGTGCTGCTGAGACAGGCGACTCACTCCACACGCCAAAGGCCGTCTGCACGACCGCCGAGATCAGCGCCGTCACATAGGTGCTCTTGTACTCGTTCGACGCGCGGATAATGGCCTGGAGCAGCGCCTTGGCCAGCGGAATGCTGCAGAGAACACGCGTCAGCAAGGGATCATGGGCCGGCGACGCCTGTGGACGCACCGCTTGCGCAGGAAGAAGTAAGAGATGATCGAGAGCACGGCAAAGATGGTCATGACGATGGCACCGCCCGTCTGGCCGTTGATCCAGAGGTATGCGCAGTAGGCTGCGAGCAGCGAGTGAGCCACAGCAGACTGGGCGGAGCAAATCGGCACACGCACCAACGCTCGTGACGACGCTCAGCAGCAGCGTAGCCTCAATAATGAAGCGCGTGAACACCTTGACGGCAATCAGGTAGAGGATGGAGAAGAGCAGGCCGACGCCGGAGGCGAGCATGAGAGCCACGGCCGTGTGGCCGTTGAGCGTGCTGCCGACGCCCGTCTGGCGCGTGTTGCCGACGACGGCCGACGTGTCGGAGGTGACGTAGGCGCGCAGAGAGATGCCCGAGACGGCGGCGAAGCCCAGGAGAGTGAGGATGTAGAGGATCGCAAAGATGGGCTGCGTGGGAGAGCGTCAGCGCTGGCAAGCAGGCGCCAGTGCAGCGGCACAGGCTGCCAAGCAGTGTGCAAGCGCAAGCGAATCAGGAACGCTCGGCACCCAAAGTTGCAGCGCTCCAGCCACTCATTACGATGTGTCAGTGCGGCGCCATCCAACAGCCTCCTCGCTCGCCGCTTTGAGCACCTCGCTTGCCTCTCCGCCACGGCCCCCTCCATGCTGTCGCTCCCCAAGCCACCCGCTCCGCTGCCGCACACTCACGTCGCGGAATTTGGGCTTGGCCGGCTCGAAGCGCTCGCCCTGATATCCATTGGGCGCCAGGGCCATCTTGCCATCGCCGCCGTACTGCGGCTGCTGCGGCGCATAGCCGCCGGGCGCGTTCTGCTGCTGGTAGTAGGCCTGCTGCTGGCCGCCCTGCGGCGGCGGGTAGGCGCCGTAGCCGGCGTTGCCGTACCCCTGCGGCGGCGGCGCATACGGCGCAGAGGACTGCGGCGGCGGATAGGACATGCCGATGGAGGGAAGGGGTGGTTGTGGTAGGAGGCAAGGAGGCGCGAGACCCGACACAGGGCATGGCAGCCGCGGCTCAGCCGCCCTTCGCACCGGCACGTCCGACGGCACCGCACAAACGCTGAGATACTCCGCCGCCGCCGCCCTCCATAGAATCGAGCCTGCATGCTGCTCTTCTGCTGCTGTCATGCTGCAGCCGCTGCAGGAGCATGGCTGCCGCCTGCCGAGATGCAGTCGAGTGCCGCGCCAAGGCGGGCGGGGCCCAACGGAGAACGGCGTCGCGCGCGTGCCGCGTGTGTTGTGAGAGCTGCCGCGAAACGGCGCTAGCCGCCCGCCGATCATCAGAGGGCCCGCAAGAGATTCGGTCAGCCACGCACGGCGCCGAGCCTTGGTGCTGTGCCGCGGCAACTCTGCGTGGGAGCGTAGGCCGTCGACAGAGCAGAATGTTCGCGTGTAGGGGAAGGGGCCCCCGGATGTCGCGGGTGGCTGCGGTGATTTAGCGTCATCCGGTGCGGATGCCGCTTGGGCCACCTGCGATGCTGCACCTGGCCACGCTGCCGCTGCATCCGCATTCCCCGCACGCAGGAGCGCTGCGCAGGAAGCTTGCGCCGCTGCAGGCTGCAGTTGGAGCTGCGGCCGTGCAGGCAGACAGACAGACAGACAGACAAACAAACAAGAGCCAGCGCGCAGACGAGGAGTATGGATCCGGCAGCAGGTCACGGCGGGCGACGCTGCGGCTCGTGGTGGCCGCGGCGTCGTTCTGTTGCGCCGCTCCGCCTCCACCGCGCCTCTACTCCAGTGCAGACCCTGAGCGGCTGGCTTGGCTCCTCCTGCTTTTCTCCTCACCACCACCCTCTCTCTCTCTTCATCATGTCCACGCCCTTCTACAAGCAGTCGCCCCTGCCGCTCATCATCGACAACGAGGCCGTGTGCACCTCGCACACGTTTGACGTCGACAGTGTCGAGGCGCCCGGCACGGCCGTCGCCACCGTCTGCGGCGCCACGGTCAAGGAGGCACATGCAGCATGCGCGGCGGCGCAGCGGGCCGGACCGGAGTGGCGCAAGATGCCGCTGACGGAGCGGCGCAAGATTCTGCTCAAGGTACGCCCGTGCGCCGGGAGAGAGAGAGAGGAGAGGAGAGAGGCTGACGAGGCATGTGGTCTGGACAGGCAAGCGAGATCTTCCAGCAGCGCATTCCCGAGATCATTGCGCTCGAGACGAAGGAGACTGCCTCCAGCAGCGGCTTCGCCGGCTTTGAGACTGCTGTGAGTGGCATGTGGCACGCCTCGCGCTTCCCCAAGGGGCGGTCTGCGCCTCGTTTGGAGCGAGCTGAGCGAGGCAGTGCAACACAGGTCTTGGCGTCTGCTCAATTCCAAGAGACGCCCATCGCAATGGCGCAAGCCATGCGAGGCGAGACTGCACCGGTGGACTCGGCGGGGAAGCGCATGCTCGTGGAGCGGTGAGCTGCAGTCTTGAAGAGACATGACCAAAACGATGCTCATGATCGTGTGGCGCGGACAGCGTGCCGTATGGATGTGTGCTTGGCATTGGTGCGTTCTGATCGGCCTCAGCGGCGCGGAGCGATTCGCTGACCTCGAGGCTCTTGCTCACGCAGCTCCGTGGAATGGTGCGGCCCACTCGCTCCCTTCTGCCTGACTTCTTGCAGATGCTGACCTCTCCCGCAACCTGACAGCGCCAGTCACACTGGGCATCCGTGCCGTGCTTGCGCCGCTGGCAGGCGGCAACACGGTGATTCTCAAGACGTCCGAGTACAGTCCCACGTTCGTCGCCCGCTTCTCTCTCTCTCTCCCTGCTCTGCTCACGCCCGCTCTGCCTGCTCGGCGCGCGTCGCTCGCGCTCGCACACAGTGTGCACATGGCGGTGATGCAGTGTCTCTTTGATGCCGGGCTGCCCAAGGGCGTGCTCAATGTGCTGCACGTCGCGACAAAGGATGCGCCGGAAGTGACTCAGGCGCTGATCGCGCATCCTGTTGTGCGCAAGGTGGGTAAGCCATGGGACGGAGGCGACTCGTGACAGGCGCGGCTGACATCGCGCGGCGCAGGTCAACTTCACTGGCTCAACAAACGGTGCGCTGCCTCCTCTCCATGTCGCTCTCGTCTTGCGTCGTGCCGATCTGACGCTCTGCCCGCTCCGCAGTGGGCCGCATCATCGCGCAGATCTGCGCCAAGCACCTCAAGCCGTGCATGATGGAGCTGGGCGGCAAGAATCCCATCGTCGTCACGGGCAATGCCGACGTCGAGCTGGCGGCCAACAACATCGTCTTCAACGGCTTTCTGCACCAGGGCCAGATCTGCAGTGAGTCCGACTGCGCTTGCCAAGGCTGAGGCGGCTGGCTGATGCGAGCTGGCTGCGAACAGTGAGCGCAAGCAACCTCATCGTGCACGCCTCGCTCGCCGACGACGTCGCGCAGAAGATCGGCGCCATCATGGCCGAGCAAGCCTCGCTGCTCTCTGCCGGACGCAAGCAGAACCATTCGGGCAAGGATGACGAGGCACATCGTCTGCGCCCGCTGTTCAATGCTGCCTCGGGAGAGCGCGTCAAGAGTCTGTATGAGGATGCAGTCCAGCAGGGCGCCAAGCTGGTCGGCGGCAAGCCGGCGTTTGAGGGCAGCTTGGTGCAGCCGGTAGTGCTCAACGGCCTGACGAAGGAGAGCAAGTTCTACTCGACGGAGGCCTTCGCTCCGAGTGAGTCGCGCGAAGCAAGGCGGCGCGGTCTGGGCTGATGGACGGCACGCAGTGATGGGCATCATCAAGTACAACACCGAGCAGGAGGCCATCGACGTGAGCACCCTTGTCCTGGCCTCGCCGTCAGCCGCCTTGCTGATGCTCCCTTGTCCAGCTCGCAAACGGCACCGACTACGGCCTCTCCGCGTCCGTGTACAGCCGCGACGAGACGGAGGCCTACCGCATCGCCTCGGCCATCGACTCCGGCGCCGTCCACATCGTGCGTTGCGCCCTTGTCATCGCCTCAGCCCGCGCGCCCCGTCTGACATTTCTTGCCCTGCCTGCGCACAACAGAACGGCGGCACGGTGCACGACGACCAGGCCCTGCATCACGGCGGCATGAAGAACTCGGGCTGGGGCCGCTTCAACGGCGTCGCCGGCATCCACGAGTTCACGCAGAGCAAGTGCGTCACGTTCAACGTGCCGGCGCAGGTGCCGTTCCACATCATGTAGGTGTGCACGCAGCAGCACAGGGCACAGAGACTTGCACTCGGGGTGGAATGGATCGATGAATTAGTACTATGCAGGAGAGGGCGTGTGATTGGCGGAGAAAGAAAGAGAAGGGGGCTTGGCGAGGGCACCTCGACGCGGCGCCTCACCAGCCGCTGGTGTGGAAGGAGTTGCCATACTCGCTGCTGAGGCGTCTCGACGAAGAGGCATTGTTCGTCGCTGCGCCGCTGCCTCCCTGCTGCTGCTGGCGGCGTTCGAGCTCGTGGCGTTCCTGGCGCATCTGCTCCTGCTGCACGAGGCCGGAGTGGTCGCTCCTGCTGCGCGTCGCGCCCGGCGGCGCCGCGCTCGTGAGCGGCCGCAGGGGGCCGCCGCCCAGGACCGTCTGGTTGCGCCCTTCTCGGACAGGCGGGCGCTGCGAGTGCGCCGCGCTTGCTCCTTGCGCCTGCATCTGCTGTTGGTGATGCTGCGCAATCGCCGCGTTTGCCTGCTGCGCCGCGCGCGAGGCCTCGGCCTGCCGTGCCGCAGAGGGATTGCCGATGCCGAGCATGCGATTGCGGCTCTGCCGCTCCCACAGCAGGTTCTGCCGGATGCTCTCCGACAGCTCGTCGCGCAGCATGTTGCGCCGCGTCGTGCGGGGCGTCTGCGCCAGCGCCATGGCCGCGGGACCGGCGGGCGTCGGCACGGCACGATGCTGCGCCACGCTCGGCGCCGCCATTGCCTCGGGCGTCGGCGGCGAGGAGGAGGAAGAGGAGAAGGATTGCTGCTGCGGCACCTGTTGTTGCGCTCGCACCGCCTCCGCTAGCTCCGCCACTTCGGTGCGAGGCGACGGCGGGCCGCGCGGCCGGTCCGAGGGCGAGCCATGCGAGAGCGTGGGTGCCGGCGCATCCGACGAGGCCGCTCGGCGCGCCAGGGAGGCAAGGGCACCGCTGCTGCGTGCATTCGAGGAGCGCCGCGTCGACGCGAGTTGACTGAGGTGCGCAAGCGCCGCACTGCTGCCGACGGAGCGAGCCGCGTCGGGACTGACAGTGCCCGCTGCGTCATGCGCGGCACTCTGCTCCGCGCCGCCTTCATGCGGCAATGACTCCTTGCGCGCACGCGAAGACGTCGCGCCATTGCCGCCGCTGTTGCTCATGGCCGTGACTGCCAGACTGCTGATGCTGGTCGAAGAGCGCGAGGCCGTCGTGTTGAGCACCGGCAGTGCCACGGCACTCTTGGACGTGCGCAGTCCGCCGTCGCCCACGGGATGAGCACTGGGCGTGCGCGTCGGCTGTGGCGCGTGCGAGCTGCCTCCTCCGCTACTTCGCTCTGCACGACGCGAAGAGCGCGTCGGAGCAGCCGCCTCGGGCTGCGTGAGGCGCGAGAGAGCGAGAGCAGAGGAGGCCGGGCGGTGTCGTAGATCAGCGGCGCTGGCGTGCGGGCGGCCCGCAAGCTGGCCCGGCGGCGGATGCGGCTCTTGTTCGGGATGGAAGAGGGAGCTGAGCAGGCCACGCACGGGCGGCGGACTGTCGAGCATCGGACTCGGGCCCGTCGTCTCGGCTGCAGCTGCGGGCGCCGCGTGCCGCAGATCGGCGGCGCTGTGACTGCGCACCGGGATTTTCTGGAACATGCTCGCCTGCCGCTCCTCCTCCGCGCGGCGCCGCGCAAGCGCCTGCGTGCGCCGCTCCTCCTCGCTGTCGACCGTCGTGTCGCTCGACCAGCCTTCCTCGTCGGTCTCAGCCGGAGCGGCAGCAGCAGGGATCGCAGCTGCCGTCGGCGCAGGCTGCTGCTTGGCGGGAGCAGCAGCGGCAGCAGGCCGCCGCTGCGCCGGCGCCGGCGCTTCGTCTTCCTCTTCCTCCTCCGACTCGTCCTCGTCGCCGCCCATCATGAACGTGACTGGTCGTCCTTTGCGGTTGAGTGCCGCTGAGGGCACCGCCTCGGCGCGCTGCACCTCCGGCTGGACGGACGCCTTTGCCGCCGCAGCGATGGGCGCCTTTTGCTCAGGCGCCTTCGGCTCAATGCTCGCCCTCTGCGCCTCTGTAGGCTTGGCAGGCGGCGAGACGTACGCCTCGGGCTGTGACTGAGCGAGCGGTGCGACCGGCGAAGGTCGCTCAGGCGCCAGCTGAGCCTTGGCATGGATCGCCGGACTCGGCGGGTTCGAGCTTGCGACACTCCGGTCGCTCGTCGAGCGCTCCATCTTCGGCGCCTTTGCACGCGTGCCTCCACTGGCCGTGCGTCCGTGCGTCGTCTTCTTCGCGGCAGTCAGGCCGCCCAGACCATGTGCGGCGCGATGCAGGCCGAGGCCAGACTTGGAGCGCGCAGGGTGGTGCACGTGTGCGTGATGTGCATGTGCGTGATGCGCTCCGTGCGCGGCATGGCCGTGCGTAGCGTGGTGATGAGAGCCGCCAGCTTCAGAACGAGGGCGACGAGCCTTGCCGCTGCCACTGCCAGTGCCGCTGGCAGCGTTGCTGTGCGTGGGCGAGGCGGCGCGTGCAGGCGAGACATCGCGCTGCTGCTGCTGCTGCTGCTGCTGCTGTGCAGGCGCAGGCGAAGGGGCGCGTGCAGCTGTCGGCGAAGGACTTGGTGCGCGTGCCTGCGAGAGAGGCGCCGCGGGCGTCAACGCCGTAGTCGTCATGCCCGCTCTTGCCAACTTCGAAGCGAGCGAGAGGTCGGAGACGACGGGCTTTAGCTCGTTCACACCGCCTGTGTGGCTTGCGTCTGCGTCTGCGCCGCCGCCGCGAGGAGAGGGCGGCCGAGGTGCTGCACTACCTGCTGCGGCGGCGGCGGTGGCGGAAGAGGGAGGCACAGCGGGCGACTCGTGCTGCCCCGCACACGCTGCCTCTGCGGCGCCGTCCGCTTCGTCGCCCGACTCGTCTTCAAACTCCTGATCCGCGCTCGCAGCCTCGACGAAGAATTTTGCCTTGCCCTTTGCCGCGCCCGTGCCCGACTTGGCCGCCTTCCTGTGCGTGTGCGCAGCATGCGCGACGTGCGTGGAAGAGCCCGAGCCAGCAGCGTGCCGAGCGAGGCCGGAAGACGAGGCAGAAGCGCGCATATGACTGCTGCTCCCACTCGCGCTGCCGCCACTCTCCCTCTTCTCGCGGAACGCGCGAGCGGCGGGCTTGCGGACGGGCGCAGAGGGAGGAGGAGGCATTTCGCTCGTCGCGGCGCTGCTGCTTGCCGCCGGCGCGGCTGCTGGTTGAGCGGAGTCGAGTGCGGACGATGCGGCGGAGAGGGAGGGAGCGGCGGAGAGGGAGGGAGCGGCGGCGGAGAGGGAGGGAGCGGCGGGATGAGAGGATGTCGACGTCGAGCTGGTGGGCACGGCTGCTGCGACGACAGGCGCTGCGCTGCTTGAAGCGACACTGCCAACACGCAAAGGTGACTGCGCAGCTTCGACGGCCGCCGCGGAAGTCGAAGCCTGCGACTCTTCCACCTGCGTGGCCTTGTCGCTCAGTGCCGGTCTTGCCGTTGCGCTGCCAACAGCAGCGTTGCCCTTGTCGTTCGTCGCTCTCTCCTCTCTCCTCTCCGCGCCATCCACGCTGAGTGCTCTCGCCAAGCTCGGTCTGCCTCCCTCTCCCAGCGCCAGCTCGTCCCTCGCCAGGCCCGCCACTGCGGCTGTGAAGCTCAAGGGTCTCCTCGTGCGCACTCGGTTGCTCAGCTGCGCCCTCGCGCGCGAGCCAAAGGCAGAGGCGCTCGAGGGGCGCATTTGCGCGTGCAGAGAAGTGGCGGTGGAGGAAGGGCGACGAGAGAGGATGGGCGACAAGGCCGGACGTCCTCGTGTGGAAGGCAAGGCGCCGGCCGTGGCGGGATGTTGCAGCTGAGGCGGCGAAGCAGCGTCGACTTGCCCGTCATTGTCGGACCATGCCTCATCATCCACCTCTTCCTCCTCCTCCATCTCTTCCGACGCAGATCGGCGAATGGCAGACGTAGAGGCCCGGCTGCTGCGTCTTCGGCCATCCAGACGCGCCTCGGCGTCGGCGCGATGGCGCAGCAGCTTCTCGCGTGCCGCCGCCTCCCTCTCGCGCTGCTCCGCCACCTGTGCCACGCGGCTCGCCGCAGACGCGAGCACGAGGCTGCCGGCGCGGCTGCCCGACGGCGTGCCGATGCGGCTCGGCGCGCCCGACGCCAGGGTCGAGTCGCACGGCGAGACGAGCTGCGAGGTGAGGCCGGCGGGCAGCACGTAGTCGGCGGGCAGCAGGTGCGCCTCGCGGAACCACAGGCGCCAGCTGAGATTCTCGAGCCGACGCCCCGACTCGAGCGAGGAGCCGCATTTGGTGAAGACTAAGGAGTGGAGCGTGAGCAAGGCGTGGTGGATGGCGCGAGAAGTACAAGCGCAACGGCAGCCGGGCTCTGAGGTGCCTGGCACTGGCAGCGCGCACCGCCCGTGCACGCAGCACGCACCATGCCACATTTGCTCTGATCTTTGCTACTCACGCGTCCAGAGGCCCGCGAGCTGGTCCAGGCTCAGATCATTCAGCTGCGCCACGCTCGCCGGGGAGAGCGAGAGCAGCGGCGCTGGCAGAGTGGTTGGCTGCATCTCGCTGAGAGAGCGGGGGCGAGGATGGAAGATGCAGGTGGGCGCCGCGCTTCAACAGGCGCTGATGGCGCTGCTCATACACGCCGTCCAAGGCGTAGCCCTGCTCTCTGCGTTGGCGCGAGGTGCGAAAGTCAAGGTGCGAAGGCGAGATGCAACGACCACGGCGCGAAACAGAGAGGCGGAGTCGGACGGCTGAGCGCGGATGTGCGGTGAGTGAGAGCGGTCGGGTACGGGACTGCAGGCTGGATGGAGCGAGAGGTGAAGGGAGAGAGGCGTGAGGAGTGAGGAGTGAGGAGTGAGGAGTGAGGAGTGAGGAGTGAGGTGTGCGGTGGCTCAGCTCAGCCAGGCGCAGGCGCGTGTGGGTCCTCTGCGCGCGCCGGAGCCGCGATCTCGCAGGCAAAAGCCTGGCTGCGCGCCTGCCTTTGCGGGCACGCAGACGCAGCGCGCCGCGCGCGGCACGGCACAGGCACGGCCTCTTGCCCGGCTCGCCCCTGTGCCGCCGGCGGCCGCAGCGAGCCTCCTTGCCTGCTCCTCCTGCTTCCTCCCGCGCCCGCGCCGTCTGCCGGCTCATCGGCATCCCACGACGCAGCGCACCTCGAACGTCGTGCTCAGCCGAGAGCAGCGCTGCGCTCTCGTCTGCTCCACACATCCGCGCGAGAGGCCCGTCTGGAGACACACACAGCACAAGAGCGAGCGCCGTTTTGCTGCTTGCCGCGGCCCACCTCGCGCCGCCGAGCGAGCGCCGAGCCCTCGCGACCCCGCTTTGCGGCAGCGCGCCTTCCGCTTGCACCGCCCGCGCCGCATTCATCCGCGTGCCGCCTGGCCCCACATCGCGTGCGAGCGAGGCATGCTGCATCCTGCATCTGCAACAAGAGACGCGAGAGGGACGAGAGAGGGGCGGGGCCCGGATGTGCGGGTCGACGACATGCGGATGCGGGGCCATAGGACCTGCTTCTTTGCCATTCCGTGCCTGGCTTTGAAGGGCTGATGGCTGCTATTCGCAGACATGCCGGGCGTCGAGCCGGACGGCGTGCGCGGTGGGCCCTGACGCTCTCAGCCTCGGATGATTCCCGCCTCTTCCCCGCATCTCTTCTCCACAGCTGCTGCAGCCTGCATCCCCGCCCGCAGTCGATGTTTCTCATTGGCACTCTCTCTGTGCCTCGCTCGGGCATATCTTCCCGTTCCCGCTAAGGAGGGAACCGCATATGGCGGCAGCGGGGCGTGTCGAGCGGAGAAAGAGGAGAGGCAGAAGTCGCCACGCGCGCGTCGGCGAGAGATTGCCGGGCCATGCCAGGACGGGGCGGGCCTCGCTGAGTGCCGCTGTCTGCTCCGAGCTCGTAGAGCAGAGTCATGCGGTCGCAGGCGGCCAGACGCAGCGCAGAGACTGCGAGCTCTTCCGTCTTCTGTGCCGTCGAGTGGAGCGCCGGAAGCAGCGCAAGGAGCACGCAGAAACGACGAGCCACCGTGGATTGTCCACGGCGGAAGCTTCATAAACGCCATGGGCGCGCCGGCTGTGTGCCTAGTGGCCCTATGACGCAATGGTTCAGCGTGTCGAGTTTCTATTGCGTCTCTTTTGACAGCGGCAGACCTCGGAAGTTCTGGGTTCGAGTCCCAGTGGGGTCTACACGCTTTTTGCACTGCCTGCTCGACCTCTGACACCCCCCCCCCCCCCCATTCTTCTCCCCTCGACGCAGCGCCAGCTTCTTGTTTTGCATCCGCGCACAGCGCACGAGTCGCGTGCAAGGGCTTCAGCGTCGCGGCTGCTGCGCCGTTGCTGGAGCCTGGCGCGTCGCGCTGGCGCCGCCTGCCTCGGCTGGACCAAGCCAGCGCCGCACTCAGACTCATCTCGCCGCCACGTGGGCTGCACAGTGCCAGCTCCTTTATGTCCAGGAAGCGTGCACCCAGCCCTTGCGATGGCATTCAGTGCGATGCTGCTGCTTGTGATGAGCAAAGCGGCGGCGAGCATGTCGACGCTTCGCCAGCGTCGTGTGCCTCCGGACGCTTGGGCGCGCTTGCCGGCTAAGTGCTCTCTTTAGACTACGCGGCTTGCTGGCAGAGAAGATGTCGTCCATCACAGCCGGAGCACCCAAAGGCTCTCGATTTGCGTCTGTCTGCGCATCCGCTGCCCGAGTGTGGGCAGTTGCCGGCAATCCGGCTCGGATCCCAGGAGCAGGCGAGGGAGAGGGGCATACGGCGAGCGTGGCTCGTCGGTCGTGTAGAATCTGTCTGCGCATCCGCATCGGCTGCGATGTGAAAGCTTGTGACTGAGCACCTGCTGAAGGAGCCCGTCGAGGAGCACGACTGTGTCGCGAGGGCAGAAGCATAAGAGACGCCATGACGACCGCATGGCGCTCCGTCTCCCCCAAGCAACAGCTTCCGACAAGCTCAACCTCCCAACGCGACTGCCTCTTCACAAGCTGCTCATCAGTAAGTCCCTTCCGTCCCCCTTCCGCGCACGCTCGCTGACCGTTCTTCAGCCATGTGCCGCGCGCCCGCCTCGTACTCGAGCGGCACCCAGACGCCCGCCTCGTCCGGCACCTGCTCGTACGCCGGCTCCGACTCGGGCTACGGCAGCTACAGCAGCGGCAGCAGCAACGCGAGTAGTGGCGGCATGAGTAAGTCGGACGCCAGCCGCGTGCAGTCGAGTCAGACCATCAGTGGTCTCTACGTCGGCGCTGGCTCGTTCGCTGCGCGTGCCCAGAGCGCCGGTGACCGCGCTGCAAAGGGTGGACGCAAGTGAGGTGAGTGAGCAAGCAGCGAGGAGAGAGATGGTGCTGATGGCGCACAGCCTCTCGCAGCCCTCCGCGCTTTGTCCACCGTCGGCAAACGAGCGCCCTGCTCTGCGCTCCATCAAGCAGGTCACCGCACGTCAAGCCCACCTGCCTCACTCTCCCGTGTCTCGCGCCTGCCCCTCTGCGTCAATGACACTGTGCTCTCTCCCTCTCTCTCATCTTGCTGCGTGTGCTCTTGCTTGTGTGAAGGTGCTGTTGCGTCGCTGTGTGGGAGAAGCAAGCGTGGCTCGACGCCGTCTCGCGTGCCAGGGTGCAGCTGCCGCGGGCCAGCCACGTGGCTTGAGGCGCGTCGGGTCGCGGCGAGGCGCGCGCGAAGATGAGCGCGGCGCGGCCGGCGCGGCCTCGGGGCAAGCGGGAGCGCCATGCGCACCTTGCGTTGCGACCTCTCACGACCTCCCGCCGCCGCCGTTCTTCTCCACACTGTCGCGCTTGCGGCTCGCTGCTCTTCGCTCGCGCACACGACACCGTCTGCGTTCCGCCGCGAGCAGCCATGGCGCCGCCGCGCCGTGCCGCCGCCGTGGCCGCCAGCACGCTGCTCTCCTCCGCCTCTTCCTCCTCTCTCGCCTCCTCACAGCCGTCCTTCTCGGCGCCCGCCGCCGCCTCCGCCGCTGCAGCCGGGCCCTCTGCGGCGCGTGCGCCGCGCAATGCGCCGCCGCCGGCCGCCGTCGAGCCGCCGCTGAGCCCCGTCGTGCGCCGCCTGCGCCAGATGTGGACGTTTGCGGCCGTGTGTCAGTTCATGTTCACCTTCGACGAGGCCTTTGGCGTCAGTGGCTTCGAGACGGAGGTGAGTGGGCCGCTGCGAGTGGAGCAGACGGCATGTGCGGATAGTCGCTGGGCCCGTAAGGTCAGGCGCGCGGCTACATGCTGCCTGTGCCAGACTGCGAACTGTCACTGCGTCGGCCCGTGACTGAAGCGGCAGCGCGGACATGTGCAGTGCCTGGGGCAGGCGCGAAGGGGCAGCAGAGGAGGTTGCGTCACGCCGCAGGCAGGCTCGGAGCAGCAGCATGCGTCCTGAGTACGTCGCCACCGCTTTGCGCCACATGTCTGCCCGGCAACGGCTGCCATACCTTTGCTGGTGTTGCTGTCCATCTCCTCACGCTGGAGCCAGCTGCCCGGGCCGTGCTGACCTTTGCTCTGCAGGCGCTCGAGCGCGATCTGGATGGCTCCGAGACGGCCGTCATTCCAGACCTCATGCGCCGGCTGCTCTACACACTCACGCTCGACAAGACGATTGAGTGAGTCTCGTCGCCCGTCAGGCACTCACCGGCGCATCGGGAGCAGCGCCTTCGAGCTGCTAGACCAGGGCATGAGTCGGCCTTGCTTTTCCGTGCTGACGCGCGCGACAGCACGTCGAATTGGGAGCACCACCTGCGGCGACAGTACCTGATGCGTGCGCCGGACGTGAATCCGTTCGGCACAGCCGAGGCGCCGCTCTCCTGGGCTGCGCTCTCGCTCACCAACAAGGTGCGTCCGAGAGCCAATGTGCGAGCCGCAGAGCGCCGCTCACCCCCACGCCATGATACTCAGGTCCTTGCGTTGCATAGCCTGTGCGAGTGGCAGCTCGTCGACGCAGAACGCTTCCGCAAGCTCGTCAAGAGCGAGGAGGAGCCAGAGCTTTGGGTGCGTCTCGCTGTCGTGCACATGTGTGGTGCGCTGTTCACGCTTGCCTCTAGCGCATCGACCCGATCGGCTGGGATGGGCAGGAGAACACGTACTGGCTGTTTGATGGTGGGTAGCATCCGCCGTGCCTGCCTCTACACCTCTCACGCCCCGCGCACAGACAACCGGCTGTGGGTGCAGCACCCGCCGCCGGCGCCCAAGCCCAAGCCGCGCTCGCGGGTCGTGCCCAAGAAGGGCTCCAAGCGCGCGCGCGTCGAGGCAGCGCGTGCTCGGAAAGCGGCGCCCACCAAGAGCGAGGCGCCGCCACGCGGCACGAAGCGCGCTCGTGGTGCGGCGAGCGAGACGAGCCCGCCGGCGAAGCGGGCGCGCGGCGAGTCGGGAGGCCTGCCAAGGAGAGGCACGCGAGGATCCGCAGCGGCGAGTAGCACGCCGGCGAAGCGCACGCGCGGGAGCGCGGCGGCTGCTGCGCCCACGAGCGCACGCTCGTCGCGCAGACTACGTGGGCCTGCAGAGGCGCAAGTCGACGAGGGCGACTGGGAGGAGGTGCCGTCGGGCATCCTGGAGTCGGACTCGGAGCTCTCGGATCTGTCAGAGCCGCCGGATGAGGGCGATGGCGGGGCGCTGAATGGAGAACAGGCCGAGGAAGAGGAGGTCAAGCCCGAAGCGCCAGAAGCGAGTGCAGGCGACGCACGCTCTAATGGCGACCATGCCGTGCATGATGCCGCGGACGACGTCAAGACAGACGAGGCCGACACTGTCATTCACGATGCGGCGCCCAATGGCGACGCGGCGAAGCACGAGGCGGCAGAGCCCATCGAGGAGGATCTCAAGTCCGAGCCGGTCAAGGACGAACAGGCTGAAGAGGCTGCCGCGCCCGCTGAGGCCGATGACTCTGACGAATGGATCGAGTTCGAGACTGTGAGTGCCTTGCGCGCGCGCGCGTGGGCGTTTGTGTTGCCATGCTCACGCTGCTGCAGGTCGCGGTGACTGGCGCTGAGTGGACGGCCATCAGCACGCGCTGGCAGCGCTCCAAGCACCCGGACGAGCGCGCGCTGCACGACTTGCTGCGCAGCACGGTGCTGCCAAAGGTGATGGCCGACATCGCGGAAGCGGAGCGGCAACGCGCTCTCGAGGCGGCACTGGCGAGCCGCAAGCGCAGCAGCCGCATTGCGCTAAAGGAGAGCGAGCGCGAGGAGCGCGAGCGCGATCGCTTGGCACGAGAGGCGATGGAGGAGCGCATGGCGAAGCTGCGCGCGGAAGAACAGATGGAAGAGGAACGTGCACGCGAAGCAAAGGAGGCGCATCGCACGCGCGAGGAGCGCGCACGGGAGCGCGAGGACCGCATCTACGCGCGCGAGCGCGAGGCGATGGAGAAGGCGCAGCGCGAGGCGGATGCGCGCGAGGAGCGCGAACGACTGCGCGAGGAGCGCAAGCGGCGGCGCGACGAGATCATTGCCAACGGCGGCGTGGCGCCGGAAGAGGACGAAGCGGCGGAGGAGGCCGCGGCCACCTCAAGCACCACTGCGGACGCCGAGCCACTGCCAGGCGGCACCGACGACGACTGGGATCTGGCGTGCGAGGTGTGCGGCGCAGCCGGCCACAACCCGGACGACCAGAGCGAGATCGTCTGCTGCGAGTCGTGCGGCGTGTGGCAGCACACGGAGTGCTGGAATGCGTTCGACCGCTCCGTGCGCCGCAAGCCGCGCGACTGGGAGAACATCGACTTCTACTGCTCCAAGTGTCGCCCGCCGAGAGCGGACGAGCCGTGGCCAGGACGGGCGACGGCCAAGAGCAACGACTCGCCCCGCCAGCGCATCCGCGTCAAGCCGCTCGAGCCAGAGCATGTGTCGTCGCAGTCTTCGAGCGCTGCCAGTGCACCGCAGTCTGGCGCACAGGCCGTCTCTGGGCCAAGTGTGCCCTCTGCACCGCCGACGCAGCAGCCGCCTCCCACGACCGCTGCGCCAAAAGCAGCGCCGGCTGCGACGCCTGCGCCTCAGGCCGCAGCCGAGCCCGCGGGCTTGAGCGCGCTCGACGCGCTCGCCTTCGCAGCCAACGGACGCAGTCATCTTGCTGCTTCGCCGCCGAAAGCAAGCCTTGCGGGCCCTGCTCCCGTCGCTGCGCCTGCCTCGGCTTCTGCCAGCGGAGCGCCGAGAGCAGCGCAGCCAGCCGCCGCTATCAGCGGTGCTCCGCGACCGGCCGCCAGCAGCGCCCCTTCCGCCGCACCGCTCGCACCAAGCACCTCCTCTGCCGCACCGCGCACGCCGACGCCCAACGGCGCGCACGTAGCCGCCTCTCCGCCCGTCTCTCCCGCGCCTTCGGCGCGCAGCGGCAGTGCCTCGCACACCAGTCCCTCGTCGCTGCTGCCCACGCGCGTCGGAGCACCGAGTGGCTCGTTCCCCATCCGCCGCGACGCGCCCGCACGCTCGCCGCTTTCGGGTCCGCACATCTCGAGCAGCGGCAATGTGCCTAGCATGTCTCTCGGTCCTGCTGCGCGCGCCACAAGTCCGACGCCCAGCGGGGGTGCGCGAGGCACGTCGCTGGCGCCCTCGCCTGCTCCTGCGTCGGGCAGCTCGAGCGCTGCAGCAGCAGCAGCTTCGCCGCAGCCTGCGCCGCTGGCGCAAAGCCGGCCGCCGCAGAGCAGCGCCGCGAGCGCAGAGAACATGGCGCGCCGCCTCTCCTCGTCGTTCGGACCCAGTCCGCCGCGCGAAGCCTTCGGCTCGCCTGCTGCTGCAGCGGCACGCAGTGGAGCGCCGCAGGGCGCCAAGCCGTCGCCGCCGGTGGCACAGCCTTGCGCACCCGCGGCAGCAAAGGTCGTCGACGCTCCTTTTGCGCCAGCGCCGATGCAGCAAGCTCCGCCGCCGCCGCCGCAGCAGCAGCAGCAGCAGCAGCAGCAGCAGCAGCAGCAGGCCGCGTCGCTTACGAACGGCGCAAGACCGCCGGCGGCCAGTGGCGCGCCCATGCTGCCGCCCACGCAGACGTCTACGCTGGCGCAGCAGGCTCAAGCTCAGGCTCAAGCTCAGGCCCAGGCCCAGGCTCAGGCCCAGGCTCAGGCTCAGGCTCAGGCTCAGGCTCAGGCGCAGGCGCAACAGCAGCAGCCGCAGCCGCAAGCGCAGCCGAACGCTCCCACTCCCGGCCCCTCTCCCTCTCCCGCTGCTGTGACGGCGGCGGCGGCAGCGGCAGAGCAGGGCTTGGGCTCGAGTTCGAGCTAGATGCTCCCTCTCTTCCCCCCGCCTTCCCCCCCCCCCCCCCCCCCCCCCCCCCCCCCCCCCCTCTCTCTCTCCCTCTCGCTGTAGACCCGACACACACGCGCACTACGCAACCCCAAAGTCAGCCACGCTCGTCTTGCCGACGACGACGAGGACGCGTGCTTCTAATATCAGACTCATTCGCACGCCATGCAGCCTCTCTCTCTCTCCCTCTCTCGTCTCCGCTCGGTGCTCGCGCGCGTTTCATAGTATGTCATGAGGGCCGGAGCGGGGGTGGAATACGTGGAAGGATGGGGGGGAGCGGGCGCGCGCGCTCGCACACGCCTCAACTGAAGTGAGAAGCGCCTCTTCGCAGCGCGCTCGCTGCTGTAGCTGGACGGCGGCGCGCGCGTCGGGCGTCGGGGGGCTAGGCGCGCGCTTTCCTACTTCGCAAGCTCGCCGCTGAGCTTGTAGTTGGACACCTGTATGTGTGTGCGAGAGAGGGGCGCAGAAAGTGGGCATCAGTAAAGCCGCAGGAGGGGCGTAGAAGGAGGAGGGGAGGGGGGGTGCGTCACGCGCGCGCGCGCGCGCTGCGGGAACCAGGGCAGGGGCATGTGCGTGGCGCATCCGTCTTGCCCAGCGACTCAGACGCAACTTCTTGCGCGGCGCCCCCCAGAGCCCCGTCTCTCGTCTCCACAGCGCGCAGGCGAAGAAAGAAGGGGGAGGGGGGGGGGGGGGAAAGGGCCGCCAAAAACACACACACACACACACGCACACAAACTCACCTTGTCCCAATTGATCTTCTGCTTCGACACGGGCAGATTGCGCCTGAGCGCCTTGAACGCCTTTTCGCCCAGCTCGGCGACGCGCCGCTCGACGCTGGCGTGAAAGCGCGCCTCCTCCGCTTGCAGCGCCGCGGCGATGCGGGCTGCGAGCGCATCGACGTTTTCGGCATCGGAAGCGGGAGAAGAAGAGGCGGAGGCGTTGCCGGTGCCGAGGGAGAGGGAACGAGAGGAAGAGACGGAGAGTTGAACATTGCCGTTCTCGAAGTAGTGCACCAGCAGCTGGTGCGAGGCCTCGAGCGTGGCCGGCGCCGGCGCCGCTGGGTCAAACGTGTACGTGGCGCGCCAACGTCCCGCCCTGGCAGTGTGCCCCGCACATGCGGAGGGAAATCAGCAATCTTGAAGGGGGGAGAATGAAGGGAGGAGAAGAAGAGGGAGAGGGACAGACGACCGAAACGCACCAGAAGTTGCTCAGGCTGTACTTGTTGCCCACGACGTGGATGACGAAGCGCGTGGCGCCTTGCGTCTCGCTGTCGACGTCGACGTCGTCCTGCGACTCCTCCTCCTCCTCCTCCTCCGAAGCCTGCGGCTCGGCGGCGGCGGCGGCGGCGGCGGCCGGAGTGTCCTCCTTGGCCTCGGCCTCGCACATCTCCTCTGCAGCGTCGGTCTGCTCCTCCTGCGTCTCCTTCTGCTCGTCAGCCGTCTCTCCGCTCTCCTCCGTCGTCTCCACCACCACCACAAGTGCCTCCTTCTCCTTCTCCTTCTGCTTCTTCTGCGCAGGCTGAGCAGCCCGACGACGGCCAATGCCCAGCGAGAGCGGCACGACGACGACGGCGCCGTCGGCGAAGTGGTCCTGGGCGTAGGCGTCCAGCTGGGCATGCAGCGCCTTGCGCAGCGGCTCGGCCCAGGCGTTGGGGCGCAACGGGCGCGGCGCCGACGTTTTCTGGCGAGAGGAGAGGGGGTCAGCAAACTGTGGCTGGCTTAGAGAAGGAAGGGAAGGGAGAGGGGGAGAAGAATGCGATACCGGGCAAACCGGCACCCCCCGCCCAGGCAGACGCAAGTGCGCTGCCGTCGCCGCCGCCCCCAAAGCAGCATCGATGGGCAAACGATCGTGAGGATGGGGAGAGAGAGGACGCACCAAGCTCTTCAGATCCACCTCGAACGTCGTCTCGCCCCTGACATGGCGATACCTGTTGCCCTCCACGCGTGTCTCCTTGCACACGACGGCCCTGTCGCCGGCGGGCGCCTCGACGAGCAGCAGCTGCTCCTCGGCGTGCTGCCGGAGCGCCGCTTGTGCTGCTGCCTCGAATGAGGGAGAGGAGTGCGAGGAAGAGAGAGAAGAGAGAGAGAGCAAGTCGGCGTACACGGAGCTGAGCTGGCCCGGTGGCGTTTGGAGGAGCAGAGAGGCGAGCGACATTGGCTGGCAGTAGGGAAAGGGCGAGGGGGGGGAAGGGGGTGGGTGGGAGGGGAGAGGGACGTGGGAGGGACGTGCACGCGCCGCTCGCCGCCGCTTGCAGCAGCCAGCGGACTGGGAGAGCCGTGCGAGAGCGCCACGTGGCTTTGCGCGCCGCCAGCGCACAGGCGCAGCGCACACGCCAAGGCAGCGCGAGAAGAACACGCCGCGCCGAGAGCATCGCGCGCGTCTGTTTCTCCCTTCTCCCCCCCTCACCCCATCCACCGCGCCCATCCAACAATGAGCGACACCTTCGCGCCGCCCACGCCCGGGCGCGCGTACGAGAGCAGCATCCACGCCGCCGCGCACGACGCGGCCGTGGCGGCGGCCGCGGGCCTGCATGCGGCGCCCGCCGCTGCGCCCGCTAGTGAGCCGACGCCGACGCCGACGCCGACGCACTCCGAGCCCTCGCCGGCGTCTGCTGCCGCACCCGCACCCGCACCCGCACCCGTGGCGCCTCCTCCGCAGCAGCCGCAGCAGCCGCAGCAGCAGCCGCCGCTCGACGAGGCACGCCTGCCCAAGGGCGTCGCGCTGGCGCCGGGCGGCAAGGTGCGCCTGACGGACTATGTGAGTTTGTTGGTGGTGGTGGGGGTTGGCATTGTTGCCTCTGTCGCGCGCGCGCCCCGCTGTGGCGCTGCTGGGCTTTGGCGCGCGAGCGAAGGCGCCTGGTCTCAGGCCGAAGCGCACGCAGCGGATGCTGGCAGGGGGGAGCAAAAGCTTGCCATGGCAGGCCACGCTTGAAGGGGGGAGG